CATGTCAAGGAGCTTTATCCTTAGGTCCGCACAACAAAAAGAGGCTCTTCATCACATCTGGTATACTCTCAAGAGGTGGCGACATCTTCTAATAGATTATCATTTTCCCAACAACAGCTTGTTTGTTAATCAATCAAAGATAATCTACTTAATGGATTCGTGATCCTTTTATCGTGAATTGTTCAACAATTTTAGTAATAATACTCTGCGAATTGCATTGACGAGATTTTTCTCAATGATCTAGTGATTCTGACGACTTAATTCTTCACCAGTGATTTGCAAAAAAGTCATCATAATCAGATAAAAAATATGAGTTTTGACTCTAGAAGGATTCAAACCTACGCTGGTCGTCCACCTATATGAGAGAGATTAAAATAAGTACTCTAATACCCTTATCAAGTGACATCATCATGGTATATCTCTATTATAATTAAGTGATAGTTTAGGTATTAAAATCTTTGAAGCCTTTCTGAGAAATGTGTGACACAGATTTAGTTCTATATCACTTGTATGCCGAAGTCTTGGACAAATATATAATAATATCACATTTACAAGTAATGAGTCTTTTTCTCCCGCATGTACGACCACTCCTTGCCCCACAACCAGCTAGCTACTAGTGATGTAGAAGGAGAGTAGTGCACACGTGCCCCCATCGGTCCTAGCCGTTTGAGCCTTTGCTCGTGGCTCTCCCTAATTGCATTTTTGACCCGCTTGTGGGCTCGGCTGGCCAGCTGGTCTCTCTCTTTTTTTATATTTTAATTCTAATTTATTTTTCTTTATTTATCTCAAAACTAGGACTATAAAAATTATATAAAATCATATAAAATCACATAATTAACTAAAAATTCACATTAATCAACTAAAAACTACTTTTCACAATTTAACACAAATATAAATCTAACTATCATAAGTTAAGGCTAAATCTACATTATTTATTAATTATTAACTCATGATAATGAAGACTTTTTTTTTGAGTTATCGTCTATTTTTTTGAGTTTTTTCTAATTTTAAGAGTTAGATAATGATGTTTCAATTTTCTAATTTCCTTAAGGATAGGCCTAAAATTGTTATCATGAAAGAGTGTTTATTTGGGTTTTGAGTTATAAATATTAAATTCAAGTGCTTAAATTAACAACGACTTTGAGCATATCAAGCCGCAAACACATAATTATTTCATCACTTTTATTTTCTACATACTCTCCTTGTTCTAATAATAAGAAAGTAGCAGTTGCTGATGGTTCATTGATAATATAACAAGCATAAGAATTATTTGACTTCCTTACTTACCCTTCCTAATATTCTTTATGTTTTAAAAGTAGCTAAAAATTTAATATGCGCTAGTAAACTTACCAAAATATTGAAATATAAAACATTCTAGTAAACTTACAAATTGGTATTTGATTACACAAGAGTTTTTGACTTGTGGTAGAATTGTTGGATTCCTGTAATATTTATCATTGTTGTTATGTTTGATTTGGAATTAGAGCATCTTGATGTGAAAATAGATTTCTTACATAGAAATTTAGATGAAGAAGTTTAGATGTTGTGGCTATAAGTGTTTGTCCAATAGGACAAAGAAATGATAATTTCCAAGTTGAAGAAATCACTTTATGATTTAAAGTAATCTCCTTGTCTTTGGTATAAGAAATTTGACCATTTTATGTTGTCAAATAATAATATTAAAATTCATAATTATATTTATTTTCATTTATTCATTGATGATTTTATGATTCTATTTATAATATATGTTGATGACATGTTTGTTGCATCCAAAAGTATGGATGAAATTATTGAGCAGAAAAATCAATTAAGCTAAGAGTTTGAAATAAAAAATTCAGGTCACAACAAAAAGATTTTATGCATAAAAATTCAAAGGGACAAATGTAGTAAAAAATTACAATTGAATCAAAAAGGTTATATTGAAAAAGTGTTGGTAAAAATTTAACATGTTAAAGGCCAAACTAGTGAATGCATCTACAACACAACATTTTAAATTTTTTCCTTAAGGTGTTGTACGCAAATATAGTTAAATATCTAATGTATCACAAGCCCTTAATGTCATTAGTAGATATATGGAAAATCTAAGAGAGGAGCATTGGAATGCTATAAAATAGATTTATGCTATTCTAAAGACATTAGATTTTGATTTGTTATTTCAGCAAAAAAAATCTAATTTACTTGTTGGATGTGTTGACTCAAACTATGCAAGTGACCTTGATAAGATAAGATTTACCATTTGGTATATTTTTTATCTTGGTAGACATTCCAACAGTTGGAAAGCAATACAAGATATTGTCACACTCTTAACTATTAAAATTGAGTATATTGCAATAGAGGCAGAAAAATAAGCGTTCTATATGAAGGGTTTAGTGAATGAAAAATTTAACATAAATCAATCCATTATACTTTTGAATTGTGACATCTATTTTTCTAAAGATCTGATGTATCATTTCAAGACAAAATACATTGACATTGGATTTCTTGAATTACGTGAAACATGTGATATTTACCTTGTGAAGATTTCTAAACAAAATAACATTGTTGATATGATGACCAAGCCTTTACCTACAGTCAAATTTCATCACTACATGAAACTAGCTAATGTTTGTCCAAATTGAGGCATGGAGACTTATGTATGGAGATATTTATGCTAAAGGTTTATCTCCTCTTTTTTTATGTTTGTTACAAGTAGCTTTTGGGTGAGTCAAAGGTGGAGAATGTTATTGTTGACTGCTCAAAAGTTAGTGGGCCACAAATAAGGGCCTAATATCCCGAAAAGAGAGTACCTTTTTCTCCCCCTCTTAAGAGGATCAGAGAGCTACAAGAAAATGTGTGAGAGAGAGCCATTTCAAACTCCATGGAGGATGGAGGCAGTTAGTTTTGATGAATTTTTTAGTACTTGAAAAAGAAAGAAAAAGGTAAACCTTTATACTCTTCCTAATTGGCATTCCATTAGTGTCAAGGAATCTTCTCTTCAAGTTGGTAAAGAAAAATATTTGAAAGAATCATCAGCTATCTCCATTTATTTCTAATTTTGTAGTTGAAGTAGATGTAAAAGTTTCATCTCTGAACCACAACACATTTTATCAGCTATTTGTCTTATGTTTCAAGGTGAATTGAATCAGTCTTTTATCAATTGATACTTACAATATTGAGTTGTTGATTCTCTTTGAAAATGTGTTATATTATAAGGAATATAGAAGGCATAAGTCCACTGCTCTCACAACAACTATAATATTTGTGGTGTCTTGTGATCTTTTTCATAATAACATATATATTTGGTATCCAAGGTTGATTTTCTGATCTTTTGAGTCATTAGAATTCTGATTTACTTTAGAGCTCCCTTCCATTATCACAAAAGATTATACCATATTGTTTTGGTTGTAGATAGATAAAAACATGTTCTTTTATTTTACGAAATCATTGTTTTCCAGATCTATGTCATAATTTTTGGATCTATTTGATCCCACACTTTGAAAAAAGTCAGGAAGGAAAATAAAACTTAATTGTCATATCAAACTTAACCACTATTTTAAAAATCTTTCGAATGGGAGATTTTTATTGAGGATCTCACTAACCTAAAATAAGATAAATCACCAAACCTTTTGAGTTTTCATATATAGAGAGATCATGTAAAATACCACTAATTGTTCTTGGGGTGCATGCCCAACTTATGACAAAATCTAATTTATTCCAAAATGATGTGTTCAAAACATAACATGAATCCTTCCTTCTAGAGATGCCCTTGAAGCAATGCACAAGGTCACTATATGTTTAAAAAAATAAAAAACAAAGATGAAGTTTGCCTTGACCTATACAAAACTTTATAATGATTTTTCCCCATTCTAGATATATAGTCTTTACTTTATAAAAATGATATTATTAGTTTTTTTTTTTAAATGGACTTTCATTTTTTTTTTACTTTGACAACAAGTCAACCATTGGGTTAGGCTTCACTAGCTTTGTGGCACCCATGGGTGAGACAACCAATAACATCTTATAAAATCAATGGTTTTCTCTTATACTTTGGGTTGTTTCAAAATTTTGATTTTCATCTTTAGAGGAGAGGAGAGGAGATGAGAGGAGAGGACCCCAATTAGCAACACTTAGCCTCCTTTTGAACAACTCCTAACCATTTTCATCCTCTTTTTCTTTATTTTTGTAAATAACATTTTAATAAAGAGTTTTTCATCATTGAAAATTGTGACCTGCTCATTACCCGAATGGATCCGATCACCGCTTAGAGAAAAACCTCTCAATTCAATCGGATCAAAGGGTTGCGGGCCCATCTGTCCAACCGGCCCGGACCAATTGTAAAGGGCCAGGACCGGCTCGATTCGATACCGAGGCCCGGTGGGTCGGCCGCCTTGGCCCTTAAAGAAGAGGCAGAAGTGGAAGCGCGCTTTTGGTCCAGCACGCCTGTTAAGACCAAGATTTCTCTTTTCAGTCAGTAAGATAAGATAATTTTTTTAATACCCTTTTCGTGCAAAGATTTTTCTATTGGCGGTGTTCGCTACTCGTCCAGTATATTATGCGATATCTATAATCAACGGTATGGATTTCCCTTCAGCAGAAGTGTCTCGTTCGCTCGGAACTTCAACGGCGAGGATGAATTCCTTGGTACAGCGTGGTGCTGATGGTGGACCCCGCATCGGGAACCACCAACTGACGGTCTAGAGGTTCAGTTACATTTGGACGGCCAGGATTTCAGGAATCTCGATGTACGGTCAGAGATGGTCCTGGGAAAAAAGTGATGACTAGAGGTTATTGTACAACGGCCGTCCTTCTGCTCACCGCTTTATCCCCCTCTCTCCCCTCCTCGCCGACGAGGACGAGAAGCGGGGAAGTACAGCGGAGGAAAGAAGGTATACCTTAGAGTCGGATGCTGGTCACCCCCCACTTCCTATTCCTTCCGCGTTCCCTCCTTTTCCCCCTCTCTCTCTCTTTATATTTCTTTTCTCTCCCTCTCTTTCTGGTTTTGATCGTCTTCTTGGGGAGGGATGGCGGAGGCGAGGGAGGAGCTCGTGTACCTGGCGAAGCTTGCGGAGAAGGCGGAGAGGTACGGGGAGATGGTGGAGTTCATGGAGAAGGTAGTGGCGGCGCTGCCGGAGGCGGAGGAGCTCACAGTGGAGGAGAGGAATCTGCTCTCCGTGGCCTACAAGAACGTGGTCAGCTCCCGCAGGTCGTCGTGGAGGGTCGTCTGCTCCATCGAGCAGAAGGAGGTGGAGAGCCACGGCGAGGAGTGGGACCGCCTGATCGCCATCCGCGACTACCGCGCGAGGATCGAGTCCGAGCTCAGCTCCATTTGCGAGACGATCTTGCGGATCCTGGAGAGGCACCTCGTCCCCTCCGCCACTGCCGACGACGCCAAGGTCTTCTTCCTCAAGATGAAGGGGGACTACCACCGCTACCTCGCCGAATTCTTGACCGGCGCCCCCCGCAAGGAGGCCGCCGATAGCACGCTCTCCTGCTACAAGGCTGCTCAGGTCGGTCGATGGAACCTCCTCTTTCTTTCCTCATTTTTCCGTCATAATCACATCTGTCTGGCTAGTGCGCCTTCATCCAGTGTCGCAAAATTCAATCTCCATTTCTTGGATCTATCACATGCGGATTTGATTTGTTCTGCGAGCAAATAAATCGCTGCGCTGTCGACTACTAGCGATCTTCTTTTATCTCTATGAATTTGATCACCGCCATCTGGCCATTTTTCCGTCTGCTTCGATATTCTCTGATATCTGTCTCTACATGCCATGTTTCTTGACTGATTATCGAATGCTGACGACTGTACTTGAAACATTCCCCAGGATATCGCTGTGGAAAAGCTGGGGCCCGCGCACCCCGTCAGGCTTGGCGTGGCCCTCAATTTCTCGGTGTTCTACTTCGAGATCCTCAATTCGTACGACAAAGCCTGCACACTTGCCAAGCAGGTGCGCCCTCCGTTCAGATCTCACCCTCCTTCGAACTATAATTAATTCATCTCGTCAATTCGTTCCGAATGATCGATCGAATCTCGGGCTCCTTTGATTCTCTTAATGGAAATCATCCTCCTGATTTTCAGGCATTCGATGACGCCATTGGGGATCTGGACACATTGGGCGAGGAATCATACAAGGACAGCACTCTTGTAATGCAGCTCCTCCGCGACAACCTTACGCTCTGGAATACAGACCTGAGAGTCAGGACCCCTCTTTCTTCTTCCTCTTCTTGTTCTTCTCGATGTTTTAGTTTCTTCTTTGCAAGCGATTACTGACTTCTCCCACCTTTTTCGTGGTGCCCAGGATGATATAGCAGAAGAGACACGGCTCCTAAGCCCATAGTGAGCGGCCGGGTTCTCCCATCTCCGTCTCTCAGAATGGGCCCGTTTTTGAAGCCACCTCCTGGCTTTCTCTCACCTCTCTCTTTCTCCATTGGTGATGGTAGACTTTTGCGAGAAATCCAAAATACCTGCGTGGCCCTCTTTTGCTGCCCCACCCTGTCAATCTAGCGGCCGCTCAGCTGTTCGTCATCGCTTGATGATGTACATTCTGGGACCATCTCCTTGGAACCCCAAAACATCGTACCTTGGAGTGAATGGTCTACCCAGTACAACCTGGACCACTTGAGCGAGAGGAGAGAGAGAGAGAGAGAGGGTTCAATGAAAGTTGTGGGGCAGCAAGGAGAGACGGAGGAAGGGAAACTCAAAATAGTCTGCAAGTACAGCCTGGACCGCTTGAACCAGAGATACAGAGAGAGAGAGAGAGAAAGGGTTTACTGAAAGCTATGGGGCAGCAAGGTGAGAGACGGAGGGAAGAGAAAAATAAGAAAAATAAGGAGAGTGTGATGATAATACCTTTTCCAGGGGGGTATAAAGCTTTATTTGAGAAACAGAAGGGCTCGTCTATAATACAACTGTTTTATAGGGGCGCTAAAACGAAATAGCCCAACTCCCTTTGCGAAACTAAGGGGGATAGATCATCTGGTTTGATTCGCAGTTGGGGCCGGGCGGCGTCACCCACTCTTGACTTTTTCATTTATTTTATTTTTTCAAAAAAAATTAGGGATGAAGGCATGCTCGAAAAACATTTGTTTGATCTATGAATGGACGAGTCACGTGATCTGGCCTTTGACCTAGCGAGGGTTGTAAGTTAATTTATACCCATAAATTACGTACATGTACATGTCAATTGGGGTTAGAAACGGAATTCGTGGGGAAATTTTCCCATTCCTAAGGCTCTTCGTCGGAGGAGAATGAAAGATTGGAGGGTTGAAATCGAAATTTACGTGACGCATGCGCGTTTTGAAATCTAGAACGCGTTGAAGTTCCTCCACTATCGCCGTCCATGGCGTGGCGGCCCATGTTGGCCTTCTCCATGCCAGCCGACAAGGTTGGGGGTTGACCTAGAGATCTACCCAGATCAGATCTTCTTTTGTTTTTTTTTTGTATCACGCTTGGGGGGCCCTCTTGGACGGCCCGGCGAGATGCCGCGAGATCGTCCCCAACTAAGTATGTGATCGGTCAACCCCATACTTAATTAGGCGAAGATCTCGAGATGAGAATGGTGTAAATAAAGAAAAGGAAGATAATTAAGTCATCTGTGATGGATGGGAGTAGACGGGAAAAAGGTATTGGAGCAGGCCGATCAAGGTAGGAAGTGGGCAATGATGAAAATATTTTTCTGATCGAGAAATCGACCCCTCAAAGAAGAGAGAGAGACAGCTAGGATTTTTCTGATGGTTCTTCAGAGGAGGCATGAGGAGCTTTAAATCGTCAATGGGGAAGGCGAGGGGGGATGACCCAGAGACCTGACCGGGTCAAAGCTCTCTCTCTCTAACTCTCTCTAACTTGCTGGGATGCTCCACCGGAAATAACGAGGATCTGAGGGAGTACAAAAGGAATGGGGAGGGGAGCCCTGGTTTCAAGGAAAGCATCGCCGGAACCACGCGCCTCCTTCTCTATCTATCTCTCTCTCTCTCTCTCCGTATATTTCTGCTGGTCTCCTCTCTCTCTCTCTCTATTCTCTGCACTGCGCGTTCATACCTCCTCTTGTCTGAGTCCCCGTATTTCTCTCTCCAGCGCTGACCTTTAGACGGAGAAGGGGGGGGGGGCTTCTGGAAGGAGGATGAGGAGGTTTCTGGGTTAGAAAGAATACCTAGAGGCGGCATCCGGATTCCTTCCTGCGATGCATTCTTCCGCGGCCAGGTACTTCTTCGTCTTCTTCGCCATCGCCCTCCTCCTCGGATTTGATCTTCTCGACTGCCAACGAGCCCGTCTGGAACCCTAGAATCGTGGATATCTCGCCCGTCTTCTAGACCCGTCTCGCTGTAGATCGTCGAGGGGTGCTTCTCTTCTTCGTCCCCGTCCTCGTCCTCGTCCTCGAGATCCTTCAGAACCTCCCCCGGCTGGCCGCCGGGCCGCCATCGCCAAGCCCGGCAAGTTCTTCCACCGGAGGCTCTCCTCCAAGGCGGCTGCTGCTACTGCTGCTGCTGCATCTCCGTCCACGGAGGTATTCCTCTGCGACGATTTCCTGTCATGGAATGATCGAATAATCTGGTCTGAAATTCCTTCCGATTCCTCCTTACAGAAATTCGCGGCGGCGAGGGTTTCGGAGATGCAACCGGTGGTAGTTCAGCTCCAGGAGGAGAAAGAAAGGGCGATGAAAGAGGTCGCGGAGATGAAGAAATACTTGGCTAAGAGAGAGAAGGAAGGAGATGCGGCGGCAAGGATCAGATTGTTGCAAAGAGAAGTGGAGAAGGCGAAGGAGTCGGAGAGGAAGATGCTGGAATCCATGATCTCCCAGACGAAGCAGCTGGAGCACACCAAGATCGAGCTCGAGGAATCGAAGCTGGAGATTAGAAATCTCTTGGCGAAGCCGAGAGCAATAGCTCCGACAAAACCTGAATCTCAATCCCAGGACGAGATGGGGAGGCTCAGGAACGAGTTGCGGCTGGCCACCGAGGCGGAGGAGAAGAACAAGAAGGCCATGGATGATCTGGCGATGACGCTCAAGGAGGTCACCACGGAGATGAATCGGTTGAAGGAGAAGCTCTCGGTCGCGCAGGCGGATCTGGATCGGGTGAGAGCTGAGGCCGACCATTCCAAATCGATGTGGATGACGACGGAGGAGAAATTCCAGATCCTTGTGGAAGAAGTCGATAAGCTGAGGATGGAGGCGGATGAATCGGCCACCGCCTGGAATGCGAAGGAAGCTAGTCTCATCGATTGTATGAAGATCTCCGAAGAGGAGATCACCAAGCTGAAGCAGGAGAATTCGAGGCTGGAGGAAGCCCAGCGATCTGCGAAGGAGGAAAGCACCAGATTCAGGGACATCATGAAGCAGGCGGTCAACGAGGCCACCGTCGTCAAGGAAGCCCTGGAGATCGCCAGGGGAGAGAACTCCTCACTGAAGGACCTCATCTCCGCCAGGGAAAATTCCCTGAAGACGATGAAGCAAGATCTGGAGCGCGCCAAGCTCAACGAAGCCACGGCCATGGACAGCGTCAAGGAGTTGCAGAGCTGTCTCGCCGGAGAGCCGCCGCCGGCGAGCTCGATCGACGAGGGGACGACCGCAAAGCCGAAGGCCCTGTCGAGACAAGGATCGGAGAAGAGGGCGATCCCGGTGAAGTTCCCGTCGGAGCGATGGAGGAGCGACCATCCACACGTCCAGAACGGGCTGAGATCTGCCGCTGCGGATCCGGGATCCATATCGGAGAGGGTGACCACCTGGTCGGCGAAAAAGGACCGGACGCGCTCCTCGTTGAGCTGCGCCTCAGATCTGACCGGCTCGTCCCACCTAGGGTTGCACAATGGAGACGATTACCCGTACCTCGACGAAGCAGGGACCAACGTAGGGCTGCCGGCGAAGCAGAGGAAGAAGAGGCAGATCCTCCACAGGTTCAGCGAGCTTCTGAGAAGAGGCCGCCTCCCCAAGTAGTCTCTCCGATCTTCACCGGCCTCCTCGATTGCATTGATCATTCATTCAGCTCCCTGGAAAGGCATCATATGCACAGAAATTCCTGCAAATCCTTCGAAAATTCTTCGGCATCTGCGCAGAAATCATCGACCAGGCCTCTTGGCCATTCGCCTCGAGGGAATGCTCTCTTCCCTTTCTTTCCCCACCCCTCCTCCGCGAACAATGCCCGCGATCTACGCTCTCCTCCTCGTGGGCTCGACCCCATGGCGGGAATATAATGACCCCTATAGGCCCCAGACGAACCACGGCGCCCTTTCCATGTGGAATGAGTAGAAGAAGAGGAAGGGGAGATGGGGATACCCTAACTACTGATAATGAGAGGCATGCCTTCCGCCCCTGGTGAATCCAATGATGAAGATCGCGAGTTGACTCACTTGGGGCCATGCGTCGACACAACCGATTTCGTTCAGTTGACTTTGGCTGCAACCTATTTAAATACTTGGATTGATTCATGAAGTACTGCATTCTGGGTTTTAGGGTTCAGGGGAACCCAAAACTTTTTTCAACCTCAAAAGGAGGCCAAACCCAACATGGAATAAATGATATAAACATCAAGTATTGTTATTCAATTTATTTATTTTAATCTATATTAAGCATGTTTATGTGAAAATTAAGATCTCTTGGAGATTCATATCTGAATAAACTTCATCTCGTTGACTTTCGTTTCAGCCCATTTAATTACTTTGGATTCAATCATGATGGTTCAGCTCTAGTTCGAGCTAAACCAGATCCATTCTAGGGTTCTAGGGTGAGTGGCACCCAGCACTTTTTTCAAACTCAAAAATGGGCCAAACCATATATGGAATAAATGATATGAAAATCAAGTGTTGTTATTTAATCTATATTGAGCATGTTTATCTGAAAATTAATTTTTTTCATAAAGTTAGCCTTTTTCAAATTGTCTGACAAGTAAGTAGATTGATTATTAGTTAATTATCGGTGAGAAATATATATAAATATATATATATCATTTGAAAAATCATTAAATTTAAATCGTGATTTTAGAAAAGGCATACAAAGTGGGAAATTCTTGTTATTATTTTAATCTAGGGTTCTCTAAAGGTAAGTGTCCTAAAATTTTAAAAACAGCCCAAGCATAGTTTACTAAAATAGAATCCATGCTTTTGTTGCCGAATGATGCCAGCTTTGTGAATCATTTTTTTAAAAAACCCATATTTTGTACGGCAACTAAGCATGTAATTTCACCTTTCATCTTCCAAAATTATGACATTATTATACCTCCAGAGAAATTTCCCATTTACACTAATGAATCACATGGCAATTTAAAAAAACCATGAAATTAGGATGAAGAGTGGTGAGACTTGGCCTAGTCATTAAAATAAATATTTTATTTTATTATTTGGTATTGTTGATTAAAAGTCCAATTTTAATGAAAGAAAGATGATATATGGCACCTCTATGAGCCACTGAGAGTATTGTCAAGGTTAATGAATCAAACCAATAAATTTATAAAATAGAATATAACATTGATCTCGAATTTTGGAACCAAGTGAATAATCATCTTCCACTCAAGCATCAACAAATTGCCAAAGTTTAGCTGTCATCTAAGCCTATGTTCCTCAACAATAACAATATTTATTTTTCTTGAGGATTGGATTATATGCTTGAGTGTAATTTTCGACTAAGAGAGCACGTGTGGTGTGGTCACCAATTACTATGAAGAGAACATGTGATTTGCTTACTGATTAATGTGAAGACCACTTGGAGTGTGTTGACTAATTAGTGTGTAATGTATATGGTGTGTGCTTAGTGACTGTGGTGTGAGTCACTTGTGTTAGAAAATCACTAAAACCTTGCTTTCTAGCTAAGGTTCATAGACTTGTAGAATTTATAGTGTTGGGGGCTGTTGACACTAGAAACTCAACTATACTAACTAAAAAAGTCAACTGTACTAACCAAAGAGTCAACTATAGTCACTGAATGTAAATTGTACTAACTAAAAAAGTCAACTACACTCACAAAAACCTCAACTATACTCGCTTGTAAGGATCTTCTAAAGGAGTAGAGATAGATTTTAACAAGCTGAACTGCAATAAAATTGTTTCTAAATTATCTGATCATCTTATTTTTCCAACTTACAAGTTTATTGATGATATTACATAGCCTAATGTAAAAATAAATAAATTACTTAAAGATAATGTAAAAGCAAAATTGAAACTGTGTTTTACAATAATAGAGTTACCCCCCCTTCCCCACCATTCTTTATTTCATAAAAAGCATCATCTAAGGGCCAACAAATACTAGTGATTATTCTGTATTTAATGATGCTATTAATTTAAAAATATTAACTCCATGGCTACAAATAAGGTTGGGATATTAATAATTACCAAAGGGGGTTGAAGAAACGTGGGTGTGAAAGAGTGGAGAATACTATTTCTTAGTCAAGATTTAATAGACAACATATATTTGCACCAACTAAAAGAGTTAGTCACACAACAAGGTGATCGATCACATCAAGCATCCATTCAATCGTTTATGAGTTTAAATAACGTGATTTAATCATCTTTGTTGATGAATATAATAATGATGATAATTATATATATATATATATGGATATATCAAGGCCAATGAGAAGAAGTTTCCTCTTTTATTCTTGCATGTTGATGATTGTTTGCTTGTCTTCATGGTAAAGTCAAAAGGAATCTCTAACAACGAACCTTGAGATGATCTTCTTCCGCAGAAGATCACGTCAGCCAACGCAGCACAAGCTGAGAGTCCATCAGACGAAAGAAAAAAAAAAGTCGAAGCTTTACTGGCCAGGCGGGAGGGGATTGGCGCAGGAGAAATCGGTCAACGGCCGCGGCGGAAGCGCTCATCAGGCTCTCTCCCCTCTGATCCTCCTGGCCAACTGGATGTCCTTGGGCATGATGGTCACCCTCTTCGCGTGAATGGCGCAGAGATTTGTGTCCTCGAACAGGCCCACCAGGTAGGCCTCCGCCGCCTCCTGCAGCGCCAGAACGGCGTGGCTCTGGAATCTCAGATCCGTCTGCGCGTTGACGACAACAACAACCACAACCAACCAGGCGTTGACTTCCAGATGAACGAGAAAAACGACGGAAGGAAAGAGCAAGAGCCCAGAAAGGAAATGATTATGACCTTGAAGTCCTGAGCGATCTCACGAACGAGCCTCTGGAACGGGAGCTTCCTGATCAGCAGCTCCGTGCTCTTCTGGAACTTGCGGATCTCTCTGTAGACAAAGGATGAAGAGAAGAACAGAGGGGGAGTTCAGAAGATGTAGGAGCAGATAGAATGCCCGAGGAAGAGGAAGAGCTTGATTGGAAGTACCGGAGGGCGACAGTTCCAGGGCGGTAGCGGTGGGGCTTCTTCACTCCTCCCGTGGTGGGGGCGGACTTGCGGGCCGCTTTCGTGGCGAGCTGCTTCCTGGGGGCCTTCCCTCCGGTGGATTTGCGGGCGGTCTGCTTCGTACGAGCCATCTGAAGCAGAAATATTTCGCAGAGTTCAGAGGACGACGAAGAAATCGTGAAAGCGGGAGATGACTGTGTCGATCTACAGTTCAGTGGTGAGGAATTACTATTATTATTGTTATTCGATGGATAAACTTGGATCGACCACAATTATTCTAGCTGGTTCCATCCATTCGATGATTCTAGCTGCTTAGAGGATCCCAAATCCCGTCCAGATCACATTATGCTACGAAATCTTTGAGTGGAGATTCTCCCGATCCCCGGATGCACTCGATCGCGTCATCATCGTAAAGCAACAGCACTGGATTCATCATCGAATCGCCACTGACATAGACATTCTCTCGAAGAAAGGATCCCTAGGGTTTGAGAAAAGATTCCTAAGGTTTGCATTCACGCACAGAAGAAATCGCCGAGAGAACCGAGGAGTGAAACCGTCTCCATCAAACTACTCCAGGCAAAATCATCCCTGGACGGCGCGCAGGCCGAGAACAGAGCCCCAACCCCCCCACGAAATCCCCGAAGAAATGTTGGCAAAGAAGGCACGGATGCATCCGCATTGCAGGAACGTTCTAAAACCAAAAAATAGACGAAACCTTACGAGAGAAGAACAGCAAATAGGAAAGGAGTAGAAGCAGTAATCAGCCGCAGATGGATCCCACAGAGACGTACCTCTCACTATCTTCTCCGAATGCTCGCCACGCCGGCCGGCCTTCCTCCTCCAAGATCCTCTTCTCTCTTCCTCTTCCTTTTCCTCTCCCAGGGAGCTCCAACAAACCAACAGACATTCTGTTCATGGCCCCCATACTTATAGGAAGCTCGAACCGCCGGCTCCATCGAACGGCCCAGGAAGCTCCACCTGGTATTGTGGACGGCTGAGATTCTCCATGCCTGCCCTTCTCGCTTCCGCTTGCTCGATTATTCATCACACGGATCCCAACTTGGGGTAGCTTCTCCCGGCGCCGCCATACTCTCCCCGGTTGACCTCTTCAGTCCGCCGCCACCGGAAGGTCGAAGCGGTCGGTTGACTCTTCTCTCCCGTGGTCAACCGGCACTCCGAGCGGTCACATCGCCGGCTGATGACCGGCGTGGAGGAATCGGTGGAGGGATTTCGGCCATTCCCTCGAAGACAATCCTCAAAAATTTCTGGTGAGCACCGGATTGGAGGATCGGAGTAGATCTTACAGATGTCAGCCCCGCTATTGATTACGCTTTCGTCATGCTTCTTCTCTGCGATTCCTCCGAGTACTCGCCTCACTTTCTTCCATGGTCCAGCACCGATTAGGTTTCATCGCCATCGTCCCCGAAGAAGCTTTCTGCGGATTCCTCTGAGCTTTTCCTTTTCAGTGACCTGGTTTCCTCCGTGATCTGGTTCCCCTTTTCTCCTCAGGAAACCATAATTTCATGCCTCCGGAGGCATCTGGTAGGGATAACTTCCCCATCTGGGCGCCGTCTCTGGCCCAACCCTAGATTTCCTTCAGATTCTTCGAGCACAGAAATGGGAAATCTGAATCGAGACAGCCCAATTGCTCATTAACATTGAGATTTTCCTCCCTGTTTTTGGGAAAAATTCAGGGTGTCCAGAGAATCCTGAGATGGCCCAGGAATCTATGAAGCTATGATCACATTAAGATCCGTGTACTCATACCAACCTTTAGCTTAGATAGATAGAGAGAGAGAGAGAGGGGCAGATAGAGAGAGGGAGAGAGAGAGAGATGAAACTCTGTCGGCCATTCCTCTCCGGCGGCGAGTTGCACTGGGGACGAGGTGGGCAGCGCCCTCCGCCGCCGCGAACGAGGCCGAGCGGCGATTTGCACCGCCGATCGGGTTCGTTCACCTTGGTCAAAAGAAGACAGACTTCTTCTTGGTGGCCCGCTAATACCTCATTGAGGCGAGCTCTCCGTGCGAATAAAGATTTAATTTTTTTTTCTTTGGTGGGTCGGAGGCGTGCGGCGGTGGGCTACTTGGTGGGTCGGAAAGTTCGCCGGCGGTGGGCTTCCAGAAGGCGAGCCCTTCTTCGCCGCCGAGATGGAGGTCAGGTCGGAGCCCCGCGGGCTTAATTTGATGGAGAAAGGTTGGAGCTTTCTTGCCGGAATCGAATTAGGGTTTGCTCTGCTCGGCGTGGCTGCTGCGGGGTTAGGGTTTCACTGTCTCCTGATCCGAGAGAGGCGCGGAGAAGAGGATTGATTTTCTATTAACAGTAAGGAACTCTCACCAGACATCTCGAGAAGAGGAGATAGAGAGAAAAAAAGATTTATATAGAGATAGAGAGAGAGAGAGAGAGAGAGAGAGAGATGGGAGTATGGTGATCAAGAGAGGGATGCCCATCTGGCGGAAGACGTCTCCCTCACGGTCTTAGAGTGGAAGAGGACGTCCTTCTCCCTCTTCTTCTTCCCGGGGATGGCCAGCCTAGACCAGAACCCTCTCTTCTTCTTCTTCTCCACCTCTGCCGCCGCCGCCGCCGCCGCCGCCGCCGCCGTCGCCTCCTTCTGTGCTTCCACTTCTCTCTCCTCCTCCTCCGCCGCCGCCGCCGCAGCAACAGTGGCCTTCTTCCTCTTCTCTTCCTCCTCCTCCTCCTTGCTCTTCCCCTTCTTGTCCCTCTTCCCGCCGGTGACGACGAAGGCCAGAGAACGGCTCTTCGTGAGCGGCTCCGGCTTACCCACCATGAGCGTTATCTTAGCGGCGGCGCTGGCGCGGCGGGCGGTGGCAGGGGAGGACGAGGAGGAGGATGCGGCGGAGCTGACGGAGTCGTAGGAAGTCCCCGGCGAGGAGAGCCCCGAAGAGGAAGCGGAGATCTGCGAGAGCTTCTCTCTCAAGCACGTCGGGCACACCCCCTTCGACTGCCGGTGACTCGGGTGCCTCTTGCACCTCCCCTCCATCTCCGACCAACCCATCTCGCTCTTTCTCTTCCTCTCTCTCTCCAGAATACTCGATGTCCAGCTGAAGCCAACAGGGTTTCTTCTCTCTCTCTGTGTCTATCTCTCACCTTGTCCTAGAGCCCAGCTTCCTGTGGGGGTGTTATATAGATCCAGCCACCGAGTTTCCGGGATCCTTCTCTCTATCTCTCCTCTCTCTTCTCTCTCTGTGCGTGGAAGTCTAAATTGGTGACCGTACCCGGACGCCGTCGGGGACAACACCACGATGGAGGAAGTCGCCGGTTTTTTTGGGGCGTCTCGGACGAGGAGGACATCTCGGGCTTCTCTGAACCGTCCGATCTGCGGCCTCCCACTGTTTGATCGACGCGTCTACTGGACTTGTGTGGAGCCAGTAGGGAATTAGTCGTTGGGGTAGGATCACTGGCGGTAATCTGACCGCTTGATATACTGAAATTTCAGTCTCGGACAGTGGGAACGTCCGGCGACACCCGCACGTGGGGAAAAAGCGAAAACACGTGGCACGTGCTCGGAAGCTGCACTGCTCTGTTCTTATTCGGTCAGGAAGTCTTCTTTACAGACGTCCCCACGTGTAAGGAGCGCCACGTCATGTTCCAGTAAACTGTTGTGTGCCACTTGATAGTGGCCCACCGATCTAACGGCTGATATTTTATTTACGAGGCACGTGAGATCGTGTGAAGACCCCGCTAGATCCTTGTCTCTTTCAACAAAGGGCCGGCCCGGGCTGGCCGTGGAAAAAAGCCCGACCCAAAAGCCCGGCACGTTGCTTGAACACCACGAGACTTGGGACCGATCTATAAAAACGGGCCGGACACACACTATATAAAGCCCAACACAACTCCGATCGGGCTGGGGTAGAGTATCATTCGGGGTTCAATTTTCTAAAAAAGTTCACTCTTTCAATAAAAATAAAATAATCGGAAATATATATATATATATTAATAAATATCTTCGCAGTCAGCAACCGAAGATTGGAAGCAATGTCCTCCGGAATAATAAATGTTTATATCGTTTTCATCATGCTTATTAAACTCGTGGTGGGGCCCATCTGAGCGGGAAGTCCTCCCTTCCGCAATGACCCGTCCCACGGTGAGGAATTACGGTTAGACGTCGTCAAAGATGGGAGAGCGGCCAAAGAATTCCGGCCACGTGTGAAAATTGTGAAGAATGGACGTCCCCGATGGCCCCACGTGTGTACGTTCCCCTCACGTGTGCTGCGCCTAGAACACCAGGCACTCATCTCCTGTCCCCGTCAGAGGTAGTAGTCCAGGACCACTTTGGAAGAAGAAACCGTCTATGACCGATGACGCGTGCAACAAAAAGAAAATGAATATTCTTGGATAGCCGAAATTATGAGGTATAATGACGTCAAAAATAAGTCACAGGCGGGGAATTGATCTAATTAAATTTAAAATACAAGTTTTATAGTAAAATAAAGTGGTATAAAATGCTATAAACATATTAACTTAATAACTTATCTTCTTATTTGGTTCTTAAAAAAATGACTAAATGTGATATCATAAGACTTTAGTATACTAATGAATTCACCATAAATTTTAACATTTATTTTCGTTCTATATTTTTCTTAAATATTATTAAATTAATCGTAAAAAAGAAATTCAATAAAACATGGGACCTCGAGAGCATGAATACCCAAGACTTGAGTGAAATTGCTTTTTAAATATATTATTTATTTATTTAATGATGAAAAGATGATATCAGAAAACTTTAGTATTTTTCATGGATTCAACTGAAAGTTTAACATTTATTTTCATTATATTTTTTTCATAAAAATCATTAAATCATTTTTAATAATACTTTAAAAATATATTTATTTATGGCTGATAGTATGATCTAGAGAGGATGAATTGATGAATGACGACTTTTAGAAGCTAGGACGTGATGAACTGTAGGAGCATTTGACCGGGTCCTTTCAGTCCCGGTGGGAATAGCGGTCAACCAAGTCAACCTAACAAGCCATTCTTTAGTACCCAAATTTCATAAAAAAAATAAAAGCTTTATATAGAATAAAAATGGAAGAAAGGTTCAACCACGTGCGGACATTTCTAGGAAAAATTGGCTTTTCATGCGAGAAGACCTACCCGCGAAGTGCGCTGAGGGGGCGACTTTATTCGTCCTTTTACGCGATTCCCGATGCGGGCGGTAGTGGAGCTGACCGGGGCCGTAAAGGCGGCGGGGTCTCGCGGTCTGCTTGTCCGGCGGTGGACAGGCGGCGGTATTAGGGAGCAGATTTCCCGCGGGAATGTCGGCGCCGGCCGGCCTCGGAGACGCGCCAGGACGGCCACAGTCCATTAATATTTATAACAAAATAATAAAAAACGTGTGGGCTGAAATGGGCCGCTGGGGTATGGGCCGGCCCGGCCCATATCTGTGTTGGCACGGATTGTTTCCTTTTGCCAGTGGGTGGGGTCTTTAATGGTAATATAAATGCCAGGTAAATAATTTAAAATGATTTATTCGTTTACTTTTTATTTTTATTCTAAGATAAAATTGCATAAAAAGAAGGGAAACAAAGTTTTCTTAGTAGGTTGACCAAATTCCTGGCATAGTCAACTGCTCAGGCTTGTCATTGACTATTTTCCGCTGGGTTTCTTCCAAACTTTACTATTAAATGGGTTTTTTTTAAGATATAGATAAAAAATTATAATTAATTAGTATTACATCATACACAATTTGAGGTACGTGGCAGCTTTATTTTTTTTAGATTTTTTAAGGAAAAAAATATACCGAAAAGGGAAACTCACAGTTTTTATAAAGGGGTTATCACATTCTAGGGCTAGTTAATTGTTCAGGCTGGTCACTTACTATTTTCTGTCAGATTTCAGGCAAAAAATATTAAAAAATGGGGGCTTTAAGATATCAGTCAAGCCATTATAATTAATTAGTCTTACACGATATAAAAAAAAAAAACCAGTTTAAAGGTGTGGGCCTCAACTGGGCCGGTAGGACCAGGCCGGGTTGGGCCATTTCCTTGTTTGCAAAAGCCCAGGGGGTGCACAACGAGACTCCTAAAAGGATATTTTTCTTCTCCTAGTAGGTCTTTAAGGGTAACGTAATGGCAGGTAGATAATTACGTTAAATGTTTTAAAGTAATTATTAATTTAAAATTTTAATTTTTTAAAGACAAAATTGCATACCAAAAAGGGAAATAGTTTTTCTAGTGGGTTGACAAATTCTAGGCCTAGTCAACTGCTCAAGCTTCTTATTGACTATTTTCCACTGGGTTTCTTCCAAAAATTATTAAAAAATGGAGGTTTAAATATATCAATCAAACCATTATAATTAACTAGTCTTAGACGATATAAATAAAAAATTCATCCACATGAAATATCATACACAATTTTGGGTCATTTGACTTTTCGGTTATCCAAAGATGCCAGCTTTAATTTTTTCACTTTTTAAAGAAAAAAATACATCCCAAAAAGGGAAACATTATAGTGAGATAATTGGTAGGTTTATCAATACAATTTTGGGTCATATAAGCCCGTTTTGACACGTTCATCGGAGTGGGGCCCACTTTTGTTTTCCCGCCAACATACAAAAACCTTGATCCTCCTCGTCGCCGCCTCCACAGAGCCAGCATTTGTAGATTGGAGCTAGCAGATGAAGGGGTTTCCTGTCGCCAGCGAAGCTCATCGGCAATCTCCGGCGGAGCTCGTCCAGTCCTTCGCTCGTTTCCTCATCCGCTGCCACTCGAAGGATCTCCGTTCGATCCTCCTCTCCCAGGATCCGATCCTCCACTACCCCCTCGTGGTCGAGTGAGTGTGAAGAATCTGCAGATCCTGGGGATCTCCCTCGGGCTACTTCTTTCTTCTTCTCTGGATGTAATCCTCTTTCTGCTCCTGCTCTCAGTTTTTCAGAGTTGCTCGAGGCGGACCCTCCCCTGGCGCAACTCCTCTTCTCGCATCCGGCCAGTCTTCTTCCCCTCTTTGATCAGGCTGCTCGCCTGTCCCAGGCAAAGGGCTTTAATCTCTCATTTTTTTGCCTTTTTTTCTTTTATTTCATACGAAATGTGATATTTGCTCGGTCTGGATCCTGCGTGGCGTGTTCTAGGGTGTGGTTCTGGATGGGTCCAAGGAACTGGCTGGTGGTGCATTCCCGAAGGACTTCGTGCACGTTCGGATTAACGTCGGTGGCTCCCCTCTGGAATGCCCAGGTTTCAACCCTGTCTCTGTCTTTTCGTACGTTACATGATTTTTGTGTGGTATTGAATTCCTCGATGTACGGATGATTGTTTGCAGAAACGTCCCCCCGTATTGGAAGGCTAAGAGTGAAGCACCGTGGAATCCTCCTTACTGTTAAAGGGACAGTCATTAGATCCGGTGCTGTCAAAATGATTGAAGGGGAGCGTGAATATATGTGCAGGAGATGCAAACATCGGTAAGTCCTCATATTAATTTTATGCCTACGATCAATTTTGAGTCTAAAAATTCCCACTGCCATCGGCCAACAGTAATGACCGGCTTTCCCAGTTTACTGGAATTTCCATTTTCCTTGATTTGTGATCAGATTTTTTCTATTTACATCGGTTTATTTTGACTCTAAAAAAAGAATTGACTGGAAGGCTACCTTGTGAACTTACAGGGTTTTTTTTTTGGTAGTCCACTGCATTGATTTCCTCCCTAGATGTCTCATTATCTTCAGAGCATGAAAGATACAATCTGGTGATGAAACTTCACGAGAGAGAGTCAGGATATTAATTAAGGCCTTGAATCACAGACTGCTCCAAGTAAATTCCTCCCACTCTTGATCTTCCTAAACGAGTGTGAGAGCTCCTTTTCCAGCTCAGATAATCACGCTCCTGGGCTCTGCTTCTATTTTCTATTTGTGTTGACTAGTATTGATTTTAAAATAAGATAGTTTGATAAGTCATCAATATTTATCAACGTATGCTATCTGAAAGTTGAATAAATAAATAAATAAATGAAAATAAAAATTCAGATTGAAGGGTATAAACGCTAATACTTGATGGTCAAGAATTGACACCTAAAACAAATCATAGAGCAAGTCGCACACGGGTCAACTCTTGAACCATTAGTGTTGATATATCTATGGATAACATGGGTTTGTATGGAGTACATAATGATTGAACTTGTTGTGTTGGCTCTTCGTGATTTGCCACTTCGATTGAAATCGTAGTGTGATCGTTCTGAGTCTTGGACAGAGAATAATGTTGACACAAAAAGAGAGACCTCAAGCCTATCTTATTCTGGAGGTCAAAGACCACTCTCTCTCTCTCTTTTGGAAAGGTGGATGCATGCTGCCATCTTGGCAGCTCAAAAACGGACATCTTACCTGGTGGGATTCCCATTTGTCAGATTAGAGAAAGCTTAAATGTTTGATGGAAGAGCAGAGTAGTGCACTTGCACAACAATAGCATTTAGTTTGTTGAGTTTGATTTCAAAATTCAGTAGCAATCTGTGGCCACTTGGGAGCCAACTGGTTACCTATCGAGAAACATGTATTCTAGTTAAATACCTCACACAAACTAATATCACTTTAATGAAGCGACTCTAAGATGAACCATCTTCTAGATTAAGAGGTACGAGCCAAAGTCTCAAAATGGCTAGAAGGCTCTTGATGCCACTACACATTTCTTCAGAATTCCTTAACTTAGTAGAAACGAAGAATCCTCAGACTTAAATTGATTAAGGTGATGGATATATTGAAAGAGTTGCATAGCTCTGTTATCGTAAGGCACGTAGGTTTAATGGACTGGGAAAAAAATCCGGAAATTCTTTCTTTATCTGAAAATGACATTCAATATTTTGAATTTCTGGTAGGGGAATGTGAAATTTGTTGATAAATAGTACAAAATATGATATCCTTTGCAATTACTACGATCTATTCCAATTCCAACTCAGACCTAATTAGATATCGGACTTCCAAGATCCGGGGAAATTCACTTCTCCTTGTGTAACTCTTAAGGCTTTCATATTATGTTTTTTTGTACTTCTTTTAGTCATCCTGACTCTACTGGAACTATGGCCCAGCTTTCTGTTTAGAAAGCTATTACATTACATGAATTCGTAGCCAAATTTAGATAGGTGTTTACCATACAATTTTAGGTGGCGCTGTCTGAAGTACAGGATAGCAAGTTTAATCATAACTCAGCCTATCACCTACAAAACTTTAGATGTTTTCGTAAGTATAAGTCGGAGCATTTGGTCAGTTAGTTACTCTAAGCTGACTGGAGTTACTATTCTACTAAGCATTCCTGTACTGATACATCATGTTTTGGAGTTCATTTGGAACTTCACCTGCTACCATGTTTACATATATGTCCTAAGGTGCGTGCAGTAGATGATGAGCTCAGAAGTAGGGATTAGATTTTGCCCTTGGAATAAAACTTGTAAAGAGCTGGAGATTGCATGAATATTTTTTCTGACAAGCATAGAATCGAGAGCATTGTCGTGGTGGAGACTTGGTGGTTTATCTGAAATTACAGTCCTATGCATATGGATGATTTGTGTACCTTGCTTCCAAAACTCTGTTCAAGGTATATGAACTATCTGAGATCTTGGGGATAACTGGTGGGGTTGCTTATACCCTGAAATCGTGGGACCAGAATTAAAAGTGACCTGGTTTTGCATATCCCCTAGTTATAGAGGATATGAAAATAGTACAAGCCAATGATCCTATAATCTTTGATGATGCCACCATCGAGCCACCAGCTTGTATCCTATAAGACATTGAGCTTGGAGTAGAACCTGAATGGATTTGAGAATGTAAGTATACATTTCTATCCTATATCCAACAATTAAGATCAATCCTAGTGTGTGCTGTCTGGTGTATGCCAGATTCTATTGCTGGGGAGGAGTTCACGTGAGTTTTCTCTCTGTTATAGAAGAAGAGGAAATAGTATATAGCAAGAGTCATCAGCTAAATGCTTGGATTGAGATGATAATTTGGGTAGGTCTGCGTGGTTTCGACTGAATACTTATGAACCCATTCTCTCCCCATCAATAATGAAGATGTTGGATTCACGATATTAGGCACTTTGAAGTGATATATTTGTTGATTCTTCTTTCTCATATATGGTTTAATATCATCTGGATAGGTTCAAGGTGCAGCCGGAGCTGGAAAGCGGAAATGTGATTAGACTTCCAACATCTTGCCCGTCCAAGGTTTACATTCTTTTGTTTCTATGGTCTCATCCTCATATTATCTTAATTATTACATTTGTATTTACCAGTTAGTGGTAAATCAAGTTATTTGTGGTTGGCATTTTTTTAGTACATTTATATTAATTTTATTTGATTATATAACATGTGTGATTCAACAACATAACATTATGTTTAAATTATAATTCAATCCTCAAATCCAGCTGCAAAATAAATTATTGCATCCTGACATGGAACTGAAGAATGACGATGAACAGAAACATATTGTTACCAGAGTTTCTTATCAAGGTTTTTCATTGTCATGTGGTGTTTTATCATCTTATGTTATTTGTAAAACCAGGCACACTCCTGATTGTTGGAAACGTATTGTTAGACTTTCTTAGCAGTAGTAACGTATTGTACTAATGGATTATAGATAGTACATGAAACTAAATTACTGTCTAGATTTGCTTCAGTGCATACTTTTCACTGAAAAAGAGGGCAAGCCATCGAAGATCTTCCATCAAATTGTGGGAAGCCAGATGAAGAGCGGTTAATTGTGTACTGAATTACCAGTGACTAGTTTGCATTTATACCAAGGCAGCAGCACGCATTTCACATCTATGGAGGAGAAATAATGAAAAGTTTTAGTATGTCAATTACTGATTTGGATAAGAATATGATAGCTTGTCCAGGTACATTATTTGGCGTGCTGTTGTGATTTTGCAGAAGTCATGTTATTATAACAAGTGCAACATAAAAATGAGCAAGAAGAATAAAGAGAATAATTAGACTGCAACTGTGATCAACACAGTTCTTATTTTGCTTGATTTTCTCACTCGAAAAGCTTTTGTATGTAAGGCAGTTGTGAGAGTACTATGTCGTATGCATTAGATGTTTAGTTGAGAAAGAAAATATGCACTAGCTGCGAGTTGTGAAGATCCAAATGTTGATATTGAGTGTTTGTAGGACTCTTTGAGATAGTGTCAAAACTCATGATATACTAACCAGATGAATTGCTGTTTTGTTCTAGTGTCCGGTATTAGGGGAGATCTCATAAGACTTGAATGGAAGTAATGCATGATGGTTTCGATGATTCATCTCTATCAGATGAGTTGTTTTTCAATCAAGATGAATTGATAGAGAAAATCATTGTTATTGGCTAGAACACTTGGGACATACTTTTCTTTTTCTTCTGTTTCTGGATGCTATTTTTTATTCTTTAAAATTGATCTTATCTTTAATTTTGAAGTCCTACACATATGAATTCATTTGTCTCTTTATTTTATTTTATTTATTTAACTTGTCATGTTTTGAATGCTCATATGTGCATCCCTTAAATGTCATTTTTCATTACAGATAGAATTCAGTAGTTTTCTAGTAACTTTGAAAGGCATCTCCCAGACCTTTCATATGTGCATCCCTTTAATGTCATTTCATTACAGATAGAATTCAGTAGTTTTCTAGTCAGTTTGAAAGGCATCTCCCAGACCTTTCATCTTGTTTTTGCTATCTAATAGGAGCTCAGGGGTTTCCAAAAGGTGGACTTAATACGATTGTCCTGAGAACGAAAATTTCCGTTTATCTAGTCCATATTGTTTAATTTTTTCTAGCAGTAAGAGTCTGATAATATATTTCCCCTGCCTCATTCCAAAATCAAATCATTATCTTCAGTATTTTCTATTTCTTAACGGAGTAGAAAATGGATTGCTAATTTTTCTCCATTCCTACACAAGATTAAGAAACAGAAGGCTCTGTAATTTTTAAAGAGGAAAATCTGCGGTTCTAAAAGAAAGAGTGGCAGAGGAGAAAAATGAGTGAATTCGTATTGCAATCTGCAAGAGAAGAAAAAAATTGTGACCCAATTACGGGGTATATCCTTCCTCTCAGATCTTTGGTTTCCTTTTCATCTTGGTTGGTGGGGAAGCCTTTAAGAGACTCGACTTGCTGCGTGTTTAAGGCTGAAATAGTGGCAAACTGTCTTGCACTTAACTTCTGTGACATGCGTTTTCGAGTCAATTAATTTCTATGCCTGAAAGAGATCAGGTACATGAGTTTCACATGTTTTCAATATTGATAGTAATTGAAGTAGATGAAATTCCATTTAAAAAGTATATCTTTGCGTATGTGCCCTTTGTTGCTTGGCAATATTGACGGATATTATTAAGTTCTTTTGGTCTTTAATTCATGTTTTGCTGTCCAGAAGACTCTCCTGGAACAAATTATCGATGTAAAAGCTTAGCAATAGTCACTATGTTTGTTTATTAACCAAAAGTGCTAAGGAGAAATCATGTAACAGTGGGACGCTTTTGACTATATTATTCTAAAATTTAGTGCTTCATTTTATGCAAACAGATTGTAGATAAAATGGAAACCTTTTCTTGTCTTCGTCAATGGTTTTTGAAGAAACTTTAAACTTGTTTTTGTTGAAGATTAACTCAAGAATCGATGTGCTATGATTTTTTTTTCAACTGTGAAAAAGCTTTCCTATATCAGGAAACGTATTGAGATATGAGCTATCATCCAATGGACAGAAGTAATGGCTGTATTTCTGAGGTCCCTTTTTGTTTCACTTTCCCACTTCTAAGCTGGATTCTGTTTATAATTCCATCAACCAAAACCGATTTGTTTATACATTTCATGTTTTATCTCTCATTTTATTAATTCGTGAATTCCCTTTTTCGGCTTCTATCATTTTTGTGTTTGACAAAACTTTTGTTGTCTTCTCACATTTTTAGGGTGCTAAATCTTGTGATGGCGCAAATTTCCAGTTTGTTGAAAATAGTATAGTGTGCCATGACTATCAGGAAATTAAGATTCAAGAGAGCGCACAGGTCATGGGTGTTGGTTCTATACCCCGTTCAATACCCATTATTCTGATGGATGATCTTGTTGACACTGTTAAAGCTGGAGGTACCACAGGAATCAATTTTTTTTCACATGTTTGTCATCCATCTTTTGTTCAATGGCGTAAATTTTTTCTTTCCCATAGGATGTAACACTTCTCTTGCATTTGTTCTCAAGGTCGTCAATGTAACTCATTTACTTGTCTAGTGAAAGGATTTATGGGATGTAACCTCAAGTGACTCATTAGATTTAACTAGAGTTCTTCGTAGAATGAAGTTGAGGTTCAATGCTAGCGACCAGTTTTGCACTACTATATTTTAACATATGGATCGATTTTCAGCGGTCAAACTTTTGAAAGCTCCAGCACTTTGGAAATATCAAGTGTCTGAGCTGGAGATCCATAAGGTGGCAATGGAGCTCTTTAGAGCTTCCCCTGGCTTTGGGTTTATTGGAATTTCATGACAGATTAGGTCATTCAAGGAAACAGAGGAGCTACGTGATGTATATTCGATGAAAGTGGCAAGGTTACCATATAGACCTAAGCCCCTTTTATTGCTTAAGCAGAGCTGCCATACAATCCCTTTTTAATGGTGGCAGGTCAGCATTAATAGGACCTAAATGAACCAAAAACTACCACACAATTTAATTCTTCACGTGAAGAAAATGGCATTTCTTTGGGGTTGGAGAGAACTTTACTTTTTAATATGAGCATCATTTTTCTATTTCTAAAATCCTAATGTCTAGTATGATGAGCAAATGATTATGATACTTTTTCAGAAAAATGACAATTTCTGCTGACTGATAGATCGGTCATGACCAAGAACAAAGAGCCTTCTTGGAATCAAAATTTCAATGTAAACCTACGTATACAATCATTGTAAGCTGGAAAAGTGAGAGAGATCCATAACTTATTATGCCAGACTGGGTCGTTGGATCTTCGGTATGTATTACAGCCATAGATTGTCCTACAAAAAAACGGTGGAATAGACTATGGAGTAAATTGTTGATAATGCATCAAATTCTGTTTGCTATTAGATGTATGTGGAAATCGTGCTGGACTTGGATCATCTCCGAACACCTCCCTTCCTTCTTGTCTGTGCTAGCAGTGAACACGAGACAGAAGGCTGAAGCCCTAAATTTCATCACACTCTAATGCTTACATGCTGGTTGGTATTTATACTAACTGGCTGTTATGAAACGGGAGAGAGTAAACCGGACCGGTTCAATTTGAACTGGTTCAGTCTATTGTTCTGTTACAAGGTACGATGGACAGAGAAATAAAGGACGAAACAGTAGATGGAAAAATTATTTCTAATAGTATGTAATGAGATGGCTTGAACATTTTTCATGGAATTTGTCGATTAGGATCAGAAACATGAACCCAGGATATAGATTTGAAGCATGCTTCTCAGATTTTTAAAAAAAAGAAAACCACCGATCGAACTTGGTCAGCAGAACTTGTTTGAAATTTATTAAAAAATGAATAAAATGGAGGAAGTTAAGGAAATCTCTGGCAAAGTCAAGTTGTTCATGGAGTCATCAATACCTGTTCGTGAAACAGTTAGCTCTGGTCCCAGATCAAGTGAGGAAAGGGAAAGGAAGAAACATGCTAATTAGAAGAGGAAAAGAACGTGGAAAGGAGGGTCATGGCCTACAAGATTACTACACAAGGCTAGAAAATTCAAGGGGGAAAAATTCTGAAGAAAACACAGGAATTGGTAAACTGTTTCCTTATAAATTTACATCGCCAGAGATTTGGATTTTACTTTGGTATGTTGTTACTTATTGTGGGTATAAATATCACAATTGTAGTGCTAGATAGGCTTTCGAAATTCTTGTTCTTTTATAAGAAAGGGTAATATACCATATTGAGTAGTATTGTTTTTTCATTGCGTGAAATTTACTTCATTTGTACTTACTATGGGGAAATTCTCAATCCGATCCTAGTAAAGTTTTCTGAATCTAAATCTTTCATTAACAGCCGATTTCCCTCGATTTCTCCAAGATATATGTTATCTTGAAGCACCCATTTCCCTCTTTGAACTGATCTTCAATGTACTTGACTCTCTTTAATAGTTTTGGAAGTCAGGTGATCATAGATTTATTCTCTGTTAAATAATAATCATTAATCTGTGGTTCTTTTCCTCTTCCAGCTTTTATGTATTTAATTATTGTGCTTTTTTTCTCCAGATGATGTCATAACTACAGGTGTTTTATCAGCTAAGTGGTCCTCAGACCTGAAGGATGTTCGTTGTGATCTTGATCCTATTTTACTTGCCAATCACGTAAGGTAGGCAATAGTTATTATATTTTGAGCGGCTTGTTCTGGAATGATGGTAGTAAGATCTGCTGAAATGCTTATGTTTCTCCTATTCAATTGATTTTTTCTATATGAGGCTCTTTTACCTCCAACCATTCTTATTGTGTGATTACTTAAAAATGGCGAACAAGTGTAAGAGCTTGTTTTCCCTTATCAAATCATATTTCTAGATCATTACTTCAAGATTATCTTTTATTGTGGTTTGATTGCATTATCTGTACACATGAAAGCTGTTTTGAAGATTATTACTTGGTCTTTCTCATTACTCGATAGTCATGATCTATTTATGAAAGATTCTTTTTTGCAAAGATTATGTAGAAAGCATTAATTCGACATTAGCACTATTTTCGATCTTATCAGGGAAGCTCTATCATGTGGTTAAGGTTTTTTCTTGAGGTTTAGTCAGTCAGAACCTTGTGAAAGAGTGACCTTTCGATCCTATCATTTCTGAGTCTTGTATACTTTCATCTGATGCTGCTAATATTTGGGCAATACAGAAATGAGTTGTACCAGCCTTTAGCCCCTTATTTTGGGTTGTTATTGGCAGGAGAAAAAACTTTCAAATCTAGTTTTGTTTAATATCAGGTGAGGAATACAGGAGGAGAGGCTTTAGGAGCCTAAACTGCCCAAGAAATCTGTTGAGAATTGATCTTGATTGAGATTCTTCACGATCCTCCTCTTCCAGGAAGATGAATTAGTCGCCACTTCTTGGAGCAGAATTTCTGTAATCCCAAAATCTTACATCAATTATCTTGGTTTCCCACTTAAGTACAGGCTACATGAGTTAATGGGCCAAGCCCATTACATTAGTCTTTAAGTGGATCCGTTAATAGTCTAATGGATCCACTTAACATAGGGAATGACAGAGAAGGATGAAAATACAGTGAAAAGAAACAGATAGAAAGGAAAAACAATCCTAGAGAGTTCAACAGCCCCTCTCAAGTTGGGTATGGATGTTTTCCATGCCCAACTTGGACACCATCCTTTGAAATATCGGTCTTGTTAGTCCCTTTGTGAATATGTCAGCAACCTGTTCTGATGTCCCAACATATATTGATCTACATCTCCTATTTCTACTTTTTTTTTGATAAAATATCGATCCACTTCAATATGTTTAGTCCTATCATGTTGTACAGGATTTCGGACAATAGTTATTGCTGACTTGTTGTCACATAACAATTTCATATGATTTGATTGGTTGACTCTCAATTCGTCCAGCAAACCTCAAATCCACAAGCCTTCACATATCCCTTGGGCCAATGCCCTGAATTCTGCTTCAGCACTAGATCTTGCAGCTACTTGTTGCTTTTTGCTTCTTCAGGTCACAAGATTTCCACAAACAAATGTACAATAGCCTGATGTTGATCTGCGATCTATAACAGACCCTGCATAATCAGCATCGGTGTAGATTTCGACAAATTAATTCCCTCCATTTTTGAATAGAGTGCCCTGTCCTGTTGTTGTCTTTAGATATGCCAACGCTCAGTATGATGCCCATAGGTATATCTCCCTTGGATCATTCATATGCTGACTTAGTACATTCACTGCAAATGTTATATCCAGATGGGTATGATTTCGATATATCAACGTCCCAATCAACCATTGATATGAGCTTTTGTCCACCTGATCAGAGTCTTTACCTTCTCCCAAATTTAAGTTGGGATCAATTGGAGTGACAGCAGATTTACACTCTAATTTTTCAGTCACTTAAAGTAAATCAAGAATATACTTGTGTCATGAAAGAAATACACCTTTTGAATATGCAACCTCAATTCCCAAGAAATATTTTAACCTTCCTAGGGATTCTATATCAAATTTCCTAGATTGATTTTGGCCAAGGCATTCATTTTCCTCAGTATCATCTCCTGTTATGATGATATCATCCACATGCACAATTAAGGCTGTAACCTTATTTTGGTCACCACACTTAATGAAGAGAGTGTGATCCCCATTGCTTTGTATGTACTCAAATCCTTTCATAGCTTGAGTGAATCTCCCAAGCCAGGCTCGGGGTGATTGTTTTAAGTCATATAGAGATTTCTTCAACCTACAAACAACATTATTTTGATGGGTAAATGTGTAACTTGGAGGTACATTCATATATACTTCTTCCTTCAAATTTCTATGAAGAAATGCATTCTTCACATGAAACTGATGTATTTCCCATCCTAGATTTACTGCCAATGCTATAAGTATCTGAATGGTATTCAGCATTGCAACAGGAGCAAACGTCTCAAAATAATCAATTCTATAAGATTGTGAATAACCTATAGCTACCAACCTTGCCTTGTATCTGTCAAATGTTCCATCAACTTTATACTTAGGAGTATATACCCACTTGCAGCCAACCACCTTTTTTCCTGAAGGCAAAGGGACTAAGTCCCATGTACAGTTCTTCTCTAGTGCATCAATCTCTTCATCCATGACATGACTCCATTCGTTGTGTGACAGGGCCTCTTTTACTATCGTGGGGATAATAATGGTCTTCAGGTTCATGAGAAAAGACTTGTATGATGGTGTTAACCTATCATATGGTAGATTGTTGACCATAGGATAGAGTGATTTATTTATACAACTTCTCTTTCCTTTGCGTAGAGCATGGGCCAATCTAGTTGCTCCTCATCAATGGCTTCAGTGAATTGCTGATCCTCTTCTTGATCAGTATTATAAATTTGAGATGTGTCTCCTGTACTTGGACCAGTTTCTTTGGTTGGTTCTCTTTATAGTGTAGGTAAATTATTCATCTCAGCTGGTATATTTTGTGTCTCCACTCTAGGTTGTCTTCTATACACTTGTATTTCTTTGATGTTAGAAATGGGTGTCTCCTGAATCACGAATTCATAATGTCCTGTAACTCAGTGGCAGCAATCGAGTTCTCTAACTCTTGTGGATTTTTCACCCCATAATATGGTTCCAACTCACTAAAAGTCACACTAACTGAGATGAATTTTTTAGAAGTAGGATTATAGCACTTATAACCCTTTTGTGTAGTTGAGTACCCAACAAATATGCACTTTATAGATTGTGGATCAAGTTTTCCCATTATGCCTTGAGCATGACATAAACAGTACATCCAAATACCCTTGGATGAAGATGAATCTTTAGTTTCACATGAGGATATAATTTACTTAACAGTTCCATAGGACTTTGATATGCTAGTATTTTTGCTGGGATCCTATTAATAAGATGAGTACTAGTGAGGACAGCTTTACCCCAATATTGCCTTGGAACTTTTTGTTGAAACAAAAGAGCTCTAGCTGTATCTAGTAAGTGTCCGATTTTTCTCTCAGCTACCCCATTTTGCTGGGGTGTATTGACACAAGATGACTCATGAATTATCTTTTTCTGATCAAAGTAAGAGGACAGTCGAATTGAAATAGTCTCTAGCATGATCTGATCTAAATCTCTTGACAATAGTTACGAATTGATTATAGATCATTTCACAAAAAGATTTCACCACTTGGGTGGCGTTTGATTTTGATTTTAGGAGGTAAACCATGTAAACCTGGTACAGTCATGAACAAATAAGATAAACCACCTGCATCCAGACAAGCTAATCATAGGCGTTAGCCCTCAAATATCACTGTGTATACGATATAAAGGGATTGTACTGTATTCACCAACATTTCCAAATGAGGAGAATTTATGTTTGGCCAATTGACAAGTGTCACACACTGGAGTTTTTACATCAACACCTTCAAACATAGAAGGAAACCATGTTTCTAAGAGATCAAAGGAAGGATGTCCAACACTACAGTGTTGTAACAGTATACTATTCTTTTTGTGTTCACTGACTCCACTCCAAGGTGACTACTGTACAGACATTGTTGCACGATCATCCCCTTCCCAGTAGAGCAAGCCTCCTCCTTCCTTAACATGTCCAATCTTCAGCCCAAGACCTTGTCACACAATGAACATCCATCGTCCTCAAGAATGAAATGACAATTAATATCTTTAACAAGTTTCTGTGGTGAAATCAAATGAGCCTTTAGTTTATGCACATGTAAAACATTTCTTAAAGTGCCTAAATGATTTATTTCAAGTTCTCAATCCCTTTAACTAGTAGAATCTTACCACCAACAATAATAACTTTCCTCTGTCCATCACATTTCGTATAATCAACAAATTTTCACATATTTGAGGTCATATGATCTGTGGCGCTAGAGTCAAGTATTCAGGATAATTTAGATAAATTGTTGAATGCATATGATTTTGAGAAAAAAATATTCTCACCTGACTGAACCAAGGACGGAGAGCTCAGCATACTCTCGAGTTTCTCTACTTCTTCCCTCAGTCTTTTAAATTCATCACCCTTTTGCTGATTGCTAGGATTGGGAGGTTCCTTTATCACAGATTGACCTTCTAGTCTCTTCTGGTTGAGAAGTAGTCACATACGTCCTTGTTGAGGTGATCGTCCATGTAACTTCTAGCAGTTTTCTCTTGTATGAAACTTCTTCTTGCAATATGAACACCAAAAGTTTTCTTTGTTATCCCACTTCTGGTATCTTCCTTGTGATGTAGTGATTGGGTTTTGTTTTCTCTCCTTTTTCTCTAATTGATTCCTCTGATCTTGCTTGTTGGAGGTGAAGGTTGTTGACTCATTCTTCCTAGTATCGATTAGACTCAATCTACTCTCCTCTTCCATAATAATCTGGATAGCTTCATCCAGATCTGGTACCTTCTCACGATGGAGAATTTGACCCTTGAGGCTTTCATAATTAGAGTTCAGTCCCATTATTCCATAATTGAAACATAGAATGTATACATTCTATGTTTCAATGTATACATGTGGTCCTCAGCACTAAGATTCTTTACTGGCCAATAATGATCAATCTCCCTCCATGTAGCCCTTAGTTCACACGAATATTCCATAATTGATTTACTTCCTTACACAAAATGTGTTGCCTTAGACATTAGGCCATAAATTCTTCAATTGTTATGTTGCACGAAATGTGTATGAATAGGAAATTCTCATACATCTTTGGTGTCATTGTACTTAGCTATCATGTATAGATAATAGCCTCTTCTGATTTCCATCCTCTATATTTTGGATCTGATTGCTTCAATGGTTCTTCTATAAGGTGATCTGTTAAGCTTTTTTCAAAAACGTCAGATCAACAAACTGATCCAATTGATGAAGATTTATTCAATTGAATCTAAGTTTCTTTGGGATATTTGAGAGAGTATCATATCGTCTCTCCCTTTCTCCAGTCATCGCTGGAGATGATACGAGTTCCATGAATAACGAAGAGCCTTCTCCTGAATGCATTCTGAAAGTCTTTTTCCTTCGTAGAATGCCTCAGTTCATTGCTTGCGGAAGGTTTCTTTCTTCCTTGGTGTTACTCCAACACAGAAACAAGAAAAACAAGATTCAAGAAACAAGAAACAAGAAGTATCAGATCCTATCAGAATCAGTACCGCTTTGATACCATGTTGAGAATTGATCTTGATTGAGATTCTTGCAACTTGGAGAATGAAAGGATTCGATTTTCACGATCCTCCTCTTCCAGGAAGATGAATCAGTCACCACTTCTTGGAGCAGAATTTCCGCAATCCCAAAATCTTACATCAATTATCTTGGTTTCCCGCTTAAGTACAGCTTACATGAATTAATGGGCCAGGCCCATTTTCTCTTCTCTTTACCACGCGATAGTTCAGCGAAGCGTGAGTGGTCAGCTTAGCTATGAATTTGACATGACACGGTCCCTCCGAAGACTTCATGAGCTACGGTTTACAGTTTTTAAGTAGATCCGTTAACAGTCTAATTGATCCACTTAACATAGGGAATGACAGAGAAGGACGAAAATACAGTGAAAATAAACAGATAGAAAGGAAAAAAAATCCTAGAGAGTTCAACAAAATCACATACAATGGGAGGTACAGGAACAGCAACATGAGAGCGCTTTTTTTTATTCTGGTCCATGCCAATCCCAAATCGGGACTTACATACTGACGCTATGTGAAGTTAGTTGCTGAGAGATGATTATTTAGGATGAACACAGAAAGACAGCAGATGAGGAAGTTACAGTGAAAAAAAAACTTCGAAAATGGTTGCACAGACTAGAGGAAAAATTACTTGGTCTATATACCTCTCCTTGGATGCAATAAGATTCTTCTTTTACTCTCATTTCTTAATATAATGTCTTCAAATCATGATTTAGACTCACAATATTAGAAACTTTGAGTGTTTATGAGACATAACATCCAGTATTGGAGCGATTTAAAACTAATTGAACAAATAGAATCATATTTAATGTCAACTAGAATGATAAACTTTATTACTTACTAAATTGAAAGTCACTTTTCATCCTCATATAGTAGTTTTATGTAGTGGAGGGTATTTTTTTACATTTCTGAGTTTTTAGTGATCTGTCTAGTGCACCCACCTGTGTGGGCGGTCCTCAGATGTTTACTACAGTTGGTTCCATCTCCTTCTTAGAGCTTTCGGATGTTTGCTGATAATTAGATCGCCACTGGCATACGATTTTGATTTGGTTTGTTGCTAGATGGGGACTCGTGATGTCGATTTTGATTACTAGTACTTTTGCCAGTAGAATCTTTGGGTGTATAACTAGCACCATTGAATTAGCGAGGGCATCCAGACATACTAAAAATAATATATGACTGGATGTATCTCTGCTCACTCCATAAAACGTTAAAAATAACTAACTCCCCTCCTCTAATCTGGGTCTTCCTCTGATTGCCCATTTAACTGATCCAATCTCATTCTTGTTGCTGCATAGAGTACTATATGCAGCATACAACATAGTACACCTTTATGGAAAGATTGATATACATATCGGAGAACATGTAGTTGACTGGCGGTTTGATCATTGTATCTTCCTACTTTGGCTCCTTTTTCCTGTACTAATGTACCTTCTCATATACATCTTTAGTCACTCTTAGACTGAACGTGTGAACATATGAAGTATGCTGTGAAAATAAGACCAGAGGGGGGATCGTATGATAGACGTGCAAAAGCTATTTCTAGTTGGCTCATTAATGCCTACAGTGGCTGCAAAAGCTATTCCTGAAAAGACGGAACAACTGTACATTTGTGGTGTTTGAACCCATAATTTTATGGCTTGTCGTTCTCGAAATCAGTTATTGAAATTTAGAGAAGTAGGCTCAAAGTAATTCAATATCAATTTTTTCTCGCACTGATGCAAATTTATTAAGGAGAGTTCACTTTGCTTTCAATATGTGCCTAGGATGTTAGTTTATTGTAACTAAAAAATGCTGTAATATTTACAGATATTGAATCTATGATTTCTAATTGTGTGTTTTATTGGATACCAATGATACAAGGAATACTACAGAGGTAGGGAAGAATGGATGACAAAATGAAATGTGATAGACTGTTTGATAGATGACAACTTGAAAGTCTCCTTTCTTGAGAGTTTTAATGGTTCGATTTGACATCTGGTTCTATGCTCGCACAATTTACTAACACTGTTTGCACGACCAAAATGCTATTAAAAAAGCCAGTGTTCAACTCTTTCTATAGAAATTGTGATGTGATCACATTCTGGTAAGAACACAAAAATTTGTCGTCTATTTCTTGGTCGCTGTAAAGATTAGTTGTAATGGTACATATATTTATTGACATTTAGTTGACCATTCAAAACTTGAAATAGCTTACTGAATACATCCAGTACGTTTTCCAGTTTCAAGATTCTCTATTTTTTTATGATGTGATTCTTTACTCCTTGGGGCTGGCAGGTGAACCTGTTTGCATTTCAATTTATTAACTTATAGATCTTTTTTATTTTTACAGGAGAACCAATGAACTAAAGTCAGATATGGATACCCCTGATGATATGGTCAAAAAGTTTGAGCAATTTTGGTCTGATTTCAGTGACAAGCCGCTGAAAGGTTTCTTTCATGGTTTTCATTTGCCATACTTGATTTCCTGATACATGAAGCTGAAATTTTATATTTATAGAACTAAAATCATTTTCAGGAAGAAACATTATTTTGCAAGGAATTTGCCCTCAGGTTTTTGGACTCTTTACTGTCAAACTTGCAGGTATCACCTCTCATTTGGTTTTCGAGTATGTCCGAACAGATCTATTTGTCTGAACTGATTTACAACCTTTCAGATATTTCTTTGTTGTTTCCTTTCTTTCTTAACATAATCATTGCTTGTTGACTTGTCTAGTTATGTTAACGCTTGTCGGAGGTGTACAGCATGTTGAGGCTTCTGGAACTAAAGTTCGTGGAGAGTCTCACCTACTTTTAGTCGGTGACCCAGGTATGCTGTCGTGAGACGACCTATCATACTGGTTAATACCTGGATGAAATACGTGTATTTTAGGTTTCTTCTCTTATTCACGGTCCGAGAAATTGCCTTATACTTTGCAAAACCCAGAATTTTATCCAGCATCTTATCGGCATTTATGTTGGTCAAGCACTGGCCAGTTTCTCATCAAGCATTGAACTTTACCCAAAAGTTGATTCTAAAACTTGCAAGTGTTCATCGAATGGCACACTAGTTTGGTAAATCGCTGGCCAAAAAAAGCACCTGACGGGATCAACTATTCTGTCTCTGTATATGTATTTCATGCACGTCGGACCCATGCAGACTTTTGCAGACTTTTCTAGTACCCCATGCAACTTGCCTTTATTTCTTCTTGATTCAAGCGAGCTATTTTCAACTGGTTTTGTCATAAATTCAAGTACTGGAAGATTTGTATTTGTGAAATTCGATACTAACTTAACCAAGAGATCTGTTGTTACTGATGGATTGGAAGTATCAGTGGGTGACTGACTCTTTCTGACTAGCATGCATAAATTTCAGGTACTGGGAAATCGCAGTTTTTGAAATTTGCCGCTAAGTTAAGCAATAGATCTGTCATTACTACGGGATTGGGAAGCACTAGCGCGGGACTGACTGTTACTGCTGTCAAAGATGGAGGTAGCTTATTTTGTTGTATTTCCTCAAGTTCAAGTTTCAAACATATAATTCACTTATCTGGAAGGTATCCAATTATCTGGGCTCCTTTTTTTCCCCTTCATTTATTTTCTTCTTCAATACAAACAAAAAGTTTTAACATAGTTTATTTGGAAAGTGAGTTTTTATTTTTTATTCTTTACTCACAATTTGAATGGAAAAATGTGATAAAAGTGATGGCTAAAATGGCGCACCCTAGGCTCAGATATCATGCCTCGTATGCATCTCAAGTGAATACAATTTGGTTTGCACACAGTACATGGCAATTAAGGGGTTTGATCGGGCATTTATGCACCACTCCATAGTAAATCAGGGATCCTAGTTTAGAGAATAGGAAACTCTAAATATTAACATTTCTCTTATGTTAATAGTAAATCAGGGATCCTAGTTTATGACTCCTTATTTATGATCAAAATAAACGATCAGGTTGCTTTCTTCCAGATGTTACATTATGAAAATCCTACAGAAAATCCTAGATAATTACCAGTAGATAAGTATTGTAGGGAGCATAATTGGGAAAGCATCAGCTAGCCGCCATTCTGCCGTCAGAGGAAATTTGAGTGTCTAGGAAACCTGTCACATCAAATCTTCTCTCGGTCGCCTTGGCACTGTAGTGGGTCTTTTTTATTACCTTTTAAATAATAGAGCCATTACACTAGAACCAACCATGTGCTCCTAGTGAGTGTTCTTTGTCATTAATTTTTTTGTGCAAAACAGGAAGTATCACTGGTTGTTACACATGATGGATCAGTGAAAACAAACTAAAACCTAAAACACTTGATAAAAACATCCTTTTTATCATATTTTGAGTTCAGTTACCTAATATAATTTGGGTCTGATGGTAAGCTTATTTATATCTAACTCATTAACTAATAAAATATGTCATAGGAAAATGAAGCTATGAGTAAATTAAATTAGTCTGTGACCTGCCTTATTTGTTTGGTCGTAAGAATCTTTTATACTGGGGAGTTTATGGGCGGGAAAATTTTAAAATCTCTCTTCAAACTTGGAAATCTTGGAATGTCAGATATTCTCTTTTCTTGTTCCTAGTTCCCATTATCTAGTAAACTGCTCCCATGCCCAGATGGTGATAATTTTAGATGGTACGAACGTAAATTTTTAGTCCTACCTGTAATGTATCATGTCTGTAGCATGGCTCATTATGAACCATTTTGTCTCTTAAACGTTTTCTAGAATTGTTTTTGGAAATTTGTGTTGCATACTTTGTACAAATTTGTTTCTCTGATAGCTTATCAATGTTCCTACCTTATCTGAATCCAATGGTTTCTTCCGAGATTGCATTGGGATTTTATATGCCATCTCAAGTTGTGCTGGGGAAGTCTACTTACATATTGACTTAAAAGCTTCTCAAATATCTTTGGGGCCATGAAATTGATTGTCTGGGACCTTGTTTGTGGGAAACAAAGACTTGATGACGAGTACAATGGTAATGACAATTGTCCTCATCGTCACAGGGGAGTGGATGTTGGAGGCTGGGGCCCTGGTTTTGGCGGATGGTGGGCTCTGTTGCATAGATGAATTTGACAGGTACAAAATACAATGTCGTCATCCCCAGTTTTTTTGCTTGCACTGCTGACCATGAGAATGGTCAGCTGCTTATCGTTAATAGAGGTTCTATTTATTTGGTGAAACAATAGGGTAAGCGGGAACTCATTTACTCATTTTATCATTGAAGATGAGATCTGTATTTAATGGACAAAAAAAGTTCATTAAAGGTATCCTAAAAGCTTCGGTTACAATTTCTGATGGTTATCTTTATCCAATGAATTTATCATTTGCTTCTATCACAAAAAATTGCGAAGTTAATGAGGAGCTGATTAGGGAACATGGTCGTCATGAGCAGAACGTCTTTCTGGTGAATGGGTACAGTCCATTGCCCACTTCTTTTGCCTGAAAATATAATTCTTAGAACGTTGTGACTTGGTTTGACATTGTTTGACTCAGAAAATCTTTGTGGGTGGTCTAAGATGTGATCCACATCTACTAGTTGTTAGCAACGTAATTATTGGAGGGAAATCAGGACATCACTTTAAATTTTCTATCCATAAATTGTGATCTTTTAATTATCCAAGAACTTACAGTTTTGAAGTAAAGTAATAGGTTGGCTGACTATAGGCAACATAAATATATTTAATTGGTTTTTTATTTATAAAACTAGTATAATTTATGAAAAATTATCATTCTCATTGATATTGATCTCTAATCAATTTTTTCACAACACTTCTGGTTTTCTTGGTGTCTGCAGTAAGTTGTGCAATTGCACATGCTACTGGTCTATGTTTCCTATTTCATCTAAATTATGGAAGAAAATTATTTTTAAGAGATAAGCACCACAGTCATGAAAGATATCACAAAAATGTGATGATGCTTGCGTTCAGGACAATATTGGACTCGACTTATCTTAATTTCTATTTACTTCTTACGTACAGCATGAGGGAGCATGACAGGGCAACAATACATGAAGCTATGGAACAACAAACCATCAGCATTGCTAAGGTAATTGTATTTGATTCCCTTTGTAAACATATATTCAAAAATTTGTATGGTCATACTTTTTTTGTCCTATACTCGCTATACTATTTTAGTTGCATTCCATTACTACTTTTATCCCTACAGTTCTAATCTGAATTTCAGCATTAAATCCTTGATGAGCTGGCCAACAGATAACTGCGTACCATTGCTCAAATATAAATATTCTGTCTCCCAGGAATTTAACTATAAATGGATACCTATTTTAAAAATTTCAATAAGAATTATGATGCATAGATACTTTGCTATCATCTCACAGCCTGTTCTTGCAATAATATTTTCCACTTGTCCACATATAAAAAGGTGTCGGTGGTGCTTAAAATTCTCATCAAGTACATGATGATATTGTTGTTGATTGGAAAGTGGAGGGGGATATGACCGGCCGAAAGATGGTTATGCCATCTCCAACCAATCTATTTATAATCATGGCCAATCCAAAATATGATTATAGGAGAAGATTACCCCTATTATAACAGCTTCAATCTATCAAATCAGGCCTGTGGGTACTGTTTAAGCCCATAGAGAGTTTTCATTTAGTTGGGATACCTGCTTCTCTATAACAGTCCTTCGGAAAATCTCGATCTAAGAAATATTCTTCACATAAAGCTGGTACAAGGTATAAGGAAAGTGATTGGCAAGGAAAAAATTATTCAGACTGACTTTAGCTTTTGCTCCTAGTGCAATGGTTTCTTGGTAGTTGACCCCACATATCCATGTTCACTGTTGGACGAAATTGTGGGAATTTTATTTTTTATTTGGCGTTCACCTATGAGCTACTGTTATCAGGACCATTAAGGATGGAATGAGTGGTTAATGCTCGTAATTTAATACCTAATTTCATTTGGAGCGGTAGATATAATCCGTGGAAATAGGTTTCACCATCCGAATGGTTTATTGTGTGGATCATCTTGGAGAAATCATAAATATGAATTTTAATTCCGCTGCCAGTTGAGTTGAGTCATGTATTCAGACTGAGGGACTCTTTCAGTCCATTTCACCAAAAGAACATTGTCTAAGATTGTGAGAGAGAATTTTTTCTTATCCAACTCAAACTCACTGTCATCAAATACTGAGAGCACATTTTTCAACGAAACATAGTGCAAGACAAGTGCGATGACTGTTCATAGCATCATATCGTCTTTCAATTTTTACTTAAATATCTAATTCAGTGTCTGTAAAGGGAAGCAACGTTACTTATGCTTTCCATATCTCCCATTATTTCCAAATAACGTTTTAATTCTCCCATTTGGTTCAGATTTTGGACTGATGCCACTGTTCTTGCAGGCTGGTCTGGTTACAACGCTTAGTACGAGAACGATTGTATTTGGTGCCACAAATCCAAAGGGGCAGTATGATCCTAGTCAACGTATTAAACTCTTTACTTCTCCCACGTTACCATTTCAGCAAAATCTTTTATGTTTCCCTTGTCTCACTTTGCATTTGATAGTTCTGTTCATAGCTGTTTCTCATCAAGAGCGTCAAACCATTATAGAATATCATTCTTCGTTATATCTGATTTCCTTTCTTGAAATGGGTGATAAATTCACTCTGCCGTGACGTTGTTATGCTGATCTTCTTCTTCACCGCCTCCGTTCTTCTCAGCTCTATCGGTTAATACCACACTCTCTGGACCACTACTGAGCAGATTCGACATAGTCCTTGTTCTCCTGGACACAAGGAACCCCGAGTGGGATTCTGTCGTCTCTTCTCACATTCTATCTGAGGTAAACACAGTCGGTTTCATAACATCATTTTGCAGATTTTGTGCCTCAAATGTCCGCAGAAGGAAACCTGCGGCTAACACACCTGCCCTGCATTTTTGTCGAACGCTTAGAAAGAAGAACAAGGATGTGGGAAAGATGAGGAGGATTTGGGAAACGTCTGGTCACTTTCAATGTTGAGAAGGTAAGGCTTTTTCATAGCTGCAAAAGCTCTTAATTTTTTTTCTCGTTGACATTTACTCTGTGGCTCAGATTAGAACCAATCACTTATTCCGTCGAGTGCATACCATTCATTTAGCATCATGAGGAAGGTATCCGATAATATATATATATATATATATATATATATTACTGTTCTTCAGCTTTGGAAGCCCTCAACGTTGTGATTCTTAAGTTTGAAATTGGTCAATGCTGGCTTCTAGACCCATCTCTTGGAGTCATTCCTCCAAGTCACTGATGATCTTAACTGCAACTTTGGGTTTGCCATGGCGCATCTAAATTTGGTTTCAACTCTGTCACATTGATGCCCCTTCTCTGCTCATTCGACCCTCTCTTTATTTCTGCTTAAATCAGTCCTAAACCGCAAGTTATGTCAACGCTGCTGGATCATGTCTCTACTGATTGAACTGATCAATGTGACCTAATTCCTGTTCCCTTTATGTTCTTCGGCCGGAAAAGGTCAATGGAATTATCTTTGATCTTGCTGCCCCTGATTGACTGATGATCCTGGAGATGATGCGTATTTCCTAATCAAGTTCTCGATTTCTTGTCTGAAGACGCACGCTGTTCAGAATAGTCTCATTACTGGTCGTAAAAGAAACATGGGCCCACTCCACTCACTGCCAGTTGACCTCTCCTCCCGTTGACTCTGATACATACTTGTAGCTTGCCTTTTCTCTCTCTTCCCCTTTCCCCTCCGGGTCTTGTTGACTTGGGGCATCCGCCAGGTACATCCACTATGTCAAAGGCCGGTTTAAGCCCGTCCTGACCGAGGAGTCGGAAAGAATTATTTCAAATTATTACCAACTCCAGCGAAGGTCGGCAGTCCACAATGCAGGTGAATTCCTCGAGTTCTTCCTCATCCCTCACAATCTCTCAGATATTTCCCATAACCCGGACGATTTCCTTCTCTCAGCTAGGACCACTGTCCGCATGCTGGAGAGTCTGATCCGCCTGGCTCAAGGTATCCTCTCTCTCTCTCTCTATCTCTATCTCTGTCTCTATCTATCTATCTATATCTATTTCCTTGATTAACACTGAACTCTTTTTTTTCCCGCTTAGAGTATAATATCATCTGTTAATTTTAAACTTTGTGGGGCGTGCAGCACACGCCAGGGTCATGTTCAGGAATGAGGTCACCCGGCTGGACGCGATCACAGCCATCCTCTGCATCGAGTCATCCATGACCATCTCCGCCATTGTGGACAACCTCGGAAACGCTCTCCACTCCAACTTCGCCCCCAACCCAGATGAGGAATGTATCCTTTTCGCAGCCCACGCCTGGTTCATGGTCCTTCTGGTTGAGATCAGCTGGTCCATATTCCGCCCAATCCTGAACCAGACTGCTGGGATCGGGACTATATGATCCATGGGTAGCTCAATCTGGTCCAGTCCTGAACCAGATTGGGTCCTAGATTGACGGATTTGGGTAGGGTCAGCGGTCACGAGCTGACCCGGCACAATCTAGCCAGATTCTTGCTAGGATTTTGGACATTTCTGAGCAGATTTTGTCTAATCCTGAACCAGATGGAGATCAGGATTGGATGACCGGCTGTTCGACCAAGTCCAGCCAAAGACCTGGGTTGGGATCAGCACTAGCTGGTCCAACAAGATAGTTGACTTCATGGGTCACGAGTTGATCCACCACATTCTAACCAGATTCTTAGTAGCGTTTGGATCTTTTTGAGCTGATTTTGTCCCGTCCTGAACCAGATGGGGATCAGGATTGGGCAATCTGGGCCGGGGTCGGCGCTGCCGGCCCAAAAAGATATCTGTATTCATGGATCGTGGATTTACGGGCCCGATTGGATCAGATTCTGAGCCAGATTGGATTTCTGGTCTGATTCGGCTGCGGAGAGCTTTTTCGACCTCCTTGACCTTGCGCCAGATTCCAAGCAGGAAGCGCTGATCCTCGAGAAGCTGCGCGCGGTCCGCTAGTCCTGCGGATTTTTGTCCTCGGGCTTGGGATTGCGCGGTGGGAGAGGGAGTGGCAGTTTCCTCTTTCAGGTAACAATTGTAATCATTATGTTCCGAGGCCTTTTTTGAATGCTGGGGTTCTCCGTGGGTTCTACCGCAAAAATGTTGCGGGACCCGCAAAGTGCCGACTCCACAGGAGGCGGCTGCTGAATTTGCGGATGTGGTGGGGCCCATTCTTGAAAAGTCCCCAGGTCCACTCTCCTCGCGGGTCCCTCGACTCGAGAGACCAAACAAGATGAGAGGGACAGCTGGCGTCAGGTTGGCCGTTTTCAGGCTAGGACACGTGGGGGACCAGGTGACGTGTCACTCCAATCCACCTGTCACCTCCGACCTGATGAGGCCTACGAGGGTTCCTAAAAGTGGGCCCCGGCCCAGCTCACCTCCTCATCTCCTCACCTCCTCTTTTACTTCAATTCCCCAAAGAATTACCATTTTCGAGCAGGATACGCCAATCGTCATTCACCATTTTAGTTCAAACTGCTGCTCTACGGCTTCTGATCAAGTGCAATCTGTCTCTTCTTTCCTCTCTCTAGCTCTCTCTATCTCTATCTCTGTCTACTCGTTGGAAAGGAGGGCCCATAACTTGGGTCTTTATAGACATAACAACAGGAGTCGCCTTCACACGTGGACCTGCCGAAAGAGGAGCGCGATCGCAGCCGTAGATCTCAGGGCTAACAACGTAGCCCAAAGTCCACGTCAGCCAAAAGAGGGTGGTTAGTCCAATGGCGTATCGACAACGCAAACCCCCCTCCCCCCCCCACCCCCGGCCCACTCCAGCCCTCGGTTCACACGCTACTGACTCAAGGCCCTGGGTTAGTTTAGTTATCAACGGGGAGAGGATGGCCACAAAATTTAAAGTCCTAGGGCCATTGGGCCCACGTCGGAGGAGGAGGAGGAAAAGATGGTGGTGGGCACCAAAAAGGAAAGGGGGGAGGGGGGGTGGAGGCTTCCTTCCCCCATAGGGAGGCTTTAATAGGTGGGGACGGACAAGTCTTATGGTCTATGGAAAGAGACGAGGCTTGCTTGGCAGGGAACTGTAGGTTTCCAGTACTGGAAACTTGGGCCCCACCTAGACTCTAGCTGTGGGACCCACGATCTGTCCGTTTGCGTCGTCGTTTCCCAATCTGGGTGTCTCTTGGGAATGAGTTTCTTGCTTCCACACTTGCACTAAACCAAGGGAAGGGGGTGCACCATAGCTTCTACGCTTGTCTATGAACGGGTGATCTTGTCCACAACTGTGGCTAGTTTTATGTTGATCAATAACAAAGTTTGGGGCACCAAGGATGGTAATGTGGTTGTCAACAAGGGGTTAATTTTCCTCTTTGTTTCTCAGTGCCTTCTTAATTTCTTTGATGGGTATTTGGTCAAAGCATGCCAATTATGGTCAAGTGGTAAAAAGCTGATCTGCACAATGCAACCATGGCATCTAGGATTAATGAACAGCGTAGCTAAAAGAGGCATTGACAAGCCCAACTAACAAAAGCACATGGGATGGAGTAGGATAGGATAAGACGATGTGATAGATCCCATGCCCTTGACCCATGTGTGTAATCCACTTTGAGACCAGACTAAATGTGATCGCATCCATTTGTATCATCAATCATATTTCCAATTTGAAACCAGATATGACATTATTGACTGATTAAACAGATTCAACTCCTTGGATCACATGTTGTAGGCCACCAAGGGACAAAAACCAAAGATATAATTTGGTCTATTTTTAAATTGATATGCACAAAATCAGCTAGGTCACTATCAATTATGATTAGTTGATTCTATGACAATGTGCATAAAAGTGTATCTTAGAATGCTATTAAAGATTTCATTTTATAGTCAACTCTGATGTTCCAAGAAAGATTCTCACCATATTCAAATTTTTGTCTAAGTTCTAAAAGCAAGGTATTTTTTTACCAACAGTCAAAACCATAAAAATTCTTTCGATTCTTGGCAAGAAAACCATGTGCATCGTAATCCAAATTCATCTAGCAAAATGCATCAAACAACACTGCTTCTTGTTTCAATTTTATTAGCATTCATTTATGGTCAACTATGATGTACCAAGAAAGATTCTTACTATATTGAAATTTGTATCCAAGTTCTAAAAGTAGGGTAGTATTTACAGGGGTTAGAAGTATAAAATTCTTTCTATTTATGGCAAGAAAACCATATGTACTGTAATCAAATTTCATCTGGAAAATTGCATCAAACAACATTGCTTTTTTCTTGAATCTTGATCATAATAGATATTATAAACAAGAAAAATAGTAAGAATGAACCTACTCAAATTAACAAAGAGTCAAATCTGAAGAAAGGATATCTCAAAAAGTTTCAATAAAATATGCTTCTAAATACTATGAGCTACCCCTGATTTCCATGTGATTAACTAGAAGGGCATAAAGTGAGGTGACATATAGGTAAGCTTTAGATGCATCCAAATTGATGAAAAATGCCATAGTTGTATAATGTAATAAATTAAAATCTTAATCCTAGACAAGACAAGTGGATGGGCATGCCCAGATGGCTCATTTCTTTAACCTTGTCATTTCTTCTTGGGCCCCATGCATGACAAAATGCTAGAGCTCACTTGTCCTTTCTTGATGGTGACCCTATGAGAAGACTAGAAGTAGGCCACAGGATAATTAATTTGAACCCCATAGGAACCTTGTTACCAAGGACCCATTGATGGTGAATTTTATTATGCAAAAGAACCAATAATAAATAATATAAATCCTCATCAGCATGGCCTTATCTTTTTCTAATGAAATAATAATAAAATTAATAGCATATGCACAATGCTAATAAATTCTAGATGAGAGCTTGGTAGATGGATGTTACTACCCAATGGTAAAAAATGTGTCTTCCATATTTATGCAGATGCATGTATATGTATATATATATATACATGTATATACATTTTTATCAACTAGAGATTTGAGATTCCAATTGAGATATGCAGATGTAAAGGCTGAGCTTAAAAATAGATTAAGTAATTCGAAATAGGTCTTACAAAAATGGAGATATATAAAGTTCTAGAGATAATGGGAAGGTGGCAGAACTTTTGGAAATATGGTGTAAGTGGGGTAATCTTTTTGAGATGAGCAAATATGTTTCTTCGTGAGTTCTTGATTTAAAAGAAAGTTGACTAGAAAAATTGCAATAATCATGATACTATGATTATTACTGAGTATTTGAAGTAAATTAATAAAAAATGGTAGCTAACTTATCTTCTTTGCAAATAAATTAATAAAATGGCACATAATTTTAAAATATAACGTTTATAACTAATACATCTATATTTATGATGCTGTAATTAGCAAGATATGTTAGTCTAAGATAACTACATGCTTACATGCAGTGAATTTGTATCTATCCCCTTGGTTCCTATTCTTTGCACACTATATATCAAGATTTGTTCATTTTCTGCATTGCACTATTTTTATATGGTAACATAAATGTGGATATCATTTCACTCCAATCAATTGGTGGATGTAAAGCTTAGAAAGAAGGAAACGAAGAAAATGTTCAAATGAATAGCATATGTAGTGCCATGAGTCAACTCTTTTGGAAAATGTGCTTTTACAAGGTAACAACCAAGTAGACTTTACGAGGTTGACGAATCACAATAATAGATATGGTCTTATTAGACAATTACACTATAACATGCAAACATATATTTATATGCTGATCGTTCTATTGATTCTTGCTTGACTTTTATCCACTACATGAAGCAAGACTTTTTTTTTCTTAATTTTTTTAATATCATATTGTATCATGCAGAGATAATAAACAAGGTATGAGAAGATAAGAAAAGAAAACTTTCCTAGTTTTCTATATGGGTTTCTCGACCTCAGCAAGATGAGTTAACACCCCACTAGCTTACTACTTAAAGTGAACGAGGATTGAAAGGCCTTTGGAAAATAATGCCAACACCCATGAGGAGCAGATTAGTTTATACATGCACAACAACCTACTTCACGTAGGATCACATACATAGCTTATACATAAAATCCTCCTTTTATATTGCCAATGACATGGGCCTAGACTTTAGTAAAAACATAGACTTATTACTTTAAAATGTATGGAGAAAGGCATACATTAGACATACTTTAACTTTTTGTGTGACCCACATGCTTTAAAAACACCTTTGACCTCCATTTATACTTAGCTCTTAGCCCCTAGGATTTTAGGGTCTCTGACAATTTCGGCCCTAAATCTTTAAGAGCTCTAGAAGTCGCTTGAAAGAGACTACAATCCTACACATAAATCCATTTATATGTATAATTTATATAATATATATATATTTTTATTGGGTAAGCGAATATCATCTGATGTGTGAACTCCTTCACATTGACTAAGTGCTTGCTATTTGAGGAAATTCCATATCTTCCAAAAACTCATTGGTCCAAATGGGTGGACCTGATTGCTTGGTGTCCCAAACCTCCCTCTTATAAGCATACATAATCATCATGACGGAAACCCCAGCGCTGACCTCACCCTTCTCAAGTAACCAATGCAATGTGTAACCTCCCCCTAATAGTTACATGCAGGGTCAACCGCCCAAGGGAGGATTTCTAGAAAGGGACAAAAGTCAAAGAGAAATGGGCTTTGGGGGGTCTAATATCTAGCCTAACCCAAGTTAGCTACTGTTGAAGCTGACAGCATCTTCCGAGGCGGCGGCAGCTCACATAGTAGCTTAGCAGCCATGGTGACGTCGCACAAGCAGCTGATTCGTCGGAGGAAGACAAGAAGGAAAAATATTCGAAAACCCAACTTGTTTATCCGATTGCTCGGATGGGCGAGGACTATCGTACAAAAACTACAGGAGGCACCAACTATGTCATATATATAAATAGTTGAAATATTAGGGTATATTACAAAAATCAAGGAGGGGGTGGTGGAGGGGGGGGGAGGTGAGTGCGTGTGCTTATTCAATTTTCTTTTTATTTATATAATTATCTCTCAGACTACTCGTCACATTGAATTGCTCTGCTGGGGGGGCGGCGCCGCCGTGGGCGGCGGCGGTCAGCTCCACTGGTCGGAGTAGTACCAGGAGAGAGTGGGCGGCTGGTCGTCGGTGAAGAGGCCGCCGCCACCGCCGCCGAAGGGCTCGTCGCTGCTCAGGAAGTCGTGCTCCTCCACCATCCTCACTACCACCGGCGGAGGAGAGCCGGAGAGGTGGCGGTGGTAGAAAGGCGGAGGGCCGTCGCAGTAGTAATAGCCGTCGGCGGCGGCGGCGCCGTCCAGGGACGGGATGGGCGGCGGAGGCCCCGTCAGCTGCGGCTGCCCCCGAGGATTGGGGCTGCACTCATCGCCGGCGCCGGTGACGACGGCGGCGGAATCGTCGCTCTCCGCCGGTAGCAGCGGCTCCTCCTCCGAGAGGCCGACCTTGCTGTCGCACTCATCCCCCGCCACCACCTCCTCCTCCTTGTCGCTGGTCCTCGCCCGCAGCTCCTCCACCTGCCCAGCTCCCATCCCCACCGTCAGCTATCCAGAACAACACCGGCGCAGCAGTAGGACGACTTTGGACGAGTTTCCAGGAGGATGATAAGGACTTTGGAGGAGAGGGAGGATAAAGAGCTCGGAGAATGATAAGGAGTTTGGAGAAGGGTGAGGAGGGTAAGGAGCTTGAAAGAGGAGGATGAGGAGCTTGAACGAGGGAACTTGGCGGAGGAGGAAGATAAGGAGGGCCTGCTTGCCTGTGCGAGGAGGGCTTTGCGATCGGCGGTGAGGGCGTCGAGGGAGAGGCGGAGGGCGTCGTAGTCGGACTTGAGGGCGGCGTAGTCCCTCTCCAGCTGCTTCGCCTTCCACCTCGCTCTTCGGTTCTGAAACCACACCGCCACCTGCCGTGGCCGCAATCCCAGCTCCTCCGCCAGCCTCACCTTCCTCTCCGGCTCCAGCTTGTTCTCCTCCTCGAAGCTCCTCTCCAGCGCCCTCACCTGCTCCCCGCTCAGCCGCCTCTTCCTCTCCCCTCCCGCCGCCCCCGCCGCTCCGCCGCCGCCGTCCTCATCTTCGTAGACCCCTTCCTCTCCTGCACCCATCCACCCAGAGAATCTCTCCCTCTCTGTCAGGCCATTGATGGAGGAGGAAGGAGGAGGAGGAGGAGGAGGAGAAGAGGAGTTACCAGTTGCAGACAGGCCCATGAGCTCGGAGCTGCTGCTGCTTCTCTCCCTCTTCATGGCCGCCGAGCTTCCCCGGTTATCTCGTCCAGGAGAGGGAAGATGAGAGGATCGGTGGAGAAGACGCCGGAGAAGAAGACGAAGAAGAAGAATGGACCTCCACGGCAAGGACACGATGGTGCCGCCGTCCCTCCTTCAACATCCTCCGCCTCATCTCCCCTCCGCCACCGGCCACTGGCTCTGCGTAGAGAGAGGATAAGGAGAGAAACCTAGCGAGGCAACGCAAGCTGACAGACAGAGCTACCAGAGAAAGCAAGCGGAGACGGGAAGCTGCACCAGACTGTGACTCTCTCTCTCTCTCTCTCTCTCTCTCTCTCTCTTCCCTGCTCCCGACGGGCGGCCGCCGCTCACCAAGGAATATATAGATGGGAGATGGTTCTCGCCACGGTTAACCTCACCGGAAGGTCTCCCGATTCATACTGAAGGTAAGATAAAACCGGGGATAAGGCTCGCCCTCGGCGGGGGGGGGGGAGGTGACGTGATCCGAGTCGCCGGGGCGGGTTGCCAGAAATGAAATGCCAGACCAAATTCCTCTCTAATGCGGGGTCTCAATTAAATTCACATCCCCAATATTTATTTATTTTATATTCTTAATATCGTGGGCTATAATATTTTTAAATACATATTTTCGTATTTTATATGCCCCGAAGCGACGGTGGGCGTTGGGAAATGGTGACAGATGCAAAATTTGAGAATTGACCCTCCTTCTTTCCCTTAACAGAGAAGACCTCTAAAAAATGTATATTTGAGCCAAGCCCTTCTTGTGCTTTAATTAATACATAAGTTGTTTTTACTGAACTTATTCGATCGAGCGGGCCAGGGCCATGTTCCCTAAATGGGCCCGGCCAATTCCGACCCTAATCGAAGGTGGCCGGATGTCAGTTTGTGGGGCTTTCCTCGGGGCCTCTGTCGGGCTTTTCTAGGCCCGGCCCGTTGGCGCCGCAATCTTGCGGGGTGCTGATCGTTACAGAGTCAACGGCCTCCGCGCCAACCGACAATCCCCCGACACGGGTTCGGTCGACGGTCTCTTACCCTCACCGCGAGTGGCCGCATCCCCTCCTCTTCCTTGGAAAAGCATTTTCTAGCTTATCAGCATTTAAAGGACGTGACGTGGAATTGGATCGAGTGTTGCGCCAGCGGATCTGTCGCCGGCGATCCGATCAGGACGGAAACTCGCGGATCCAATTCGGTCAATGCAGTCAACGCCACGCCATCACCTTGCCGCCTTCATCAGGGCTCACTTAATGGGCCGAACCACATCAGTTTGGCACCCCATGTGGCCGAATTAGGCCTGTTTGAACCTCGTCTTCACCAGTGGGAATGGGTATTAGTCAACGGGGAGGAACCCGCAGCGCCGCCGCCGGAGACCGGCCGCCGTCCACTTCTCAACGCGTGTCAGGAGAGAGAGAGAGAGAGAGAGAGAGAGAGAGAGGGAGAGTTGCAGGCAAGTCAGACACCTACATTTCCTCGTCGGGGAAGGAAGATTCCTTCCTTTCGATGTACGCCTCCCAGGCGCCGAGCAGTCGGAAAAATTCCTTTTATGGAAATACTTAAGAAATTAATTTTTACAGTAATTTAGTTTGTATATTAAGGAGGCATGAATAACACCTGCTGAGCAGAAAAAAAACATTTTATAAATAAAACATAAATAAAAAGAAGCAGCGATGAGGACATGGATGTCATTTTCCTTATCTGGAGGGGTCAGAAGTAAGAATATATATATTTTTTTGCATATGTCCCTTCAAAAGCACGTCATGACAATCTTACCGCGCATTGTCCATAAAGAAATGGGAAGGTGAGAGGACTCGGAGTTTAAATTGATGATGGAAAATTTCGGAAAAGCCCCTCGAAAACCATCCAACGGCAAAGTTGCCGGAGGGGAAATGAAAATTAACTTACAGGGAGGGAGCGGAGGCCCCTTAATAGAGGCCCAAGAATTTCCACCAGACGGCTCCGACGACCCCCCAGATGAGGGCGTTGACAGCGGCCATTATGAAGCCCAGTCTGAAGACATCTGGGAGCTCCACGTACCCCGCTGAGCAGGAAGAAAGAAAAATAGCTCAATAAAAAGATGACGACCGATAAAAGAGGAAAGAAATTGGGTCGTCACGGAGTGCTCAGAATCTGACGCATTTTTCAGAGATTACCATTAAAATCCGTCAAGCTTTGAACAAAGGAACCACATTTAATCAATTCGGAGCCTGATATTTAACTGAATTCATGGGCTAGAAAAATACAAAAAATAAAAAAAACGCATAAAATCCGAAGGGCTTATCTAAAATGGGAAGGAGAGAGAGAGAGAGAGAGTATGTCTGGTATTTTCCTCGAGTTTGTCTTTTTCCCTGAATGGATCACGGGTTAAATAAACCGATAGTCAACGGGTGGTGATGGGGTGAAAAAAATTGTTTCTCTCTCTAGGTTTAGCATCAGACCTACCCTAAATTTGTTACTCTTTTAGAGAGAGAGAGAGAGAGAGAGAGAGAGAGAGAGAGAGAGAGAGAGAGGGTGGCGTTTCTCCTGAGTTCTTCCGATGACCTTACTGGTATAGAAATGAAGAACAGGGTAGAAGGATTGAGCTCATACCTCCGTAGTAGACGGCAGCCTGGCCGCTGCTATAATGCGAGAGCGCACCAAAAAGATTTGTGTTGTATGCCAGAGCGAGGGCCGCCAAGATGCCAGGAACCCCAGATGCCAGATGCATGGCGAGGAAAGCAGAGTATAGAGCTCCGACATGGCCGGTCTGGCTGGCGAACAGGTAGTGGATGAAGAAGTAGGAGGCCTGGAGGACTCCAAAGGCGGCGGGCCAGCTCAGAGAGAAGGACTGGAGGAGCTTCGCCACACAGCCTGACATCCATGAGACGATGCCCAGGTTCGTCAGTTGACCGGCCATGCCCACGAGGACTGCGAACCAGGAGAGCGTGTCCCATGCTGACTTCTCGTTTAGGCAGTCGTCCCAGTCGAGAACACCCAGAAGCAGGAGAACGGACAGGCCAAGCATCGCCGCAACGACGCTGGACACACCGATGGATTCCCTGGATACAAGCTAATGCTGTCAGTTCTCAGAAAAGTCAGAGAACGAGAGAGAGAGAGAGAGAGAGAGAGAGAGAGAGAGAGAGGTCAACGCACCCAAAAATCCATAGTGAAACGGCGAGCAGCATTGTTCCTATCATTACCCATTCGTTTTTTGTGACAGGTCCCATTTGCTCCAGCCTTTTAGAGGCTATGGCAGGGGCATCTGGGGTATCCTTAGTCTCCGGCGGAAAGATCTTGTACAGAACATAAGGAGTTGCCAGAAGACAGATAATCGCAGGTAGACTAGCAGCTTTGAACCACAACACCCATGGGCTGGAAATTTTGACCCCAACCTCCTCAGCTAGTTTGAGGCACAGTAGATTTTGAGCTGCAGCTGTCAGGTACAAAGCACTCGAGTTCCCTGCAGACTGTCCCATCAACAGCCAAGTTCATGGTAAGTTAACGATAAACCTTATTTTCTTCACAAAATAGTTATTGGAGGAGAGATTTTAAGAGAAAAATCCATAGAAAAAGGCAGTAAGGGTCAAGTAGGTGCATCTGGGCAGCTATAACAGAGGAATTACTTTCCATAAGGAGAGCATCAGTCAACTTCATTTGAAGGGCTCATGTTGTTAGGTGACAACAATTCTAGCGGATTATACCGTTTGAAATCATGTTTAGTAATGGCTCAATCTGATTCAATGTAGGATTATCCTCAGAGATTCATTAGTAAAAAATGAACAGTATAGTTGGTGATATTCCAACATTAGTAAAAAAATGAACAACAGGCTAGATGGTTTTAAAGATTCTGCCATGGAAATATAACCATTGCGTGGTCAACCAGAATATCCCCTTGCTACACCCATACTCTGATCTAGCAAGCTCTTAACCCGGACAGTACAAGCTGATAAACGAACTCCTTCCATCTCTGGATGGAAGTCCACTGAATTCTATGCATTCTCCATGCCCACTGCAACTGTTAAACTGGCCGTGTTGAGGGGAGATACACTCTACCATCGATTACGTCTTAATGTCTCAATATGAATCTTGAGATCTTCTCTCAGTTCACCAAGTCCAGATATTCGAAAGCACAAGTGTAAAAATCAGACGATTCACCCGTTAAATAGACGATTCTCCATCTTTCTTCTTCTGATGTAATGGAACTGGGAGTAGGTCACCACTGTATCAGCTTGGGGGTTCCTTAAAATGATTTCCTTGGAAACCCACTCCAATGATTTCCTTAAAATGGATAAAAAGGGCAAGAATCGGACGCACATTTATATTTTTAGTATGATGTAAGAAGCCTCCATCCGAATGCATCCCACGCCAATACAGCATAGACACCTGAAATGGAACTGTCATCTCCTTCCTCCTTGGAAACCCACTCCTTGACCCTATCACAAATGAAACTGAGCATCCTGCCTGCTGATAGACATTACCTCCTCAATATCAGGAGATTTTCTCCTTCCACATGGCTCAGAGAGTCCTTTGCAGATCCTTTTGGGAATGCAGAGACCCAACCTGGCCATAGTTCCTCTATCATCTCTGAGGAGGGGCCATTGCATTGGTATGATAAGGTGTTGTCTCTGTCAATCCGCCATTGAGGATGAGTATCCTGCGTACAGATGCTCCAATAACTCATCTGCATCCCCGCATGAACTACAGGAGGTATTGTTTACCAGCTATCTGAAGCCCACAAGTCATCAAATCTCTGACCAGCATCATCATCATCATCATCATCATCCTCATCTCGAATTCAATTCGAAATTAATTGGGTCGTAATTAAACTGAGAGGCACTGATAACTGAGAGAGAGAAAAAGATGAAGTGGAGAGAGAAGAAATCATCTACCTCACCTGGAACTGAGATTGAACCAGATAAGAACCCAGCTTCTTGGAGGATGAATCACCGGGCTTGCTCCCAGCAGAGAGCGAGAGTGACTTGATGATTGGAAGGAAGACGCCACCCGCCCTCGCCGTAGTGCTGGGCATCGCAGGCGCAATGAGGGCCTCGCTGATGGTCAGGCCGTACGACAGCCCCAGCGTGCTCTTCCCAAGCCACTTGACAAAGTAGGTGGCAACACGATCACCGAGACCGGTCTTGACGAACCCTCGGGCGAAGAAGAAGGAGATGACGATGAGCCAGATCACCTCGTTGGTGAACGCCCCAAAGGCAGAGGCGAAGCTGAGAGTCTTGGAGAGCACAGCGGTCGTCAGACCGAGGAAGGCCCACGCGCCGACGGGGAGCGGGTTGAGGACGAGCCCCGCAATCGTGGACAGAAAAATGGCGAGAAGCTGCCAAGCCTGCGATGTGATCTCGACGGGTTTCGGGACGAGGAACCGGACAGCAAGCCCGATCGCAACGGAGAGCGCAAGAGGAATCAGCTTTGCCCCCGCCGCCGGCGCTGGCGCCTGCGGCGAAGCAGCCACCGACGCATCGGAGGAAGCCCGGATCGGATGGGAACGGACGCGGGATGAGGGGGACGAGAATCTCGGAGTGACAAAAAGGGATTTCCGGAGCTTCAATTCGGAGTGGAGGATCCTGCAACCGGCGGCGGGACGCCATACGGTGGAGAGAGCAGATGCCGGCTGAGACGAGACGGGCCTGGCTCGGGGCCAGGGAAGCGAGGAGAAGCAAGGGCGGCAGAGGACGACGCTCTCCATTTTCCTGGTTCCTCTCTCTGCACCCTTGTCTTCCGCTCCACCACCCCCGCCGCCGCCGTTGCCGACGAGTTCACTTGGGCCTGTCCACAGAGTGGAAGGCGAGGGACGTGAGGAGGAAGATGGTCACGAAAGCTGGCTAAACGACTGTGCGGCTGTTGTGAAACCGGGTTACAAATAATTATTTCTCCTTTGAGGGATTTTATCATAATTTTCCAATCTCTTTTTCTACTCCGTGCTTCCACGTGTTTAATTTCCAAAAATACAAGCCATTTAGTCCTCAGCAAATCCGGACTCTAATATTTTTTATTTATAAAAATAAATTTAAATTCAATAATCCCTGCATCACAACAGAAATTATCTCCTTTAATGTGGGAAGGAATGCTCACTTATGAATATTGAAGATTTATAATGGGCAACAAGCAAATTATTATTTTTTTACTTATTTTTAGATTATAGATATCAAATTTGTGTGGACATTTTGGCACGTAATTTTCAACAAAGATCATAAGTTTTAATTCCAATTTACTTACCCATATAAATATTTTATATCGACTTTTAGCATATAAATGTGAACAGAAAATGCCCCATAAAGGAAATAATTTTGAAAATTAACATTTATAAATTTATAAAAATAATTGAAATTTAATGATCCTTGTATCACAACCGAAATGATCTCCTTTAAATAACTATTGAAGATTTATAAAGGGCAACAACTAAATCATTTGTTTTACCTATTTTTGGATTATAGAGATCAGATTTATGTGGACACGTTTGGCACGCAATATTCAACACAGACCATAGAATTTAATTCCAATTTAGTTACCCGTATAAAAAAAAAAAATCCATTTTTAGCATATAATTGTGAACGAAAGATGCATCATAAAGAAAAGAAGCCCACGAAATTGCAATACCACATCTAGTTTTCATCATATATAAGAGAATATTTATCGAGAGGAACAGGGAGCTCGGGTGGGTAGATGATTCAGTTGCTACATAGAAGAAGGCTCTTCTAAATGGTGAATCATAGACATGATTAGGAATCCTCTAGAATTGAACTGTACTACCCTTTCAGGCAAAAAAGGAGAAAAAATCAAAATTATTAGATCCTCATGCTCAAGTACTTGTCCACTGAATAGGCCCATATATTTGTCACCATCTATTATGTATTCATCTAGAGAGAGAGAGAGAGAGAGAGAGAGAGAGAGAGAGAGAGAGAGATTGGGTAAGTCGTAGAGGGAGGTTCCTCTCAGTGGTAGAGGAAGGTTCGTCACAGTGGCATTACAACAAGGGTTCCACATTATTGTGCATTATTAGGCTCATTATATCAACAAGAAATGAACCTAGAAATGGACTGTGCAACAAACCTTCGTCCAGCTGGAGAGCCGCCAATTAAATGGGTTTCCCGGCCCCCAGGAAGGTACCCAATACTGGAAAGGGGAAGAGGGGAAGGACCGATTTGGGTAACTTAGGCAAATCAGCACCCAGAATGGTTAGATTAACACAGAACTTGCCATATATTGCCTCTTAAGATGAAAGCAGAGGAGAAATATCGCAGATGTTACCTGCGAGAATCTGAATCAAAGGAATCTATCCGACCACCAGATCAATTACTATTTTTATGGGCTGGACCCTGTTGGCCGGTATGAGATCTCTCTACCAAATTCGTCTAGGAGAGATACAGGATGCCGCTCTGTTTCAGTTAAAAAAAATGAATGGCAATGGCTTGGAGGAAATCTTCAGTGGAAATAATCACCAAAAGGGGTACTGCCCCTGAAGAGTTTGCTCCTATTTCTTTGCCAAAAGTAGGGGCTTCACCATCAGCAATTGGGGATGGCCGAGGCCTTGTAGACGGGTGCAGATAAGTGAGCACAGCAGGAGGATATGTCGATCCCGGCAACCTCCATGGCGTTGCAGACCCATTCTGGGACGTCGCCCCTGGGGAACTACAAGACGAAATAAGGAAAAAACTCTGATGTTTAGGGGGGACACCACTGGCATGAGATGAATATAGTAATGATCATTGTGAGAAGATTGGGATGGGTTTTTTAACATTGGTTGTGAAGAGCTTTTCCACTCCAAAAACATACTATATTTGCTAACTTGGGACCTCCCTCCCTCTCTCTCTCTCTCTCCCCTTCTCTGTCTCTCTCTTCTGTCTGTCTCTGTCTCTGTCTCTGTCTCCGTCACCTTCTCTGTCTGTCTCTGTCTCACTGTCTCTCTCTCTCTCTCTCTCTATAAATGAACTAAAGTGGCTGATTCCACAATAACATTTTCCCTAAAAGGCGTTCTGCCAGCAAACATTGGTAAGAAACAGGCATTGTTTGAGGGCTTGGTTGTCATACGAGAAAAGAGTGGGTCTTACAGTACCTGTGCCTTCAGGAACTCCCGCACAAAACTAGTAAGGAGACAACCAGAGAGAAAGCCATCGTTCAGTCAGTTATATTAAACTAGATATAAAACTCATTTCACTGGTAGCGAAGGAAGAGAGAAGACATACTCTGGGAATCGCCCTTCAACTATGGACAGATGCAGCTCCTTGCTAAGCTGCAGGAAGAGACAGAGAGAGTGATCATTAGTTAACCAGGAAATAAACATGAGACAGCGATACATGAGGAGATTCCACTGTACCCTCATCATATATGCCAGATTATGATATGAGAGGAGTTGAGAACCCAGAGCATCTTTGGTTACGAGACAATGTAGGTAAGCCCTCGTGTAAGTTTTGCATACCTATGAAGCAGGAGGTAAGCAGAATCCCATCATGTAAAAGAGAAGGAGCGTTGACATTCGAGAATTTCTGATGAAGTCAACTTACCATGCATGAGCATGTAGGGTCAATAGGCCGTTCATCATTGGCCATTACCTTGTGTTTAAGTTTCAACACACCCTGGGAAAGAAATAAAACAGGACAAGGATCTTAATTTTTCACTTATCCTATCCCAATATTCGTCCAGTATATGATTGGGGGAGCTTAGACGGTCTGCACGAAGGTAGAAAAACAGACCCATGCTATCACCCCAAACCCCTTAAGATCGAGAAAAAAAGCAGGCATCCACAACAAAAAGTCAAACCCCACTTTTAGAATAAAGCATATAGAGATTACAACTTCTGTAACAAAGATGCGACAAGATGCAGCTGACAAAATTTCATATGGCACATCACCAATGGAATGATACGTGTGGGTTCTTAGCCAGTCATCTCACTCAATTAGTTCACTTGTCTAGCCATGTTTATAAAATATGCTTATTGGTTTTAGGTCACAATAAACCGGTCTACAGGAAAGAAACCTTCATTAGTTTTCATTGGCTCTTAGTCCCCCAAAACGTACCTACCGTTTGCTATGAGTTCCTCCCTCACAGGCCATGCCAGTCCATCAGTTTAATTCTTGTCAATACTACTGCCTTGAGAAGAAGCTACAACAGAATGACTGCACGCGTGGAGGTAGCGAAGGGAGGGGGGAACACGGGGTAGCTGAGGAAGCCAAGAAAGGCAGATGAGGAAACGTCACGTGCTTTGGGAAAATGTTATGGGTCAGGGTAGGACCTATTGGGAGGAAGGGAAGGTGGGGGTGTTGGTTTGTAAGGGGGAGCTGTGTTGTATTGGTCTGAAAGTAGCCACTAGGCAATCTAAGGGACCCAAAATCAATGTAGCCGCGCAGCATGTGGTAGTTGACTAAAGGACTTTCGTTTCTCTACTTATTTAAGTCAATCTCAACTTTCACTCCTTTGCACTTGGAAATGTTTCTTACTATGCATTACTGTGACATTTGGGACTTGCGTAATATGCATGGTGCTTGTTAGAAGGCGTAAGGGTAATTAGATTAAAGGGTATTTTGGGAAATTCATTGTTAGGGTTTGTTCCTATTATGGGACCTAGTGGGTGAGAGAAAGACTTGAGGTGTCTTTCCGCCACTCCTTCCCTCTGTTCTTTGGGACAGAGGATTCTTCTTTCTCCCTCCTTTGTTTCTCTCTGTTCTATCAAAGGCTAGGGAATTATCCCTCTCTATGTTTATGTTTTCTACAGTCCTCACAAACTTTCGGTTGCCTCTTGTGAATGTTTGTATGCTTCAATTTAATGCATGCTGATATTTTCATGTATGGGACACAAATGTAACAAATTTGAAAGACCTGATTGATTAACTTGAAAGAGAACTAAGAGACTACCTCAGGTACGAGTGCTGTGCCGAAGCGAGCGGTTCGTGTTGGGTACACACAGTCATACATGTCAGCACCCAGAGCACTGCATACTACAATATCAAGAGGATAACCAACACCCTGAAGAACAAGAGCCATACAGAATTAGAGAAAATGAACAATGCGACGACCAAGAGAAGCCTGTTTCTGATAAGATACAAGCTTGGTTGTCTCTTTTTCACGTATAGATGAACATATGTTGGGATGAAAGAACCATCACCATTACGTATCGTGGTTTATCCTCAGGTAATGCAGCAGTACACTGTGCAACAACACGCCAAAAGGAATCTTTGTCTTCACCCCCCGAAAGACCACCAATAGCGTAGCTGCCACAGATGTGAATCAAATAGATTAGCTCCTTTAGAAGTTAATTCGCTCCACTCGAAGACTCACTAAAGTTTAAATATTGGTCAAAACATTAACAGTTTGGGTGGAGTTTATTAGGGGAAAAGTTTGTAAGTAATTATAGTAAAGAGAAGAGCTACCTATCATTTTTCTAAAAAGAGTTGGAGCTGACCTGCTTATGCAGAAAGTCTATGATAGCCGCCATTTATTGCACATGTACCAACCACTTGGAATAAATTACGGTATGTATATCAAGTTTAAACATTCCTTAGGGACAAATACAACTAAAATTAATGACTCCTAAAAGTAACAGCCAGCTACTGATGCCTTGGTTAGTAAAAAGATAGAAAACATTTTCATCACATGCCCCAACATCTTGCCCAAACATCAACACACATTAAAGATGTGCTGCCAGCCAGATTACTATTAATTAACTACGACATTCTAATTAACCTCAATCCCCCTATTGTGCGCTGTCTACTATTCAGGGTTATTTCTTTTTCACGTTTTCCATTTAGTGGCATAGGTAAAATCCTCTGGCCTTCTTGAATTTCCCATATGTGTTAGGTACACACCCTTTGCAAAATGTGCAAAACCAGTCAAAATGATAAACCAGCCTTCCCAGGTAACACAGCCACTCACTCAAGATGTGCTCATTAGACCGCAGATAGAACTATGTTCGTCACTATGGCATACAAATTGAAAAAATGTGGATGGTGCAATTTTTCGCGTATTCGTTGAAATGTTCCAACCGTAAGGGGAGAGGTTTCTTTTCGAAGATATAGAAGTGTCCACAAAAGTAAAATATCCTAAAAGCAAGCAATTAGCATCTCTAGGACAAGCATTACCACGGAAACCTTTGAAAGTAAGTTGGAACTTAGATTTCTAATAAGTGATTTCTTCACTGTACTTCAGATGTTAAATGCTATTTTCTGTAAATGAGGGGATAAACTTTTACATATTTCTGTAAATGATATAAAAAAGACCACATTTGACAACACCAGAAGGAAGAAACACGAAACAGTGTTCCTACTTAACTTAATCTTAAACAGTATATCTGCTCATTCACATACAAATAGAATCAAATGATTCAGATTGGACCTAGCTTACGTTGACTATAGGTCAATAATATTTTGATGATAAAAAAACAGTGATCTACTAAATCTTATTGATGGTTATCAAATTATCACATTATGACTTAATAAATGAGCAAATGTTGAACACGTTTTATTGGAAATCCGTTCCAGTGTATCATGGTTGAATAGTAGAGGTGAACGTTAAATTGAAAGGTACACACGGAGCTTGATTTTAGAAGTCAGGTGACAAACCCTCAAGAAGAAAACATCTCACCTCACAAACAATTGTACACAGAAAAGGCCAAAACTAGTTTTCAGGCATGCAAAATTCGGCAGTAGGAAAGCCAGAAAGATCCCAACAACCATTCAAATTTCTCTCATGATAAGAGAAAGTTTCAGAGCATTCATCACGTATTTTTAACATTTAAAGGTCTCAACCTCCATTGGTTGCTTAGTTTATTTGTATTTTTTTAATTCTCTTTTAATATATTACATAGGTGATGAATTTTGTGAGACGTTTACAGAGATATATTCATAAATATATCTCCTTTCCTTCATATGAATTCTTCCTACAACTTAGGGCTGTGGGAGATCTTTTAGGAAGTTCTGTTTTCCGTTACTGTTTTCACTTTACATTTTTTATAAGCCTTATCTGGACGTGCTTAATTTTAGGACTTCTAAAGATAGTAGGAGAGAAACCCAAACAGTCCTATATATATCGTAAGAGTTACATACAGTTCAGCAGAAATGATCATAAGTTCTTTCTTCAATAGGGTAAAACTGTGTAAGGTTAGACAGCTGTTCGAATCTAGTGTCCTCAGAATTCCAATTCTAAAATTGGTTGCCTAAGTTCCATGAAATTAGAGGGGAGCTTCCTCAGTGCACGGAAACTAAAGGAAAATTGTTAGTATCTGAAAATTAGTGTGTAGGCCCTGGATCAACACCTTAATCATTCATCCACTATTGAATGAGTATTGAAATAAATTTTCAACTCGAGTCCTTTTCTTAGAATTAAATTTTGTTTATAGATGTAACTAGCATCAGTTTCTTTCACAATTAAAACTGTTATAATTATAAATAAATGAATCTCATGAATCATACAGTATTAACTCAGTTATTTGTGATGGATTAGCATACCCAGGTAAATCACGCTCAACCAAGCCCTTGACGCATATATCTCTGGCAGTAAGACATACGAGACGAACATTAAAAATCGTTCCATGGTAAGTGCATCTTGGTGCAGATGCCAACATATGTAGACATAAAAGTACATTTATATTCAATCATGAAAAAAGAGTAATTATTCAGTATGAATCACAAGAGTATATTCACCTGAGAACTGGATCTAATCCTCCTTGCACTATTCCAAATAAGTTTTGCTCATGCGGTCTCTGATGAGCTGCCCTTAAAATAGAAAACAGATATGTCACTTAAACAAAGATACCCATTTAAAAGAATAAGCAAGCTTGCAAGGAGAAGTTCAGAGGACACATTATGCCAAGCAATCAATATTCCTGAAATGATATGAATATGAAATGAAAAATGTTGGTGATCAGAAAATAAGAGACACGTCAGCACAAAAAACATTCAAATATTCAAAGAAATCTCGTTTGCTGCTCATCCACTCCCAACCCTATAACTGAGACCAATATTGATCATCGGGTTCCAAGAATGGCCACATTTTTCCTCTCTACTGGTGCTTCATAATGCAGATAGTATAGGACCTTCTAGTACCAATGACACTGGGTGGAATAAATTGGAGTAAAAAATAACACGTGAATTTAATGTTTAACAAATAAAAATGTCTCCGAAGTCCCTAGCTCTGTGCATAAGTGCAAAAAGAAAGAAGTATGAATAAAATAATTTAGATATTTGTCAATAGAGGAGATTTCAGCCAGGATCGAGCAACATTCAGGGAGGAGAATAGACAACCTTACAAGAGTTAGTATGTAATGAAGGGTTAGAAAATCAAAGATACTTTAAGAGGACATCGGCCAATAGTTTGAAGTAGTGGATGCCAACAGTGGTAGGATTTCTGAACAAATATGCACTCTTGCTGCCTTCACATTCTAACTATTATTTTAAATTCACCTAGTCAATATATTTATAAAATCCTGACAAAAAGCATATAAATCATAGCCTACACGAAAACTGATGCCTTCTATCTGGATGCTTGAAGAAAACTTAGAAATGTATTAAGTCAATGTAATGGCATTAATGTGGTGATTGTTGTGATAAGAACATTATCCTCTGACAGCTTCTGACAGACCAAGTCATCAGATGGCAATAGATATGATGCCAGGGCACCAGGAAGGGACAATCAATTGCACAATCATATCATCGAAGCTTAGTAGCAGGGGTTGGATTGATGAATTTTAACTTCAGTAAGGCATATGACAGATCAAGACTTAGCAAGGACGTGATAAAGAACTAACAGTTGAGATATTGTACTCTTACAGGTAACCTAATACTGACTATTCCTTTTAAAGTTAATTTTCTTTGCACCCTTTTGTCAAGCGTGTGACTTACATGATATGGTCATCCTATGCAGCCTGTTCTCCTTCTAGTCGAGACAGGACAATGTCGACACTCTTCATCTTTCAGGGATCTTGTTTAGTGACCCAAATATTCTTATCTAATGAAGGCTGAATTCACTTTGTTTAGTCTATGGTTTTTTTTCATTTTCCATCTTCTTTTCCAATTTGGATCTACAGAGGTCGTAACACTGAAGGGTTGTATGTCAGCCTTGATTCGGAATTTCCCAAGCATAAATTGGCTTTTTATGTAGTCTACAAGAACATTTTGGAATCAGAAAATGGATCAGGCCATATATTTTTTGATAAAGATAATTTTATACTTTGTTAGAGATCACAGAAGAGAAACTAGATATGCGTCAGCTAAATCATCAGGCAGATGTTCTGTTTGCGGCACAACTGGGACAGGATTTTGCAAGCATAAAGTCCTAGCAATCTCCAATGTCTAATGGACCAAAGAACACCAACTGTGTAAAAGACTGATCCAACCATGCTTGGAAATTTCCAAAGACTATTGGTGTGGTGAGGTCTTCACAACACGATTAAACTATCTTCAGGGCGACCATCTTCAATTTATTAAGGATGCCTGGCAAATAAATTCAAAAAAATCAGCTATCTCATGAGTTTCATCATTAGGCACAAAGAAACTGGTAGGAGACTTTACAATGAAGTATCTGCTTGTTCGATGATTACATTAGACCAGAAAAAACAGCCATAAGCTAGAGCATAGAATATTTGTAATAATACCATCAGGCAGATGAAAAACATGTTCTCACCAGCTATACACCTGTCAATCCAACGAAGGGTACGGTACATTGCCTCCTCTACCCGTGGACCCGTTATGGTGGTTTTCACGACATCATCAAGGGCCATGATTATATCAGCACCGATTTTATTCTGCAAATATTTTAGTCAAAATTCATCAAGACCCAAAAAACTTATGACGGATCTCCATAGACAGTATGATTTGAATAACAGTATTAAAATTCACCATTCCAATATGTTAAACTCTCCAAAAAGGTAATTAAGTTACGTCAGATGCTCTCGAAAAAATGCTGTCCCCGTTACATAATTTAACAAGGTGCAGAAAAAAATATTATAGTTGCATATTTCGGTGGAGAAGAGAATATGGAGAATGACACCTTCAGTTTGGCAATTAAGTTAAACAATTCAAGGACTCCAAACGAAGTTACTACAGTGAAAAGGATATGACTACCTGGATTTGAATTGATTCTTCAGGAGTCAGAAGCATTGGCTGGCCGTCAGCCGGTGACTGAAAACATAGCAATGAAATTTGGATTAGTCAATCTATGGAATGTAAGAATCCTAAAGCAATTATGATGCCATTTTAAGGCTTCAAAAATGTATTAATGATGATTAGACACCTATGCGAAATGCATACTTTACATGTATGAAACAGACGCATTTGCACGGTTTAAAACGCATGTAGAATGCTCCTATTATTTGAGACTCATGTTGCTTTAGACATAATATGCAGACAGCACTAAAATAATAGTTCTCCTATAACTAGCAAAGAAATGGATTGAAACGCTTTTTGCATGGAATTGAAGGTGAAGACGAATGGAACAAGGTACAAAAAGGATAAACTATTTGGTAAATAAAACTCTTGAGAGGAGAAGACAAAAGAAAAGGAGGGAGCCAAAAAGATGTGTGCATCAGCTCCCAACAATCTAGTTTAAATAGGACAGACCCAGTAGAGATCGCATGAAAAAAAATACTCCCATTACAAGGGCAGAGGGGAAACAACATAAAAAATGATTAAAGATGGAAGCAAAGACAGTAATATTCTCATGTTCTTAACATTTCCCCTCATGCTGAGCAAAGATATCCATTATGTTCAGCTTCAACAAAGCTACGTTCAACTAGTTTCATGTAAGCCCGTTAATGAGAATATATGCAAACTAATCGCTCGAACAGACATACAACAGATAACTCTCCAAAATTAAGCTTCTTTCAAATGAAGAACGTTTTTCTTTCTTCGGATAACAGTAGAAAATTCTTGGTCTTAAAGTTACAATGGTATTATGTCCTTAGTTCATAAATTTAACTACTCAAATATATATATATATATAGCAGATCAAATTTGAAGAATACATGGACGCAATTGTATAAATAATAGCAGGCATAGAAAACAATCAATTTTAATGAAAATTTAATCTGTTTTCCAGGACCTACATATCCCCTTCGTCTATGTTTCAAGATGCAGATGATGATTCATCATAATAAATACAAAACATCACCTGGAATGTCACACCCTTCTCGGTGATGTCAGCTAAATGCAATAAAGAAACCTGTTGCATCAAAAAGATGGATGCGAATAATTGGTTAACAGCTATCTCAGAAGAATACAAGAAAATATAGTCCAACCATGAGAGCAACGTAAAGTGAAAAGCACTCTGGTAGGATATTTATCTTCTCCATAAGCATCACGAGAAAGTTAATGTTCATATAATAACTTCAATATGTAAAGGGCTAAGGAGTGTCCACATGAGTTCATTGAGGTTTTCACGCCCACATTTTCTTTTCCGAGTGAAATCCTCCGGTATATGAAAGAATAAAAAAGTGCTTTCATTCTTGTCCGATGAGAAACATTCATAACATAATGCATGTATTTGATTTACTCGGAGCTATTAAAGCGGGATCCAGTTTTTGGGTACTATGAGGACTCAGACAACATCAACAATTTACAAAATTTAGTGCAGACACCGTCGCTGTATTTTTTATTCTTGGATCTACAGATAAGAAAATTAACAAGTTTTACGATATATCAAGGAATAGTGCTCCACAAAATGTCCAATACATCCTTAAAGGTTTCTTTTGTGCTGTTTTTAAAACAATCACATTGCCAGATTAAACCACCGAATCCAATTTAAAATGGGTCAATTCCTGCCCCACCAAGAGAACTTTGTTTCCTAATAGTTTGAGGATGTATCACCCAGATCTTATGGAATGTCCGAGCCACCATGTGCATATCAACACAGCACAGGAACAAACATAACCCACCTAAGCACCAAGGGCACTGTTATTGCGAAATTATTACATCAAACCCATCCTAAGAAAAGCAAATCATTCTATTAGTATTGCCTGAGAGATACAAGCGTGAATGATGAAGAACTAGCGAATGTAAATAGTAGAGTATACATCGAAAAACATAGAAGAGAAAGGAAGATCTTCATCACCATTTGGAATCCACCAGAGTCTGTTAACAAAGCCCGATCCCAATTCATAAATTTGTGGAGACCACCCATGTCATCAATCAACTCCGCAGTGGGACGGAGTGCTAGATGGTATGTGTTGCCAAGTATAATTTGACAGCCAATATCCTCAAGCTGGCTATAAGTCAAACCTTTTATTGTACCTGGAGAAAAAAAAACCTACTGAAATCAGAATCAAGAAGATTGTGCCATAAGCAAACTAAGTAAATAACAAGCCATATTTGTAGCTAAGCCAAGATATAGAGTTGATCACCAATCAAGAAAGACGAAGATTATAAGAATCCATATGATCAGATCATTGGCCTGATACCAACACAAAAAGCACATTTAAATACCCATTTTTCACATTTCTGAATAGCATTCACACCTCCAGGTCAGGTGCTGATGAGCACATTGAACTATGCATGCGATTGGGGGCCCTCATTGCCCAGGCGCAGAGGCCTGCTATACCAAACGTTATAGCCATATTACATGCTAGTAAGAGACTAAAATATGTCTGAAAATGGTGTATAAACGACAATTAGTTACTTTTATCACTTGGCACAAAGACTGCATGATGTCCAGAATGCGAACAATCACAAGGTCTACATAAAATCCATATAGGGGCTAAATGGGTTAGCCATGGGACACAATGTCCTCATGATTTTTAGTTTTATCATTCTTTCATTGGCTGCTGGATATAGAAACTGAACTTACATTACTTGAACTGGACGAACCTGTCTTATACTGAGGCTTCTTCATAGTGGATCAAACATGGCATTTTGGAAACGGCTGCACCTAAGTAGTTTTGGAACAGACTTGAGTCTCAACTTTTTTTTGGAGTTGTTCCTCACTCCTTCCCTCCCTCCATCCCTCTTTTGACCCAATATCTTGAGGGAGAATTCAAAAAGCCCTAGATATTACAATTATGTGGGGATATACTAACACTTATATCATTCTTTTATTAATTAACATCGATGAAATCATTGGAATTGTTTAAAATATAATAATGTCCCAAGCAATACTCGTCTTTTAGGGGCAATTTACGCATTTCAATAGCCTAGATGCCTAACACTAATGTAGCTTATGTTTGAGAAGTGGGAACCTTAAACGGTTCCCCTTCCTTTTTCCAACAATTTGACTTCCATGGTGCACAGCATTATAAGTGGTGTTTCACCACCCCATTGACTCTCCTTCTGCAGCAATGACAAAGGCAGCTGGAGCACCTTCTTCTATAGAATAAGTATCTCACAAATAGAATTTATATTGATTAAATCGCTACTAAATTAAGGAAAAAAGGATACCTAGATGAATCATAAACTTGTTGACAAAACTATGAGGAAAGATCATGATTTATATGACCTACATAGTCCTTGAAAGACTTCAGGATTAAAAATGATAGAAACTACAACAAATTAAAAAAGTCAAATACTCATGATTTTTATCTTATAGAGTAGAAGCAGAGGCTTTACTTATAGTGCCTAACATGTCAAAATGATGGTGAGAGGATAACATGCATAAACATTAGAAGAGCAAGAAAAGATAATTGTAGACCTTGTGTACCAACAGGCATAAACAATGGTGTTTGACAAATATAGTGTGGAAGTGTCAATTGAGCAGCTCGAGCACGATTAAACCTCCCTATTACCTGCCAGGAAGACCATTAATCTATTTAGGAACCCGTGAATGTGAAACCTATCAGGTTTCATGTGAAAAAAACCCACATTAACAGAAGGAATTATCCAAGAAAAAAGACAACACATAAAAGGGAAAAGGCAAAATGAAAAAAAAGCTTACTTTTCAGATTAATATAATCGGTCCAATTTACATGGTATTGCGGAAAACTTATGGAACATGGTTAGAGCTTATCTTTGACAAAAATGTCTAAATGATAACTGATCACTGATAAATTTTAGTTAATCTGGGGTATGTTGAAAGGGATTTTATAACCTCGGAGTTGGAAAATATCCTGTGCCCCAGAATCAAAATATCTTCGTCTTAAGTAACTACTTAAAAAAATATATCTAGGTCTAAAAAATAAATTGTGAATAGCCCTTTTTGAGTCAAAAAATACGTTGAAGAAAAAAGAACACATTGATAAAAGTCTGACCAATTCCTCCTTTCATCTTCAAGTAGCTTCTGAGACAAAATACTCAACTAAGCTCATGATCAGTACACATAGTTGTATTTTACAATAAATATAGGAAGAGAACATGCAAAATAAAATCAAGCATGCATAACAATTTAAATTTCTTAATAAAAATGATCACTCAAGTGAGAAGATGCCTAACTCGCAATAAAGGTATTCCACCAAAGAGACGGATAAAGACACAACTTTCTTCACCTGGGCATTTTTAAAGCCCAGGGAAATCCAAATTGTGGTGTGCATTGGACAATCCTAAACTTCACAAATTAGGCAACGAAGGAGAGAACACATCACTGTCCAAGGCAGTTTTTCTTACTGTTCTGAGATTGCCAACAATGCAAAGCGAAAAAGAACTTATTCATCTTTCTACCTGTTCTGGAGATTGTTTAGTATTGTCATCACTTTCGATTTTTCGCAGTGCTCCTGTTCCATCATACATTGTACCCTCTCAATTTTATTGTTCAACTACTGGCTACTGGCGTTTCATAAGGGAGAGGGAAGTTGCCATAAAACCAATCCAGGCTATGAGAACGGCAGCAACGTCACCGAATTTGAATGCACCAGGACGTGAAAAAGGAGCTCTCCATACCTCAAACCGGAGAGCCATTGAGGAAACACTCCCCACACACAATCCAATCGCCGCAGGTTCACAGCTGGCAATACAAGTTCACACTGACGATCAGATATTTCTTCTTAAAAACTGAAGCACATATTTTCACCCCAGATGAGAAAATTTGGCCGCAGACATCGAACATGAAACTGTTTCATTTCAAAAAGATAAGCAGGCAGCTCATGAACAAAAGATGCAACTACACTCACGAGGTATATACGGGACGAGCCGGCGTATGCTGCGTCGAACAAATTGGACCGCACTGTGCCCGAGAGAGAAGGAGTGAAGGCGGCGGAAGGGCGCCGCACAGGGCCCTCAGGAAGCGGCGGGAGGAGGGGGACGGGTTCGAATACATGCACGAGGCGGCGGCTAAAGAGCTTCCAGAGAGGGGTGGGGATGCAGGAAGTGGCGATGCAGTTGGTACCTAGGAAGCCCATAAGCTAAATGGTGGCCCCGCGGGTACGAAGCGGTCGTCAGGTCGATTCAGAAATCTCTAAAAGCGCTTTTAAGAATGAAATTCCAAATCCCTCGGAACAGCGGAGACCGGTAAGAAAGCAACGCCAAACCAGGTGGATTTATTCCTGGCGAGAGGGGGGGTGGGGGGAGAGAGAGAGAGGGAGAGGGAGAGGGAGAGGGAGATATATATATAGATAGATAGAGAGAGAGAGGGAGGGGGAGAGAGAGAGTGAGAGGGAGATATATATATAGATAGATAGAGGGAGAGAGGGAGGGGGAGAGAGAGTGAGAGGGCAGGGCTTGTCCCCACAGATAAGAACCGTTGTTCCCTTAATTTCCAAGATATTACCTTGAGCTCTCCAGGCAAAGCTGTTTAGTACACGGATGGACTGGAGGTTAAAGTCAAAAGGCACCACTTGGTTTTATCTGTCAACTAAGTATGGACAAACCTTACCAATACAAAGCAGTAGAGAGCTTGACTGCAAGACCCGACCATTGAGTAGGGATGAAAGTCAACGCTAGTCAATACGAGAGAACGTTGAGTGGCAGGGCCTTGACCAACAAGTGAAAGCGGCAACTTAGATCCCTTAAGGATTTGTCAGAAGTTGGAGGATCAAAGAGCTCGACTGCAAGACCCACCCGTTGAGTAGGGATGAAAGTCAACGTTAGTAACCTGACTACATTGAGTGGCCGGGGCTTGACCAGCAAGTAACAGAGGTGACTTAGATCCCTGGAAGGTTTCGTCACAAAGTGGAGGGTCAGCACAACTTGCTCGCTCCACCTTGTGCCAGTCTTAGTCGCGCTCAGCAGCACTAAGAAGCCTTCTCCTCCTGCAGAAGCAACTATAGCTCAAGAGACACGTGTATTCTTCTTCTCCAGACAGTGTATAGAAGCCGTTGTGGCCACCTTGCTCCAAGAGGCTGCGGACCTCCTATATTCATAGACGAGAGCCCTCCCATGCCTTTTCCTCATTTGCCTCCTTAACCGGCTAGTCCATGCTGGGATGGGCGGCGACATACACAGTGGCACAAGCAAACATATGGAGCGTCACATGCGATGCTTGCGAGAAATGGGTGAGCGGCTCTGCCAACGCACTACAATGGCACACGAGAACTTCGGCGGTGTGACTCGAGTTAATTCACAAGTATGTGTGCGGTGCGAGTGCAGAGATGGGCGGTGCGACGGCAGCTCCACACAGCGGCACAAGGGACATGCGCGGCGGCACGTAGGCGGGGTAGGGGGCCTGAGTACAGAGGTACACAGCGGTGCACGCTGACGGCACATGCAAAGCATCCAGGCTTGCACATCTGTGCTAGGAATGGCCGGACGGCTAGCCAACACACTACAATTGGCATAATAGTCCCATATACCTATCTCAAGCTATGCAATTGTTAAAAGATAGTTTTGTATTAATTAAATAACACAATTACCGTGGCCTGTAGTAATACGGATAAAGGTGGTTATTTAACTAAATAATGCGTTGAAACGTGGGAGGAACCGACGGCAACGGCCGGACCGTCGGTCACGATCTGAGGGAGGATGGGGCGGCACGTCTCGTTATAACAGATATTTCAAACGAAGCTGGCCCCACCATGTCCAGGAGAATCTTTCCCACGCATGGACACGGGTCGTTCGCGTGAGGAGCTCCGTCCCGCCATCCTGGGCTGGTAGAGGGAGGGAGGGAGGGGAGGGAGGGGCGACGACGGGAAGAGGAAGAATGGGAGAAGTGAAGGGAGCGTCGTAGAGGCCAGTCGGTTCCGGCCGATCGCATTGCTCCTCGATCTCCGTTTCGCTGCCATTTCCGTCGCGTCTTCCTCCGCCATGGAGTCTGCTCTCTGTTTAAGTCAGGGGGTGTGGGCTCGCCGGGAGCATCCTCATTTGCTGGATTCCAGCGCCGTCGGACGCCGTCACCGCGGTGGCAAGGAGGGGGCGATCCGTGGCTTGTCCAACTGTCTCTGCTCTTCCTCCTCGGGCGGCGGCCCTCGCTTTCGCATCGGGTAATTTGAATGTGATTTCTTTCCATGTTTCCTGAAACGATCGTGATTCAGGTAGTGATAGGAAGACGAATTGAATCTGTTCTTTTACGTATGATCTTCTTCATTTCATTTTGTTCTTGGATTTCGCTAAATTCTTTAGTTTCTGATCGTGAGCTACGAGAAATCTTCGGAAATTAGAGAAACGACCAATCTATATAATCTTTAGTTTTTCACTGAAGAAAACTAGACAAGGATTTATATATTCTCGGCAGGCAGGTATTTACAGAATGTGATGATCGTGAGCTACGAGAAATCTTCGGGAGTTCCAGAATCGTAAACCAGTATTATGACTTTTGAATGCTTCCCGATCTAGAGGATACTGGATAATTCCTTGTTCATCAGAATTGATGAGTGAAAACGCGCACCCTGGGATAGATATCATACGCAATTTAGTTTTGGTAAAAATTGGCTTGAGCGTCGCCATTATTTTTTTTGTCACTGAATCATCATAACTACAGAGACAACCAATGCCCATGATGAGATATGAGGAAAGGCGCTGTATTCTTTTAACTCATGCTATTATCACTCACCAAAGAATGGCCACTTGTTATAGTGAAGACTACTACTTACCACTGTGCTGCAATCCAGGTTCGTAGGTGATGAGGTTCCTTGGATAGTTGAACTGTCTGTTGCGCTTTATATAATAAGTATGACTCAGACCTTAAAAGCCAGAGAGCTTATTTAACGTAGAATGCAGACCAGATGTCATTCACATTGGTAATAAAGCTAGAGAACTAGAAATACAGCCTATAACTCGATCTTATGTTTAAATCTTGATGCAGCCCATGGTTTCATGGACGTCTATTTGCTTGTAATGACTTTACATTGCAAAAAAATCAGCTTCATGCTTATTTTCGTGATTCCATCCCTTGTGCCATGTAAACCCTATCGTATTTCTAGTTCATCTTTATTACCGATGTTACAGCTTCTTATCCTCCGTGGCTTACTTTACAGGCTGAAATTGAGCAGAACTTATATTCCTTGTATAAGGCAGAAAGCATATAGCCAGGCATGTGCCATTTAATGCTTATTACTTTACATTGGTTTTCTTTCTTCTGTGAGAATGTTTAGATAGAGCCTTGAGTAACAGTTCTGTTTTCAATGTAGGTGCAAAAGCAAAGCGCTACTAGGCGTTATAAGACAAGTATATACAACAACTTTGGAAAAGATGCCGTACTGGAGGTATTTTTCGCCCCCCTCTTGTTTTTTGCCAGTCTTTTGGGGTTTCGGAATTTCTTTTATTGTTGATAACGCTTCCCCCATGGGTTATACTTTATCTCGTGCCTTATTCTTATTTCAACTATTTTGAATTTGGATATGTAAGTACGGTCTCATACAGCTGTTTACTGCAAATTCTTTTGATCTTGTGCGAATGGGAGATATCATATCCTTTCTCACTTCTCTTATTCATTTTTTTCCGTCTTTTCTCTTACTTTTTGGACTTCTCTTGATACAATTACCATGTTGAAAATTCTACTCTAGTGAGCATCTTTTCTTCATTTTAATGGAGTTATGTGCAGCACTTTTGTCACTGTGTCTTCTAAAAGGTCTCTTCAAGTTGTTGGGAAAAGTTCAACTGGTGGCAACTATGATCAAGGGTTTTTTAGGTGCCTAAGGAAGTGCCAGTACTCTGCACCTAGGTAACTAGGCCATGAAAAAATGGAAGTATGGTCTAGTAGATATTTTAAAAAATTCCTGAATATTTAAGAAAAGATAAAAAATACAAGTACATTTCCCAAAATTTCAAAACTAAATATTAAGAAATTAAAATAAATTCTATATATTAGGAATGCACTGGCAATAAAATAGAATAATGCGATTCATTTAAATAATTTTATTAAAATTATTATTAATTCACAAGATTAATAAACTGATTGCGCATTATTTTCATTAAATGTATTGAATTGTGTTAACTTGAAGAATTAGCTTTCTGATATGCTGACGGACCTAAGGCGCACCTTCTGAATTTGTTTCATATGAACCTCCATATTAGTCAATAACCAGAAACCTGATTTTCATGCTATCTTTTGTATGAGATGAACATAGCATTACTGCCTTTTTATGTCATTTTTTCCTTTTCATGATATTTTTTCATGTTTGAGATTCATGTCACTGTTAAGACTTTCGGGTCTTTTTCATGATCCAATGATGATAATAATATTTTTCAGTATTATTTTTTATCTTTAATGAGAGAGGGTCCTATCTCATAATTTGTTCTTTCGTTCACATGCGTAAAACGGGCAACCATTCATCAATATTGGAATGGCATTGTACTCCAAATAGTGTAGTCTTAGTTTATCCATTTGGGCTATATGAAAACCAATCTGCGAACTTAGGGATGTATCAGAAGCTCAACTGCTGCAAATGCTAGTTTTGCATATCACATTATTTGTGTGCTATATAATCTCGTTTAGCAGATAGTATAAATCCTCACAAACTTTTTGTTATGCTCAAATTTTTTCTTATGTATTCTAGGAAGAGGCCACCACAACATCTAAGTTAAAGGCTTCACTGAAAGTCTCTCCTGGAAAGGCTTCTCCGCTTGGAGTATCAGAGGTGGAGAATGGCATAAACTTTGCTATTTTCTCAAAACATGCATCTTCTGTCATACTTTGTTTGTCAGACACTAAAAGGTATTAAGCTATATTACCAACTCTTGAATTTTTTCATGCACACATCAGAAAAAGTATTGATATTTATTAATTATTCAAAATTTTCATTTTTACGTTATTTTATTTTATTATAAAACATGGTTTCTTAGATTCCATGAGAATAATGAGATTAGCCGTAAATTGATCAATCAAAACCGCACAGTTGATGGCTTAGAATTTTTGGAAAGGAATTGCTTAAATTTACTCTGAGTACTTGATGCCATAGCCAACCTCAACTGGAGACAATTTCAGCATGCCATGCAAAATGCAATATATGGCCATGTCAAAAAGGATGATTAATTTAAAATTTGATTTACTCTTTGTGGCTTCACCAGAAAGTCCTTAAAAATGAGTTTGCTTCAACATACGTGTGCAAAGATAGGAAAATGTTCAGATCATTCTGTCCACTCCTACTCCCAGGAGTCCAATAGGTGATTGTAGAAAAAGTAGTTAGGTTTTTCCCTGAAAAGGTCTGCATGAATAGCATTATGCAATTGTCTTTCCTCCTTGGAGTTTATCCGTCACTTTCGGCTTTCAAAGCAATCAGTTCCTATGTCATGCATGCTTATGCTTTAATGATGGCAACTGCTTCATTTCTCGTTATTTTGACTTTTCTCTGTAAATAGCTTATGATATATTCTTTTTCTGCGTCCTCAGAAATAAGATGAGATATTCCTTTTGATTCGTGAACGAATTATATCTTGTTTCCAATTTACTCTTATTTTTTTGTTTAACATTCGCCAGTAGACCTTACTATATGTTGAGGTTGAAAATAACTTATTACCAGTCAGGTAGTTTTCTTTTTCCCTGTTCTATTTATTGAGATATTTCAACATGTGGTAGATTGAAATCACATGAGAGAATACATGATCTTAATCGAACTTTTTTAGTACTGTGACAATTTCAACTGGAATGAAATGTGTGTTGTCCTTCTTTTCTGTTGAATCCAGTTCTGGAATATCGTATAGCTGAGTTGGGTGGCATACTTTTTTGAGTGAATGATACTTTCTGGCTTTAAATTGGATGCAGATGGAAGTACGTTTTCCTTCTTCATTGTAAATTAATTTTTTTCTTTCTCATCTTCCGTTGGTAACTTAGGGAGAATGTTGAAGCTCTGGGTACTAATATGATCGAGATTGTTTTGGATCCTTCTAAGAACAAGACAGGAGATATATGGCATATTTGTGTGGAGGTAGCATCATACTATCCTTTATTTGCTTATTGCAACATAGAACTTCAGTGTTCTGTCCTATCTCTCCCACATTTCTATATCTTCTTGTGGTGAAAAGAATAATTTTATTATTGAGGTGTTTAAAGCATTGGTTATCTCTTACTATGTTTGAAAATTACCAAGTTACACGTATTCACTGGGCAATTAGTCCTCGAGTAATGCTGTAATAGAGGGTGCAATATAGATTCCCAGCATTGTTTGACCACAATAGGAGACAAAAGACAAAGGTATTCTAGTTGACCAGTGAATGGGACATTTTGGTATTTGTAATACTCAGGCTATGTCTAAATAAAGTGTCCAAATCTTTCTTGGAAAGAGACCTGATCATGATAAAAAGTTCTAAAGTGAGAGAATAATGGAGACGATGGAGGGGGGGGGGGTGAGAGAAATAATCCAGCTAATAGGGAATGTGGAGTTCCTTCATAAATATTATGTGGTGAGTCTGAGCTTTAAGACACAAACAACGGGTTCTTCCTCAGGCAATAAAAGGATACGAGTTGCAGAATCTTGTGGGCATTTGAGGTCAAGGCTTTCCTGTTAATGGGCCTTTGACTAACAACAAATAAGCTTACATTGCCTATCCACGTGAAATATTTGATATTAAGTTTCACTTGTGGATTCCAAACTAATCTATGGCATGGGTTCCAACTACTTCCGAGTTAAACTGGTTTATACGTGGATTCCAATCTATCTCCCGTTTGATTAGAATCATTGTTCTATTTACCTTATTTCACTCTATCTCATTGTTCTGTTTGAAATGAAATGATATGAAGTTTTTTTGTCTGTTTCAACATTGTAAAATTACTGAGGGCCTTTAATTGTATAAAGTAAAGAAAAATAGGAAGTATGTAAAAACTGAAATTTTAATAGATTAAAGTAATGAATTTTTTTATAATAAACTCTGCTTATAATAAAACTTATAAAAAGAAACGAATAGCAGTGATGAGGGTAAAGAAAAACTAAGAAACAGGTATTCAAAATCTGACTAAAAGCATAAAGAAATCTGAATTGTATTTCACGCAGTTGGACATTATAAAACCTATCTAGATGCTCAAAACATTTAAGTGTCAAAGTTATAGTTTATACCAAAACTTATTAGTGAATATGAAATATGTATCAAATAATGATAATATAGGAAATAATTATCGAAGTATACAAAAAATGAAATAAAAAAGATTCGAAATATTGATAATAAATAAAAAAATAAATTACCCTTATTTTTTAATACTGGGATTTTAGAGTACCTTTAAAGTGCCACGCAGTTTGATGAGGAAGATATTTAATCCTGAATGGACGACATGAAGGTAAGTAATAATGTTTTTTTTTGTCTTTTTAAGAAGAATTTTCACACTCAGCGTGCCCTTAAATTATTATTGTAATTCTCTATTCAATTATAGGACGTCAAAAAGAGCGTGAAAAGGAGAGCATAATGTCCATGCAATCTCAGAGACAATAATAATAGTTTTTGTGGTCACTTGAGTTATCAAAATTCTTTTTGGCCCTGGAGATGGAATGATCCTTCAATGTTAATTTAAATTTCGACCTCAACTGATCGCATTTAGTGACATAGCTAAATCCTTTTGATCAAATAACATCTTTGATAATTGTTGTCAAATGATGCCATAAATAGTTCATATCTCATTGTATAAAAAGTCATGTACAAAGTTGAATGTAGGCAGAGGTTTCTTTATGAATTCAAGAGAAAAAAATGTTTACAAGTGCATATGATGGAGCCTTTCAATAAAGCCTACTTAGAAGTTTGTCAGATATGGCCCACGAATTTATTGTTAATTGTGTATTTATAAAGTTTACGATATGAAGCAATTAGATTTTCATGGGATCCATTTTGAAATATCAACGGAATATCATCTATTTGAAAAAATTATGGGATGAAACTGATTCAGATGTTCTGGGTGTGGCCTATATGACTTTTGAGCTTTAGACCTAAAAGATATTGTTGACCATTGGGCAAATGCCTAAATAAGACAAACATTTAAATTGTAGGGTGAAGGTATATAACCCATAGAGAATGGCTAGTGTCATCAGTATCTGAAGCTATGTAGAGTTCGGAAAACATGAAACTACCTTTTAAGGAAATAAGTTATCTTAACCTCAGCGTACTATTCTAATAAGGGTTAGATTAAGTCTTATTGAGTCTAAACTAATGCCATAAAGTTCATGATCTTATTGCATTCTCGTGCTTTAGGTCACATAGTAGACGTAAGGGCATTAACAAGCTGCACTAGATTTTAACTACTCGTTATAGGACCCACATAAGGTCCTTGGGCCATTTATCAATCAGTTATGATGACTATATGGTGTATATTAGATCTTATGCTCACTTACAATTTTGTTTCATTATACACTAACTTCGTATAGCGTTATTAGAAATAAGTTTGCTCATTGAATACAAGGATTATCAAAGAGCCACTGAATACGTAGTATATGTAAGGCCCTGGGCATGTGGGTAGTTAATAATCAATTTATACATTAGACGTAAAGACCAATTTTGTTTTATTTTATTTATCAGCAATGAGTTTGACTTTTGTACAGAAAGTTAAATTAAGAGAATGACGGGTTGTACACCAGGTATATAGTAGGCCATTTGAGTTTAGACATTGGAGACAAGATGTACACTGCTTTCTATATTTTATTCCAATTTGAGGTTTTTATCATATCCGAGCTGAGAAAGGATCTATTCCAAGTCCATTGTGAAAAAATATTTTGGAGTTGTTTATAGTATTGAGGACTAGTAGTTGTTGGTAAGGAAGAATATGAATAATGTCATAAAGATGTAAGGATGGAAGATACCCTTAATAAACGGATCTAGAACTCAGTGAAATCAAATCTCACCAACTTGAAAAATGTTGATAACTTACAATATTTCTCTCTTTTGTATGCAGGGTCTAAATCGTAGTGGAATTCATTATGGTTATCGTATTGATGGTCCTAATGCTCGGGAGGAAGGCCATCGATATGATAACAGTACTATCCTTTTGGACCCTTACGCTAAATTGGTTGAAGGTCGGAGATATTTTGGAGATTCCAAAAATAAGATATCTAAATTTCTTGGGACTTATGATTTTAGTGCTGATGCCTTTGATTGGGGACCTGACTACAAGCTTCCAAACATAGCAGAGGTATGATGGATAAATTACTTTGTAATCATTTAATTTCAAATTCTCTTTCAGGATTTGGATTGATTTTATTCCTGCAGAAGGACTTGATTATATATGAAATGAATGTTCGTGCATTCACTGCTCACGAATCAAGTGGGTTGGATGCGAGTATTCGAGGAAGCTATCTTGGTGTGATTGAAAAGGTTAGCATTTAACCTTTAACTATATAGTAAACTGCGATGTTTTTAGTTGATAGAAAGTTTGAAAGTAAAAAATGTTGCTTACGAATCTAGTTATGATAATGCTCTATAGTTTATATAAATTCAGAAAATAGGAGTCACTATGTTATGGTAGCCGTTTTAGATTTTGGTCTGGCTAAAGGCTACGTAAATAATTTTATGGAAACGTTAAGAAAGTCATTATTCATAAACATAAATGTATTTTGGGTATGCTAATTGGTATTTTCCTCCAAGACGTGAATACATTTAGAGATAAAGGGTACTGAGTTTAAAAGTCTACAACGTGGACATGGGAAGGAGCCAGAACATTTTTTTTCTTGGATTGATAGATAGAATGGTAGGTGACTATCCATTTTAATATTCTGGATGTGAATCGTTCTGTATTATCTAATCTGTTTCTAATTGTTCTGCTACTTGTTTGGAGCTAGTCTGGGGTATGAGCACGGGGAGTTCACATTTAATTTTCTAATATGTAGAATAAAATCTCATGCTGGAATAGATTCATGCCACGTTGCTTGATAAATAGAATTTTTGTGACCATCATACGATTAATTTATTATTTGGACTAAAACTGGATTATCTTAAAATGACTGATCTGTGTTTTTTTTGGTTGTTGAGCATTGTATCACGTCTTTTGATAGCATGCATTCACGTTAATTAGGTTGTAGCAGGATTTGGAAACAATGTTGATGATCTCGTTAATAAAATCCTTCTCTATCAAGGTCGTTATACTGATGCATTTTCCCACTATTAGATGTTTAATTCTGATTGATATCTTTTCAGATACCACACTTACTGGAGCTTGGTATCAATGCTGTTGAACTACTGCCAGTTTTTGAGTTTGATGAAATGGAATTTCAGAGGCGCCCAAATCCAAGGGATCACATGGTACTAATCTTTATTATCTTGGATTTCTCCTTTTTTCCGTCTTTTTAATATTACAGAACCTAACCTGCTCGATTCTGTCCGAGTTTAAAAATTACCATGTGGTGGCAAGCTTTATCATTTTATACCTAGATGATATCTTTAGTAAGTTAACAATAGCTTAAATGATTTTCAGTTGATGAGGTAGAAGTCAGAGTTCTACATGGGTCTAATCCTGTAACAAATAGCGACTGAAATAAAGATGCACAATCTATAGTGTTGTTACGCAGACGTTTAAGTTTACACAAGAGGATTAATAGATGGAGTAATGTATGCATTTAATATTATCATAGTGCCAAGAGAAGAAAAATTCGTCTACAACTCAATTTTGTTTGAATTCTATTCTAACTCAGGTTGTAGGAACTTTAGTGTGATGTGATATTTTGATGATATTTCAAATCCCAATATTCCATTCAATAGGCAAATTAGTTCTGTGTTTGGTAAATATAGGTTGGATTAGTTTTCCAAGGCAAAATATAAAGTGGTGTCACTGAGTGTGTTTTGTTTAAGAGATCTCTTAGTCTGATTGAACTGCTACTACGATCAAAATAATAATTAGTATCTCCCAAATCATTATGATCATTGGCACCATCAACAATATTGGTGTTTTTACATGATCAAAGAGTCTATATCCCATCCAGTTTTGCAGTGGTAACCGAATCCTGTGAGTACGCCTTTGATTAAGCTGAATTATACAAGGCACTATGTGTCACAACACCAAGTAATTGAAACGCCTAAAATCTTTTATTTAAAGGAAACTTTTCGAATATTTGTGGTATGATGAAAATATATTTTTTTTTGTATGCTAAATGTCATTTTTCACTGATGTTAGAAGCTGGTATCTTTTTACTAGATTAATACATGGGGGTATTCTACAATAAATTTTTTTGCTCCTATGAGCCGGTATGCAAGTAATGGTGGTGGACCACAGGCTGCTTCTTATGAGTTTAAAGAAATGGTGAAAGCCTTACATCATGCGGGAATCGAGGTTTGCTAACTTTTTTATGACAATTACAGAAAATAGATATTGCAATGTCGTCTGGTTGTGTTGAATTATTTTCATTTCCAGAATATAATATATTTTTGCCAACTTTAGCACAATGCATGAAATTTTAACAGGTCATTTTGGATGTTGTGTACAACCATACGAATGAAGCTGGTGGATTTGTCACTTCGTTTCGTGGAATTGATAATAAGGTAAGGAGATATGCTGAACAAATAAGTGCCTCCGACTTTCTCTGCTGGACTGAGCAATTACTTCTCTAATGTATTGGATTTGAATTTGCTTAGTGTTTAATATATTGAATTTTTTTTTTCTCTTTCATTTTTTATCATGAAACATATGACAGTTGATAGTAAAGAACGATGGAATGAATTTATGAACATCTTAGGTTTACTAGATTTTTGGAGCAATTATTAATAATTGTGACCTAAAGAATCTGATTGTAGTTTTGAGCCCTTTTATTGTTATGCATTTCAAATAGGTAGCCTTGGCCTTCAGAAGTTAGTTAGTAAAGTGTCAGTTTTGAGTCCTTTTGTTTTTCAGTCAATATGTTATTAGATAGAATGACAAAGATTTTGGCATACTGTAGGTGTACTATATGTTGGACTTCAAGAAGAATGCTCGGTTATTGAATTTCTCAGGCTGTGGTAGTTTTCCTTTTTTCTTCTTATATTTAGTCTCTCACATTTCTCTCTTATTTTTTTATTATTTTATTCAGTTTTAGGGCTGCAGTAGTTTTAGCCGTACCAAATGCTGCCTTTATCATCTGATTTGGTGCTAGTTGGAAACACTTCCCCTTCTTTTTGATCTCTTCAAACATTTTTAACCTTAAAATGGCTATCTGTATGCCCATACCAAGTTCAGCCATGTGCTTCCTTTGAGTGTAGACTTTAACTGTTGCATGATTGACTTCAATGTTCTCATCATATGGTCCCCTTTGTGAATGGGCATGGATAAAAGTGTGTTTTCGTACTGTTAATCCATACGTTCTTCTGATAGCTACCTTTTCCATGATAAATTCTGCCAGATCCGGTTATGTGTTACAATCCGTTCATCATTTAAAAATTCATGATATGCCTAATACATTATTTTCTTGTCTGTTGATCTGATACTTCATTAGGTTTCCGAAACTTTTGTGTAGTCTTATTTTCATTTCTATTTTATTGATCTCTTCCCCGTAATGTGATCCAGGAAACACATTAAATTGCAATCATCCCGTGGTTATGGAGCTTATACTTGACAGCCTAAGGCATTGGTATCATATTTCAGAAGCTTTCTTCATGTGGCTTAACTATTCATTTGTAATTACGTTTTCTGTTATTGAAAGATGGTGGAATGTGGTTGGATGAAAGTCCAAGTTACTGTATAGACTAGTTATTCCCAAACTTTTCTTTTGAACTGAATGAAGACGAAAAGCCAGAAAAACTGATGATATATGGAGCTCACATCTTAGGCTTGATAAATTATATAAAAGTAGGGTATTGGTTGTGTCTTTCTTGGCAGCAACCTCGTGCGGTGCATGTGAACTTTAAGATCGTTATGTATTATGTTAGGGTTTGAACTCATTGATGAGTCCAAAACACATCAACGGTGCATTTTGCTTACCTGAGTTTTATTACGCTTGTATTGAAATTCACATTGTGATTACTCTCTGCAACATTTGCAACAAATAAAAATAATACTTTCTTTGTTATTTCCATCTTGTACCATTTCTCATGGAAGTATTTATTTTCTGTGTATCTTGTTTTAACATAGCATCATGGTGAGAGAGGGTTGCAGCTCGATCAGCTGGAGCGTCTTGTATGATTTAATTAGTTGCACTTATTAAATCATATTTTTTAGACTCATTAATAATTCCTTAAAAGTCTTGCTATAGTTTAACAAGCCAATACTTTTTCATTTTCTCATTTATCTAATATCTCTTTTCTATTGGAGCACAACGCCTGGCTTAATCAGCTCAAGTTGGTATTTGTCTTTCGTTCGGGATTTTTTAGATGTCATATCGATTTGGAGTTTGCCCCGCCACTTTCAGTGTATAAAATCAAATAGGTCAACGAAAGTTGCATTCGTCAGAAAGTTGTATATTTTTTCGACTGTGTGTTGAATCCATGGATATGTCATTTAACGTTATCTGCATATATCTTCATGCACAAGTCCCATCTTAATACTTATAAATTCTATCTCCTGCGTCTGAAAGGGTCACAGAATACCATGTGGATGGATTTCGGTTTGACCTTGCAAGTGTTCTTTGTCGTGGAACTGATGGTGCTCCACTTAATTCACCACCACTTGTGAAGGTACTTATTCATGTTTATTTTTTCCTTGGTGTTTTATCCATGTGATCGATCTACACAGTGAATCACACATAATGTTAAATATTTACCTGTCTCTTGAATATTTTTGTTTGTCTCCCCCTTAAATAAAAGCATTATAGCATAAGATAAATCAGGAATTTAAACAGTGGTGTCAAGAATAGTGTTTGATATCATGACTTGGAACAGGGAAAAACAGAAATAATGTTAAATGTCTCTTGATAAGTGTTTGAGTGCATTTTGCAAATCTGGGCAACAAATTTTCAGAAAAAAGGATTATTTCACGCGCTTCTACCCCTACAAAACCTACCCTCACATGGCAGGTTAGATTTCTTTAATACAGTGATTTGTGAGTGGCGATGCCAGTTTCCTGTCTTCCTTTTGACTTTTATTCAAAAGAGTTTACCTTCCAGTGCTATGGTTGTAGTGATGTCATTAATGAACTTCTATCCACTCCCAAACGTCAATTTTTTTTTGTTTGTTATTAATTGTTCATTTTAAATCTGAACTTCTCAACAATTGACACTGAACATTTCTTTGCATAATTCTCTAGGCAATTGCAAAGGATCCTGTTCTATCACGATGCAAAATAATTGCAGAACCATGGGACTGTGGAGGGCTTTATCTGGTTGGAAAATTTCCAAATTGGGATAGGTAAGATCCGAATAGAGAGTCCTATTCTTCGGATAACACTTTTTTTTTATTATGTTTCCATTATTTTCGTTGAACTGATTTTTCTTCTAATGGAGAAGGTTTCTGATTTCATGTTCCTGAGCATTTTTTGTTTTATTTTAGTGATGAAATCATTTAAAGAGAAATCCTATACTTAATTTTTGAATTTGGCAAGACTTTGGTTACCAAATTCATGTCTGGGTTCCCCTCCAAATTCATGTCAAAGAAAGAAATTTTGAAATGTGAAAAGATTAAAAAAACTGTAAAAATGATCTTGCAAACCTAATCCTACTCGGGGAAGTCGGACTTATTGTAAATCAGGACTAATAAATCATTAAAATAGGTGGAATAGGAACTAACAAAAAATTTAGTGAATTCCATAAAAGAATCATAAAGCTTTATTCTTTTGAAAACATGGTACGGGATCCAGAAATTTAATCGGTTGAGAATCCGTGCGACTTTTTGGGAAATAGACAAACTGAGGATATACATTATTGGAGAACTTCAGTGATATGAAAATTTTGGTACTCATTATCTTTTTGACGAGGAGGAAATCCTTGTTTCAGAAAACTCTTCCTTTCATCCAGTTTCCTTTTTGCTCTATTTCGGCTGTAGATTTCACCCACTAATCTAATGTGAGGTCCATATTTCCATTTGATAATAAGTTTCTTATGTGTCCAAATAGGCTAGCTGCCTATATGACGAATGTGGGTTTTGATCGTCATTATGATGGCCACGATCAATGTTAGAATCGCAGTCAAGCTCAAAGACAGTTTTCGTTGGCAGCAATTCTTGAAAAGTATAATGCTTATCTTCAGGACTGACGTTGTGAGTAAGCTTGACTCCAACATGTAAAAGGCATCCCAACAAAAGTGACGCTTGGAGTCAGATTATCACTCTAATATCGCTCAGATGCCAGAAAAATTTAAAACTGTTTTGTAAACATATGAGGAACGACATATAAAATCCTTGAATTCACAAAAAAATAACGTGAGTCAGTTTGACTCAACAGAGATTTGGAAAAAAGATTCTAGTATCCAAAAATTTTAAGGATCTACAGTTCATGCCTCAGATAGTCAACAAAAGAGTCTAGTAATATGATCATCCATAAGGAAAACTGTTTCCATAAAAGGAAACATTTATTTTGCCCAATAAACGAAAAGGCATTTTTAGATCTACTAAAAAAAATCCTGTAAAGACATCTTCATTTTAACTTTTCGAACTTTTTTTAGCTAGATCTTCTAAAGCATTTCAGCCTTCTAAGACTTCTGAGCTATACGTATTAGGTTTACATGTCTTGAAAATCTGTTCTCAATCTGAAAGGTGTTGAGAATGTGCATTGCAATTTACAACAATAGGTTTAGTATATGTATGGCATCTTTTTATCTATATTGTTGTATTTCAATAGTCTAACACTGATGTTTCCAATGGTCCTTTTCGAAATTACTTTTAATGTTCCCATAAATTATTCTGCAAAACCACTTAATTTTTAGACAAAAAACCTTCTGCCTTTGTGGTTACTTCGGCCTCTATGTAGTCTAAGATTTCTTTTAAGTGGAAATCTCTGTGCGATCTTCAGAACTGATTGATTTTTGGGAGCCTCTTCAGAGCCTTGGTGTCACCTCATTGCTCTGAAATTCCGAGTTCCATAATGCTTACCATCGTTATTGATGTAACTCGACCAAATGACATTGTCTAGAGTTTCTTTTTCCATTTTTGTGAACTTTCTGATTTAATCTCATTGAAAATTAATTGATGATGAAATATAAACTATCTACGAATATTAACTACAAAACCCGGTGCAGTAATGTGGATTTTTATTCAGATTATTCTTTTGTGTCAAACATTGAGATTGACAATGATCAGATGAACGTAGGGATTAGACATGATAATCGTTTCATCTGTCTGAAAATTATTTTCCACTTGTGACTGTAAATCTTACATATGCAGGTGGGCTGAATGGAATGGGCAGTACCGTGATGATGTCAGAAGATTCGTAAAGGTAGTTATCATTGAATCTGATATTTTATTTATTACATTGTTTTTATTTTCATGTCCATTAGGATGTAATATTAGCATAGCAGTAAAGTGAAAATAATGCAACTGAGTTTCTTGGAAATTGTCACATCATAAATTTCATGGTTCCATTGGTTAGAAAATCAAAATGCAGATTATATTTGAGATCATATCATGACTCCAATGAAAGGTGTTCTATGGTTTCAATGTAGTCCCCAGTTGGAACCGAGGGAAGTTCTAGCCTTTTTTGATGATGTTTGATTGCCAGAAGTAAAGATTGATGAGCAATGGTTATTCATAAAATCAATCTACTAGTAAAATCCTTGTACCAGAGTTTTTTTACCTGTAGCGATTGTAGTTGATTAAAAACAGAAATTCTTGCGAAAATTAATTGATATTTTCCCATCATTAAAGGATGCATTTATGAGAGTCTCAAGCTGACCATTTGATAGCCTCTGTATTTGACTGTTTTTCTGAGTCTTCCTTTCGTGTTGTGTTTACTTCTGACTTTTTGATTGTATTTAATACCATCAGTAATTCTTTCTGGTTATTCCCTTTATTTTATTCTTTTCTTCTATTTTTTTCGCTAAACATGGTAATCTATAATTCTCCTTAAAGATCGAACATGTCTGTCTTTGATGGTAGTCTATACGTTCATATTAGATTATATCTCTGGATATTTGATGGTTGATATTCTTAAAAAGAACATATCCAAATGAATCTCAGTTTTCTCCTATTATGTTTTATTTTTAGTGGTTTTCCTACCCTGATCATGAAACAATGTTCCGTTTTACAGGGTGACCCTGGTACAAAGGGCAGTTTTGCTAGTCGTGTTTCTGGATCATCAGACTTATACATGGTAAAAACGTTTCTTCATATACATGTTCGGTTTCATATATATTGTGCCAATAATATAAATTGATAGCCAAGCTTTATGATAACTAGAGATACTCATGTTCATTTTAAACTATTTTTACCTAGAAATCTCGTTTTGAATGATGTCACCGGAATAATATCCGAAGAGAAAAGTTTCTAATGTATTTCATTAGACAAGCATCACATATTTCGTAATGGATCAAGCTCTCTGGAATTGGGAAGGAAGACTCTCACCGACCCTAATCTATGGACTCTAGTATTATACTAGAGTCCATATGGAATTAAATGAGCCGGTTCGGCCCGATTGCTTGATGGGCCGACCGTGTCCAGACTCACAGAATTACATAGTCTAACAGTTGTAATGGAATCCAGATTATTAAATCAGAATATTTATATTTTTTTAAAATTATTCAATTTTTTCTCTGATTGATTAATAATATTAAACGTTAGAATGATAAAATTTTCTAAGAAGACCTATATATGAACCACTGAAAAATTCGTTTTCGTCCTATATGGATCCCCTTAGGGGCAATTTTTTCATTTCCTCGCTACAAACCTGAGGTATACTGGTCTAAAAGAGTATTAGCGTGAGTAATAGGCTCTAGTCATTTTTCCATACTTTTCTCTCGTAGGTTTTAGTCCCTTTTCATTCTTGTGAGGGTCAATAGGAAATAAGGTGAATGAAAAATGACTCGGACATAATTACCAATGAAAATGTGAAAACTCTGCACTGAATTTAGATGTGAATATGAATAGAAGGAGAAATATGATTTTTGTCCTCAGACCTATCCGTTATTATGTAGAGGATGATATAAACCGATTGAAATGATGTAAACAGTTGAGATTTAGTTCGTATACACTAAAACACCTTTACAAACATCACTTTGCTGCTCCTACATATTTCACTTCGTAAGATCACTTTGCACTGAATATTAGACATAGTAAGATCCCCTTCTTCCTGTAAACCCTCAAATTAACTTCTGTAACAACCGCAACGATCTGGGTTAATGTTTATCCCCAGCTTGGTGCTTAGCAAAGACTAATAGCATAGACCCAACGATCTGGGTTTAATTAATTTGGGTGATGTACATTCACAGACACATGGAGGAAACATTTAGGTTACAGATGCATTACAAGATCATAACTTCAGGTTGATCACACAGACATCACTAGTCCAAATTAACTCATGACTGTATAATATAACAATGCATAAACATGAATGAGAGTGGATGTCTCCTGGAAAGAGCCTAGGGTTAGGTATGAGTAATTAATTTTCATCTCTCATGATCTGCATAACTAGGAAAGCCATCAAATTTTTTGCCTTTCAGTTATACAAGAAAGCCTTAAGACGTTTACATTCTCAACAAAGTCAGAAATTAGTTGTGTTGGTTAACTGCAAGGATAAGATTATCCAGGTTTCTGACTGTCTAGAAATGTTTCGGCCAAAAATATTACGTGAATCGGGAATCTGAATCGTTGAGAAACTGATGTGTGTGCATATTTTATTCCCTTTAAATTTGGCGAATTCCATTAGAGCCTGTTCTTTGGGTCATGATCTATTGTAATATTCGTTTTCATTTTTACATTTTATTTAATTCAGGTTCTACTCGATTTTCTGACCGGCAGTGTTGTTGATTGCATTTGGATGCAAAGTCCGTCATATAATATCAAATGGATGCCAAGACCCATCATTTAGCTATTATGACAACTTTGTTAAAATTAATTTAGAAGGGCATTAAGCCTGAGAAAACCTAAGCATTCATTCTACATTAATATCCGATTTGAAACAGGTTGGGTTTCTTTTAACCATTCCCTCATGGTAATTGTTCTCTATGGGTCGTTGAGGAATACTTAGGCTTAGAGGGTGGTCCCCCTTTCTTGTGTAAAAGCAATCTGAATTTGAATACCCTTGTGTAGAATCACTATATTTATTTAGGTATATGCAAACGGCGAGGTAGAACTTTCGGTATCCTATGATTAGATTAGGACCCCTCTCAATGCTTCCCACAGGTTCTCTTATGATCCTTTCTTCAAACACTGTATGACAATTGGAGTGGTCACGAAGGAAAGTGATAGATCCATCACCTGATTCCCTCTTAGTCCATACATGCCTAGAGCTTCAGCTAACTGCTAGCTGGTCTGGTGCTAAGTGCACTCTAGTTGTAACCTCATTATTTTGGGTTTCTAGATCCGCGAATATAAATAAGAAACGTATGCATTAGGGTATGGCTGCCGTTTAAGTACATCTCTCTTAATAAAACAATATTACAGTTTTTGAGTAATGCTGTGTGAGTATATTTGTCTATTTTTAGTTTTCCTTTTATATTAGTAGATCCCGTTGGTGGGTAGGAGGGGTCTGAACTGATGAGCTAGTTGCGTTCAAGAAGCTGCTCACCCATGGGTGGCAGAATTTCCTGATCTGCAAAAATTTTCCTTTACATTAGGTTTCTATTCTTCTAAAATATTTCACTTATCTGAATAAATTGCCATTTGTTTCGGACATCACTGTCTGTAGCATATTTTTGAAATTTCTTTCTATCTTCACAATTCATCACAACCTAACGAACTTGATTCTTCAATGTGGGGCTCCTCTTCTGTATTAGTAAGGTGAAATCTCACCATTTTAGCATGGACTCAAACCTTGATATCTTCATGATGTACTAAAGTTTAAGTCGACGTGTTTTTTGTCAGTTATTTACTGTTGGGGAGCAACATACTTTGATTTTGTCTCTTGAATCACCCTTCATAATTTCCCCACCGTAACATGATACGGTTCACATTAGTGATGACACATCCATTCTATTTTGTTGTCAGTATGCGATCATGGTACTATTTTTTTCTGTATCTCATAACTGTCAGCTGTGCCTAATCTACTAACATTCTGGCACCTATTAATAGGTAAACAATAGAAAGCCATTCCACAGCATCAACTTTGTTATTGCTCATGATGGATTTTCATTATACGACCTAGTTTCCTACAATGTCAAGGTATTATGATAAAAACCTGTAGTCTTCTGATAAATTATGATACATGCGGATGTTTTATTGGAGCATGACACTTTCCAATCATTTTGCCTACCCTTTGTTTCGTCTGTCAGCATAATGACGATAATGGAGAAGATGGAAGAGATGGATCAAATGACAACTTCAGTTGGAACTGTGGACATGAGGGTCATCTGTTCTTCCTTATTTCTACTCTTTAATTATTACCCTTCAACGAAATCTTAAAAGTTATGATTCATACGTGAACTTGTTTTCTTGTTTTGATCTCAGTTGCGTTCCATAAGTGTTTATTAGCTTTCACTGTCCAACAAGAAAAACTCTTTAAGGATGCTGATACCTACAAGCATCATAGAAGTTGCGTGTACTGAAAACTATAGAACAAAATATGATGTTTAATTTACCTAAACAACTGATGTAACTAATGTTATATAAATTAATTAACTATCCGATAACTAATGTAAGGAATAAGTCTGTTGTGATCTTAGGGTCAATCTTGATACATTTGAGCTAATTGTGACACGTGCGCTTCATTGAGGGCTTTGAAAGACAGCCAATGAAAGTGAGTTAAAATTAGTGTCAAATCCTTTCTAGATGCTTTGGCAGTAACCAACCATAGACTTCTAGTTCATCGTATATGGATGACATAAGTTTGAATACTATAATGGTTACTTCAAACTTCCTAGATGATTATAAACTTTTAAATCCGTTGATTTGATCAAATTTAGTTTATTTGAACATGCGTACAAGAAATAATAGATTCTTATCATTTAAATTTTTTTCTTTAATATCATTTTATAGATCTATTTGCTCTTTATTCCTTTTTCAGGAGAAACAGATGACATCAAAATTCAAGGCTTACGTTCAAGACAGATGAAGAACTTCCATTTAACTTTATTAGTCTCTCAGGCAAATATTTTATTAATTTCATTTAATTTTATTTTAAGAGCTTATGTTTAAAAATCTGACACTCGTGGAACCAGTGTATGCTTGCATGAAATGCTCTCTAACATTGAAACTCTATGCACTGTAGATACTCGTACAAAGAATAGGGTCTTTTAAAACTATTAAAATAGGTGATCTTTGTGTGTATTTTGTAGACCCGTATTCATATCATCAGTCATGTTAAATGTGTATTCATCGTATTTAATTAAAGTCAGCCCTGATAATATTTTCATAATCATTAATGTACATCGATTCCCTTTTCTAAAGCAATTAGCATGCGTATATAGATCATGAGTAGATTCGACTGGAGATTAGAGTGTCTTTGGAACATATGTCGGGGAATTTTGATTGTAGTAGCACACAGAATATGTTCTGGCATTAGAATGGAGGTTGAGAAGATACTTCCGCAAAACTCATATCTATAAAATTCTATGCATTTTGTTATCTATTCTTCCCCTTGAGTCTGTACTATATCAACCAAATGATTTCGATTCCTCCAATGCGTCTAATAGATCATTCTTGATATTTTCTCTGGAGTATTGACCAAGTCATGACTTATTTTGTTGTCAGGAGTGATTTGCTACTCTGTTTATGGTATATTCTTGCATTTGAGACATTGAACGCAATTGGGTTTGAAGATTCATTTAACGTTTTTTTATCTTTTTCGTTATTAATTTGATGATGGATTCAATGAAGATCAACTTAAATCCTAAAACACTCTCCATCAGTCTGGCTTTACACTGTCGTGTGAGGCTGTCCATGATATTTCCTCTCTTGTGTACCACCTATACTCAATTCATGATCAGATATGTACCATTGCATCCTAGTCTATCGGATAGACGACCACCATTCTGAAATCAATCCCCATTAGCATCATTCCATGCTGCTTCTTCATTGCTTAAATGATGGAGCAGACAGGACGGAAAGGAACATGGAAAAATGGTGGTAAAGTAGTGTCTAAGCTTCTGCATGATCTTGGCTGGTACGTAGTTGTATCTTGATCTCAGGTATTCAAGCCAGACTGCCAATTTCTTTAAGTGAGTAAATTTTATGACATCTACCATCAAAGTCATTATTCATACATGGAGCACTTTCATTGCCATTGTCTCTCAGTTCTAGCGTGAAAAGGTCGAATCTTTTGAGAGTGTTGATGCTGGACCCCGTTCCCCTAGAATTTCCAAAGCACGGTGTGAAGTTTAATGCTGGTTCCATTTTTCTGACTACCTAAACCAGACTGGCTGAAACTTGAGTCATATCTATTAGAAAATTCGACTGTCCAATTCAGAAATCAATTGCAATTGAGTACAGAAGGTTCCTATGTTTAATCACTTTGCTTAATTTATATCGTTTTACGTGGCAGTATTTCAACATGATCCTCCGACTCTATTTTATTGTATGTCTCAAATCTTGCAAACCCTCATCAGATACAGCCTGATAGTGGACCCACATTTGAGATACAAGTTGTTGATGATTTGTTAAAAACTCACATTGCTTTTGAGGGTCACACCCCCCCAGTAAGAATTGTTTTGAATTTGAAATTGTCTAGGATTTCTATCCGGGATTATCAAAGATTCTAACAGCTTACCATGTTTCAAGTTCTGGTTTTGCTAGGAAAATTTTTGAAGGAATGAAAAGTTAAAGTGGAGAGGAGATGCTATTCTTTTCTTGAACTTTACCTTGATTGATCTTTTCATGTCTGAACTACAGTGAACATAAGAGTTTTCCTCGGGACTACATGAATCCTCTTGTGCTGTTTATTTCTATTTTTCTCGTTCTTATTTTCTTTTCTTGCTTTGCTTGGTTATCCAAGAAGAGATAAATCTCATCATATTGTGCGGAAAACAGGCATATAGAGAATTGTACAAACCCCAGATCACAGCCATTAGCTCTGATATAATGATAGGGGAATTGGGCCATCCTTGTAAGGAAAACCGATAACGATGGGAGACTTGGCTCACACTTGATTACACATCACAGTCCATTATTATTATAATCTGTTCAGCTTTTAGTCTATAACCACTTCGCGTTTTATAATTTTTATGAGCGGATTTGATGCTTGTGGTAGCTATTAAATAACCTCTTGTGGCTAAACTGAAATAGGGAACACCAATGATGCTTATGGGAGATGAATATGGTCATACTCGCTATGGAAACAACAATAGCTATGGACATGATACTGCAATAAATCACTTCCTATGGCATCAGGTAACGATTTCATTTTACTGTGTTTACCAACGATTCAGGCTAGTGACTGTTCTTCGGAATAGATGGAAGAGAGAAGAAGCACCCACTTCAGATTCTTTTCAGAAATGAATAAGTTTCGGCAGAAGCATTGCATACTTGGTCGCGATAGGTTCCTGGGAAAGGTAATTATGTCCCTCTGCTATTCTTACAGATGCTTGACTGACTCAGATAAAATTATTACAAATTTTTGGTCGTCCCTTTTTCCAATAAATAAAGAAATGGGTCATTTTAGTGATCTGATGAGTAACGCAAGAATAACACATGTAATTCATACTTATGAGTAGTGCTTCATCGTTTTTAATGAACGATTTATAGATAATATTGATAAATACTAAGCGAATTAACTAGTTAAACAGTCTATGACTTATTTTTATTTTCATCTGCTTGATAACTTCAAGATTGGGAGATATTTTTTTTTTGAATCGAATACAAAATTTGTAATGTTTTGGGCTTTAGTGGTTCATGTCAGGGACTTTTGATCCATTGAAATCAATATAACACACCATAGACAGACACATGGATCCTTTTAATGGAAAACTTTGAAACGCTGATATGTGAAAGAATGAATACGGATTGTCCTGCTTCTACGATTGCGCGTGCTTAATTTGTGGAAATGTGTTCCTTCCTCACCCTAATTATCTTAGCATGCATGGAAAGTTAAGTGAAGTTTACATTCCAATTGTTTTATCACTTCGAGGGCCTCTGTCCTCTCCAAACTTAATTTTTTGTTAGCTCTTTCCTGCAAGTGTTTGGTCTTATGTTGGTGCCCACTTGAAGACAAATGCAAAAAAAACATGGTTATATATCTTTCTGAAAACATTTTCAATCAGCAATTGTTTTTTTTCAAGTTTGACATATTTAGTCTGTCATTGTTTTCATTCAACTGCCACCGCAGAAGGACGTCACTTGGCATGAGGACAATTGGGACAACCCTGAGAGCAAGTTCCTTGCACTTACGTAAGAGGGCCTGTGTTCTCTGCTTCAACTTGATGCTTTGATATTGATTGTTCGAATTCACTTCTCCTGATGTTCTGGTCTTCTTAGATGGGAATACCATGTACTCTTTAAATAAAACAATTCTTATAACGTATGTTTTTTCCCCTAGGCTTCATGACGAAAAACTTGGAAATGACATCTATTTGGCATTCAATGCACATGACTATGTCGTGAAAGCTACGATACCTTCAGCACCTAATAACAAAGGCTGGCATCGAGTGGTAAAGTCTCCCTTTCTTTCTCTTTTTTTCTTTCCCCTGCATTCTCTCCATTTCAGTTTTAGTTCACATTTCACTGCTGTTGTCATATGAACTAGATTGGTAGAAATTTCTGATTGTTTGATCACAAAGAACTTATGGAGAAAGGGTAAAGATAGATAGTAGGAAGAAAAACGTAGTAGTAAGTTTTTTTACATTTACTTTCATGAATAGTTGGCAGCGGGTGAACAAAATATGAAGTACTAGATCTCCAACTCTTTTGAACTTTTTATACACAAGGTATCTATTAAACCAGCCTATGCAACACTCATTCTTTGAGATTACATTGATTCTACGTACACATACACAAATTTACTCAACTAATAGAGTTGTGTAGTCAGCTAGTCCATGGATTAAGTTTGGCCTACATTATTCTATGGCCCCTATTTGGCTTGTGTCTATACAAAACACTGAAAAATCACGACTAGATAAAGAGAGAAAAGGAAACCCCAGAAATGAACTGGGCTCAAACTCATTGAGGTCTGATTTGACGTATTTATAGGATTAGTTATCATGTTTTCCAGGTTTTTAAGGTAAATCTTCTGTTTTGACGCTAGATGCGTTCTTTTTTTATATAAAGAGGATTATGAGGAGAAGACCCTTCTGGGTAGGCTTTCGTTTTTTTCAACGTCTTCAACATTGAAAGTTATGTAAATCATACTCATGGTGATGCCGTTTTTAAAATTAATTCATGGACTATTTTTGAATAATTGATTTATTTATTTACTATTTTATCTTTCATTAACTCCTCTCCATTGAGAATATCGCAAATCTTTTTCACGAATGGTCAGAAGTCCTGGTAATTATTGATACAACGAGTATCATCACAACATGAATAAAAAATTTCATAAGTTATCAACGATTCTCTCCAGAATATGTTGAATTTCGCTGAAATCATTTTAGCTCCATCAAATCGCTTTTTTTTTTAATTTGTGGTACCCTTCATTTAAATGTTTTTTTTCTGAGAACCTTTAAACCTTAAGTTTGGGATAGTTTTTACAAGGTAGATTCCTTAATAAGTTATTTTTGAGTTTTTTTAGCCGATCCTAGAAGTAATGTGTTGGGTAACTAGAGTTCTAGGTGCCATGTTTCCACGGATCATGGAGACTCCTACCCTCTTTGGAACACAAGAGGAGGCTGCTGACCAAAAATACTAGCTGAACCTTGCTTGGGACCCTTCTCCCATCCAGCACGAGATGTAAGAGGCTCAAGCTATTAGACCTTAGGAGAAAACAGGTGAACGGTGCTCCATACCTGCTGTCTATTCCTCCCAAGTAGCACTACTACCATCAGAATGCTATCATTTTACAATGGTGCAAGGCAAAAGGCTTTATCTATATATATATATATATATCTATATCCTTTCTTATATCTCTACCCTGCATGCCGTTGACAATAATCAGTTTCTAAGCTTGAAGTAACAAGAGTTCTGCATAGATTTTTCTTACCCCCTTGTTTACATGATCAAAAGGTTTGTGCCCTTCATGTCGTCATCCCCAACTAGTGATGCTGCCTGTTTGTTCCTCTTTGTCATGCCATTGTCATGTTTCTACTAGATAAACCATTCAATACTCGAACCCGAATTGGATCCGAAACCAAAAAATTGATTAAAACAAAGAAAATGGATGCTTAATGCATGAAATCTTCGACATCCCTTTCCAGAATGGCACGACGAATCCTCTTCCAAACGAAAGCTAACCTGGCCTGATGAAGCCTGTTTTCATTGCCATTTTTGGGCATAAAACCTAATGTTTTTATGGTGTATCTATGGACGATTCATCTCCCTTAGGGTCATGTTATTTCGAACTAAACACATTCCCAACCCTAATTAACATGACAGCGTTTGTAGCTGGTACTTACATGTTTCCCTCTTTCACCAGGGAGATCGCATTAATCAGTCCCAAATAGTCAAGTTGTACAATAGAATATATGAATGGATGGATTGGCCAATGCTAAGTTTCTCATGATATTAATGCTCCACCCTAGGTTTTATAATATGTGTGCATTCTCCACATAACAGTGTCAACAAACTGTTGGCTTTTTATAGGATTGGTGTATCAGAGTAGGCCCGCAATATTCAGGAATATGTTGCTTATAATCAATTGATTTCTATATTTTGGTGCTATTTATTATATTTTTATAATTATTTTCGGTAAAAAAAAATTAATCCTATGAGAGAAGCGTGCATTAGTTCATCGGAGTGGGAATCTACACTTCATAAATGGATAGTTCTAAGCAGGTGAGACTGACCAAGCTTCAGTGCAGGCCGACACAAACCTCGAATCCCCAGATGATTTCATCGCTGAAGGTATCCCCTTCTGTGAAACCGTGTACAATGTGGCCCCGTTCTCCTCGATAATTCTCCAGGCAAAGCCAAAATGAGAAGTCATCATCAAGCGCAACAAATAAAATCACCATCAGTTGTTTGCAGATTGATACATGTAAGTTCCTGTCCTTTGTTAATCATCAATGTGGTGGGAGGGAAGGAGGGATAAACTCCCCAGCTTTTAGTATGGGAAATTCATTTTGTTACTATTATTGGAAATAAAGGGTGATTAACAAAAGATCAACTATGGCAGTTCATTTTCTTACTATCGTTTTGATTATTTTCTTTCCTTATGGCTGTGATCAGTTTTTTATTTATGTAAATTACCTAGAATCATGAAATCAATAATGATCAATAGAAAAATAACTCATACTATTTAGTTAGTTTCCACTCTTTCAACCACAAAGCTACTCCACTCTTTGTGTCTATATCCTTGGATTTTTATTCGGTTGATGTAACCCATGATTTGCCTTTCCACAATAACTTAAGCAATAGCACAAGATAACTCTTGAATGAAGCAAAACAACAACTTATGATGTCGGTCAATGAATTGCTTTGAGTAGAAAATTCTTGATTGTGGTTTGATCATGTTGAAAGATTGTCAACTATGAACATTCACTTTTGGAGAGGTTGGAATGTTCATAGAAAATGATTGCTGCATGTTTTATGAAATTCTTAATCAGATAGTAGAGAACAAAGAGGTGTTCATGTTTTAGAAAACCTTCTTGTCGACTTCAAAACTAGGTTTATTTCTAGGTTTAGAGTTGACACTAATTCTTCATGTTTTGCTCCAAGTTTGTGTTGGCAGCCTTGTTGCATGTATTTATTTATTACCATTTTTGTCACAAATAGAGGTTATCAATGGTAGGGGTGACGTGACTTAGCCATTGTATAGTGAACCATGTAAATTTAAAATTTATAAAACTAGAAAATATGAATTTTTAGATATTTAGAAGTATTTTTGAATAAACATATTGAGTATAATTCAATAAAACTTCCAAAAATAATAGTAATTTTTCAAGTTGATCAAAAGATGTAATATAACATTTGGTAATTATTTAGAATTTTTCTCAAAGAATATTATTTTTTTATGAATTTTATATTAGAAAATAAAAAGAAAATATATTTAAAATTTATACAAAAAGGAAATAAGGGTGCGAAAAATATCGTTATATCTGATGATTCTTTGTAAGTGATTATAAATGATTGAATTGATCAAGTTAAGATATATAAAAGTTAGAAGAATTATAATTGAATAAAATATATTTTAATAAATTTAAATAACATAAATTATTAGTAAATAAAGTAAAAATTAAGTTGAAAGTAGGAAAACAAAGTTCTAATATTGTAGTGGTGATGTGTTAGTGATGCATCGAAATTTTAAGTATTTGAGAGGATCATCATATAGTATCTATAGTCTCAAAGACTCTCCTTAGACAAAGATGACGTGGGCAATCTTTAGATCTTCTTACGAAGTCTAGAGATTAATAAAATAAGTTGTTGAATTATCTCTGGCGACTATCATCTAATAGAGTGGAAAAATAACAATTTTATAGCTCTCTGGTGGTTGTCACTCGGTGGAGAGAAGTTGGATGGAGAGGGGCACTTGTTAGAAAGCTTCATTCTCAAGTTCATGTAGCAAGAGAAGGCTCTTCATTGCATTTGATATGTTCTTAAGAGGTGGCAACTCATCTCCTAGTAAATCGTCCTCTTTCTAACAACAGTTTGTTCGTTAATCAATTAAAGATGCTTTACTTGATGGATTTATGATCTTTTTATCGCGAATCCTTCAACAATTTTAGTAACAATATTTCACGAATCGTGTTGACAAGATTTTTGTTGATGATCCAATGATTCTAATTGCTTAATCCTTCACCAGCGATCTGTAGAAAAGTCGCAATAATTAAATAAAAAATATGAGTTTTGGCTTTGAGAGGATTCAAACTTACGTCGATTGTCCACTCTTTCTAGGGAAGGTGTGATGCAGGTTTAGTTCCACATCGATTGTGCGTCAACATTTTTGAGAAATATATAGTAATGTTACATTTCCAATCAAGTCCCTTTCTCACACATGTACGACCACTCCTTGCCCCATAGCCTACTAGCCATCAGTGACGCGGAAGGAGAGTGGCACACATGTGCCCCTATCAGTCCTAGCTACTCGAACCTTTGCTCACAGCTCCTCCCTGACTACACTTTTGACCTGTTGGGCCCCTTCATTTTATTTTATTTTTCTTCATTTATCTCAAAAGTAGGACTATAAAAATCATATAAATTTATATAAAATCACATAATTATCTAAAAATTCATATTAATTAATTGAAAACTACTTTTCATACTTTAACATAAATATAAGTCTATTTATCATGAGTTAAGGCTAAAAATATATTATTTAATAATTATTAACTCATGATAATGAAGACTTATTAAGGGGAGACAACATTGTCGTTACCAAATAGGAAAATCAATAATCAAATAAGAATACTATATAAATACTTTTCTCATATTAAAAATTAATTTGTGTGGGGAACTACTGATTTGAGCCAAAGACCTATCCAAGCCTCTTAAACCCTATCTAGCCAAGCATTTGAGCCAGCCAAACAAGGTTAGCTAGTAACTAATCAATTAGAATTGGCATCCAAACATTTGGGGAAAGGCATTACACCACCAGTAATTTGAAATCCATCAAAAACTTTCCAGGGGGAGATTAGAATGTCACCAACAAACCAGATTAAGCCATGTTGATTGTGGGTAACATGCATGTGAGATTAAAAGAAGGAGGGCTCCTAGTGAGCAGCTCCAAGTATCCTAGGTTTTTATCAAATTGGATATAGAGCAATAAAGTTTTCATCTTTGAAATGGCTCTTCAACTAATCTAATTATAGCACCCAATATCTTATATAAAGCTACTGTCTTAAAACTACAAATTAAAGAAATTACTTTATATGTAAGAATTTCTCATTAGAAAATGAGTAAATAGCTAAGCCTTAATTAATGTGTTTTAAGTAACATGCTCGTAATTATTATTCAGCCAAACTAATTGTAGTACTTCATAACATATCAAAATCTTCAATATTTTATGAACTAAAAATTACAAAAATTACTTTATGTATTTAAAGTTTACAATTTCGATTTTTTAACTTCTAAAAAATTTTCTAGAAAGCCAAAAAATGGAAGTGATGAACTATAAAAAATATTTTCCGAAGGGCTCAAAGAGAGAAATAAAATGAAGATTTAACCAAAGAAGAATCAAGGAACATTTTTCATGAAAGTTTATTCCCATTGAATTAAGGTTCTCATGATCTTTACAAGCTTCAAGAAGGCAACATTCGCTAAGCAAGTCAACACTAGGATCATCCAAACCTCAACTAGAATGGAAAAAGATTTGCCATCAATGCTAATTACCTCATAACCTAATCCCTTGACATTAGAGAAAAACAAAAGTGCACTTTCGCATGTATTCTAGTATTTTTATTTTACCTAGTTAGCTTCCACCTTGTTAGAAATCTGATTACTTTTGTTTTTCAAATGCATAAATATTTTTTAATCCCTAAACTAGTTACTCCTTATTTTATTGCACTAAAGGGATCAGTTGCATATCTGACCTCCTAGAAATGTCTCCATTCTTGTGAGATCTATTGTACATTCTTCTTATGTCCTCATCCATCTTCTAAGGATAATTCTTATGTGGAATTTGTGTCTATAATAGAATAATAAGCTCCAAACAACATTCAAAAGTGGTATATTTCTAATATTATTTCAACCATGAAATACAAATAGATAATAACAATCATAAAAAAATTACCATGGTAGGTTGCAAGGTGGTGAGAAATTAAAAAGAAAGGTAAACAATGAAAATAACAAAGAAACTAGAAGAAAATAAAGATTATGGCTCTAATGAGGACTCTAGAACAAGAACTTGAGAGTCAAACTATCTCTCTCCTTGATACTCGACAAACAATTTCTCCCTCATCTCATTTACAATGTTCTCATACTCTCCCCTATCTCCTCATGAAATTTAGTTAACAACTATTTCTTCCTTTGACTTTTAACTCGTGAAATTTATATTTTGATAATATTTTAAATACTTGATTCAAATATTACTTATATTTCACTTTATTCTACTATAGACCAGAATATTATTGAAAAACACATAAATTTGTGATGATAAAGTCAAAAACACTTAATTTATTATTAATTAGAATGAATTGGAGCATCAATAAATTCAAAAGGCATAATCAAGAATTCATAGTATTTACCATGTCCTGAATACCATTTTGGAACATCTTGGTTCTTCATCTAGATTTGATAGTTTATTGATTATAGATCCAATTTAGAGAATACTATTATTCTATAGAGTTCATCTAGAAGTTGACCACCATTAGAACTAAAAACCTATGTGGAACCATTGCTTAGTTGTGTTATTGAATCCACACAAAATTGTCAATTTTTATTCTTTCTTCTGACAAGAGAAACTATCTTAATTTTATGGTCAATTATTGGTATTGCTCTATTTTCAAGGAGACCACAGTGAATTTCAAGGAGACCACAGTGAATTTCAGAATTAGTTGCCATCAATTTACCTCATGGTCCTTACCATTCTTACTCATATTATGCAAATTGCATTGGCGCTACCTAGCTGAAGAAGTATTTAATATTCTTTCACTATCAATCCTTCTATTTCTATGATCACTCTTCTGCAAATATTTTTGTCACCATCACAAATCCATTTCTAGTCACCAATATGTAGCTAATTGTTGTCATTGGTGGTAATTAAATTTGACCTATTATTTTTTTTAGATAAAATTATGGATGACTCTACAAATCTATCAATTTTTTTATTTTTTGGGTATTCTTTAGGTTATCTTCATCAAAATTAGTTTTGTTAATTTTATCACTGAGTTAATTGATAATTCAATACTTTGTGTTAATGACACCCCTATCTTTAAGTCTTCTACATTTGATGCTCTTGATATCACCTCCTCTAAATTGGTAGGTGCTTCCCATTTGTCTTTTTGTACCAAGGTAATTTGTAGATGAAAAAAATACAACATTATTATTCTTCATATTTTGACTCCTCTAGGAAATTGAGCTGCCCCTTTACATTATCTTATGCAGACGTTGGAATTGTTCCAACTAATGAATGGTGCACATATTCCCAAATTTGTAGCCTTACTTGTTAGTAATCATGTATCTTTGTCCCATTCATTACCTCTATTTGCAGTGTGATTAGTATTCTTAATCCTTGCACCGGCCTTGAGAGTATTGCTCCCCTCATAGAGAATGTCTTGCATCACTTGGTTCCTTGGTCAATTTAAGAGTGTTATTTTTTTATTATATTAGTTATATTCATTATTAATCTTAACTCAATGAGTTTGTAAAATCTAATTTCTACTATAATGTCTTTTTTTCAGCCTTTTGATAAAACTACTATGAAATACTTGAATTATCTTTCTATGGACATTGATAATGTGAAATCCATCATTATGTTCATAATAAAATATAATTCTGATTGAAAAATCCATCTATTTAGATTTTTTCTATTGAATAATGTGAAATCAAATTGTTTTATTCCCCTCTAAAGTTCAATGTAGTAGCTCTAATTCATTCTCACTATGGATCTATAAGGCTCTTCTATTTTAGGTCTGGTCTTATATAGTTGTATTTTTTCTCCCATAACATTCTCTTGGACCCTAATACTTGATTCTCTATCTACCGAGAAATTATTTCTTTTCTCTCATTTTTTCCTTCGATTGAATTGACCATTGTATCTTCTCCATTGTCTATATGAATTGAGGTAGGTTGAGGTTCACAAACACTCCTAATGAACATCATCTAACACAGTGATCCAACCTATATGACTTGCGCATGTTTGGATGTGAGCTTTGCCACTCTACAGTTGTTGTGCTCAGGCCCCCATGTGTCTCTATGCACATCATGCATGCCAACCTATCCCCATTGGGTGCCTCTGCCCACACAATATATGATAGCAATGCTGCCACATGCCTCAATGAGCATACTACACATCTGTGTACTGAGGTTTACAATCACTCCCTATGAACCTCATTCTAACTTGGTTGTGTCACCTCCCTAAATTGTGCACTTTTTTCATGTGAATACTATGATTCTGCACATTAGCACAAATGCTGTCATTTGGCTCTACATAGGCCATGCATGTCCACTAGTACTGCCACACACCTCAATGCACACAATGCACACCCCTGCATGTCAAGGTTTGCCATTGCATTATGTGAACCTTGCTCTTACTTAGTGGTGTCACCTATTCAAGTCATGCATGTGATTCTCTTATCTTTGTGTGTGATGTGTCAATGTTGCCGTGTGCCTCCACGTATGTTTACTTGTGTTATCACATGTATCAATTGATGTGACACACGTCCATACTCATTGAGGTTCATATCTACTCATTGTGCACGTCACTATGACACAACCATCTCTCCCACATGAGTCATGCACATCTTTGTGTGAGGATTGTGGATCTTAGTGAACACACCCATATCACCACATGCCTCAATATATGCCATTGTATGCCTACCTTGATGAACCTAGCGACATTTTGATGATATTCAAATATCAATACTCCATGAAATAAGTAAATTGGTTTAGTGTTGATAGTTATGTTTGGAAAGTATATCTTAAAGTAGCTTTCCAAGGCAAATTATAAAGTGGTGCTACTAAATGCACAGCTTGTTTAGGAGATCTCTCACTCTGATTGAACTACTATTTCAACCATCAAATCCTTATTAGTATCATCTATAGATCATTATGATCATATCATCATCAAATACTGTTTTTGAACAGGATCAGAGAGCCCATATCTCATCCAGTTTTCTAGTGATAAATGAATCCTATGAGTACGCATTTGATCAAGCTGAATTATATGAGGCACTATATGTCTCCACACCAAGTAATTGAAACACATGAGACCTTTTATTTATAAGGAAATTTGCTTAATTTTTTGGCAGGAGCTATACTGAAAAGGTTGTTTTTTCTATCCAAATGGCCATTTACGCCTGGGAGCCGTAGAATTATTTCAGAAAAAGAGACGAATCATACGTTCTTTACTGAAAATAGACGTGCAAATTATTTGCCCAAGTTTAGGCAACTGAGTCTACTTGAAAAGGTCTAATGCTTACTGTATTTATCAGTAAAAGCTTATGTAACACGAGAGATGTTGGCTTGGGCTCCCACAAAGAGACAGAAAAGGAAAGGATCAAATGGGTAGTTGCGATCATTGACTTCCCCGCCCCGAGGCAGCGACCCGGACCGCGATCTCAGCCTCAGCTTCTTCTCCCCGTTAGATTGGTCAACGTCCATAACATGTGCTGCTTCGTCTTCCCCTCAGGCTAACCCGTCATTTGCTCCGAGCCTGACTGACAGCAGCGGAGGGGTCCAGCCCCAGAGTGAAGAACTCCCTCTCCATCCTGTGGCTGGTGAAGATCTGTCCTCGTCGAACTTCCTGGGCACGGTGGGCGGCTCTAGGGTTTGAGTGCTCTTCTTGACCTGCGTGATCTTGCACCAGCATTTCCTTCTTCTTCTTGGTCTCCTCCAGGGCTTTGTGTGCTCGAGCGCATCGTCTTCACCCTCAGCCTAGTCCTCGAGAACGAAGGCCCTACTCTCTCTCTCTCCTCCAACCTCTGCAAGATCTCCTTCATCGACATAGTCGCACACACTGCGAACAACTGAGATCTCCGGCAAGACGTCCTCCTTCCACTCTTAGGTAGCCAAGAGATAGGTGATCCGTACCCCCCTCCCCTTCTCAATAAGGATTCACAAGTTTACAAAGATGGGGCTGCGAACAGCCACCAGCAAACAGTAGGTGGAAAACAGACAAGTAGGAAGAGTGGGGGGGAGAGAGAGTCAGCGAGAGGGAGAAAGAGAGAACAAGAGCGGAGTAACTCTTCCGTTACAGGGGTGGCTAGTTCAAGACACGGTCTCCAAGACTCCGCAGAGACTCCAGATAGTTTCTTCCTCCCCTTCCTTCTTCGTCACCGAGCTTCTTATGCAGTATGGCTGGTAAGTATCTCGATGTCTGGTCCTTGACCGCTGCCCTCCTGACTCCTTTGCCTGCGTGGCAGGGGAGTCGTGGCGAGAGCCTCAACAATAGGGTAGCGCTTCCTCGGAGTAAACCCCGGCGCCGCCATTTCTGCTCTTCCAGGCCCCTCTCGAGCTCTTTTCTCCTTGTGCAGAGTTTCCGCACGTTTCTCTTCCCGAGCTTTCTCTTCTCCACGTCTATGCTCCTGCTACTGAGGCTCGGTCTACGCGTCTCCGTCAACGTGCGGTTTTTTTATATATTGGACAGAACTGCCCTTACCGGAACACGCAGCGATTCTCTCTCTCTCTCTCATCCATCTTCTTCCATCTTCCATCTCGGTAGGGCAAGGCGGGGGCTGTGGGCGACCATCCTCGTGATTTCCCGGAGCGGGAGGAGCCCTATCACGCCTCCGGTCTCCCTCTTCCCTCTTCCCTTAGGTAAGGCCAGGCGGGAGCAGTGGGCGGCCATCCTCGCGAGGTCCCGGAGCTGCAGGAGCCCTATCACGTCTCCCATATCCCTCTTCCTCTTCCCTCTTCCTCTTCCCTCTTCCTCTTCCCTCTTCCCTCTTCCCTCTTCCCTCTTCCCTCTTCCCTCTTCCCTCTTCCCTCACGGTTGGGCAAGGCGGGAGCAGTGGGCGGCAGTCCTCGCGACGTCCTGCAGCTGCAGGAGCCCGATCCATGCGCTTGGCCGGTCAGATTTCTTTCCCTTATTCCTCCGCAGAGTGAAGGGTAGTCGGGGGTGCGTAATCGGACCAGTTTTTGTGTTCTGAGGGTTAATTAGGGTAGATCTGGTGACGGACGTCTCCATTTTTGGCTTTGTTCTTGGGAACCAGTTCTCGCATAACCTAGGAACCAGCTTTTTAACATTGGACGTGTACAAATTTCTGCTGTACTTCGTTTTCTTGGACAATACGCGTCGTTTGAAGATTATAGTCAACTATTTGAGGCCGCAACTTTACCGGCGAACAACGTTCGAGACGCAGAGTGCGAGACCTGGAGAATCATCCGCTTCGTCGCCTTCATCGTCGTCTTGTTTTCTCCACGTGAAAATCAGACCTTTTCTCTCGTTGTAAAGGGGAACAAAAGAAGGCAATTTGAGCAAAACGAAGACAAACCAGTTCGGCATCGTGAGAAAGACGGGATGGATGAGGCAAAAAATTGTGGTTCCAATGGACGTGAAGGGGGGGGGGGAGCTTACAGTCAATCATCTATTTGCATTTGACATGGTGAAACCGATGATTTCATGTTATGCTGAGTTCCTTGAAGAAAATCGATCTAGCCAAGAGAGAGAACTTCAACACTTCTAATGGGATAAGCTTTATATTAACCAATGAACATGTAATGCTCGAGGAACATTTCTTTTTTAATAGTTGGCCTCTTAGACTGGTCTTATTATAGAGTATACCCTGGATTTAACATCTTAAAATCTCAGGAAGAAATGCTGCGTGTTTTTCTCTTCGTCTTCTGTTTGCTATTGAATTTTGTTTCGGTTTGTCCGCTGTATGCCTTTAAACTGATCTGGTTACTTGTTTTGTTTCAGTTTGAATCAACTTGGGAGTCTAATGGCTATGATCGACGAGCCGCTGTATCCTATAGCTATTTTGATAGATGAACTGAAAAATGAAGATATTCAGTTGCGGTTGAACTCCATTCGGAGACTTTCTACGATTGCAAGAGCTCTGGGCGAGGAAAGAACTAGGAAAGAGTTGATCCCTTTTCTTAGTGAAAACAATGATGATGATGATGAGGTGCTTCTTGTGATGGCTGAAGAGTTAGGGGTATTTATTCCCTACATTGGTGGTGTTGAATATGCTCATGTTCTGCTTCCCCCATTGGAGACACTTTGCACTGTGGAGGAAACTTGTGTTAGAGAGAAGGCTGTGGAATCATTGTGCAGAATTGGAACCCAAATGAAGGAAAGCGATTTAGTGGATTGGTTTGTTCCACTCGTCAAGGTAAGATAATGGAAAACATTGCGTTCATGTGCCTGTGATTATATTTTTGCCCCACGCAATCTGAGGGATTGCTGTTTTTTAGGTTCATGAGTCATTTTCTCGTTGGGATTTGAAATTTTTTCGTGTTTAATTAGCTCGTAACACAAAGGATCTTGAATTTTACGTTGAAACCCTGAAAATTTTCTAATCTTTTGTTTATGTGATACTGAAAGTATTCATCCCATGTTTGAGGATTTATTCTGTAACACTAATTATATTTGTTCTGCAAGTGGGATTTATTTTCTTGGTTTCATATCTTCATTGCCCTTCTCTTTATTTCTAAATGTATGACCTTAGGTCTGGTACATCTGCATTTCAGGGTTTTTTTCCTTACTGTATGCTCCTTGTGTAGAGACTTGCGGCTGGCGAGTGGTTTACTGCTCGAGTTTCTTCGTGTGGACTGTTTCATATCGTTTATTCAAGTGCTCCTGATCTTGTGAAGACTGAATTGAGGTCCATATATGGGCAACTATGCCAAGATGATATGCCAATGGTTAGAAGATCTGCTGCTTCCAATTTAGGAAAGTTCGCATCCACTGTTGAGCAAGGTCATCTAAAGGCAGATATCATTCCCATGTTTGAGGATTTGACCAAAGATGGTATGTATTAGTTTGTTGTTTGGCTTTGATGTACTTCCATTTCAACCAGTTTACATTAGTGTCTGTTTTTGGAAACTATCTTCTGTTTAACGTTTGGAATGAAAATGGGTTTTTTCTTACAACATATTCCCAATTTTGTTCCTATTGCGAAGATCTCTGCATTATGTCTTTCTTTTATTTCACATTTTATTCCAAATACTTTGAATTTATTTTTAAGGCAACTGATTTCCATCTGCCATGGACTTTCATTTTTTTTGTTCTAGATCAAGATTCTGTGCGGTTGCTGGCTGTTGAAGGATGTGCAGCACTTGGAAAGTTGTTGGAATCCCAGGACTGTATCACGCACATTCTTCCTGTTATCATTAGTTTCTCACAGGTATGCATTAGGCTTCTAGCTTTTAATACTGATGTTTGAGGAAAGTTTTTCCTCTCATTGCATGCGTTCATCTTCTAGTTTCAATAAGAAAAAAATATGGAATCATGTTCTCTTCACAAGATTCTGTCTCTAATCTGATCGAGGATATCATGTCTACCCTGAAACTCAAAATCATGGTTTATGACTGTCATCACGTACTCTAGGTTCAATTGTAATTACATTTTTTTTTCTTATTGTATAGGACAAATCGTGGCGGGTGCGCTACATGGTCGCTAATCAGTTATATGAGCTTTGTGAAGCTGTTGGTCCTGAGTCCACTAGGTATCACACAATTTTTTTTTTCATTATCTGATATTATTATGATTAAATATCTGATTCCAAGTTCCCATTTCTGTTAACTTTTGTTCACATTTTTGTCACAAATACAAACTAAACGATGCATGTGATACTCTACTAATCCTTTAAAGTACAAGACAACGGGACTATATATTTAAACGTCGATGTTAATTTTTGGATAATTTAATTAGTTTCAGATATTTATTTCTGTGTTATTTACATTTAATACAGTAAACCAATAATAAGATTTTTTTGACAGATGTCTTCTTACATATTTCTTGATTTCTTTTATCTTTCTTTGAGTTTATTGGTCTATTCATATTATAATAGTAAAGTAGACTAATCCGATTTTTTATAAATAAACATAATGATACATCTTAGATGGCAGGGTACTTTATGAATCATCTTACTTAAGTTTGATTTGACTTTTACATGTCCTACTCTAAGCTACATATTTGAGTAAAAATGTCGAGCATAAAGATCAAATCCGTACATTTATTTTGTTTTAGTTGAAAAACAGGGGAATAAGGCCATAAAGTGGAGATCAAACAGGCATGTTTTTTGTCTCCCTGATACTCCTTGGAAAAAGGAGGGAGAGACATTCATACCTGTGCGAAATATTATATTACCTACGGTCGCATTGAATGTTTGTGCACAAATACATCTGATTCATCAATGTGACCTATTGATTGGCCACTTGTAGTATGCAGAATATTTTTGGTTCAACAATGTATTATATATCTTCATCCAAATGGCCATATTAAGGGTAAATTTCTTGTCAATGATTAATTAGTGCTTTTGTTTTCAAGGACGGATTTGATGCCTGCATATGTTCGGCTTCTTCGTGATAATGAGGCAGAAGTGAGGATAGCAGCTGCTGGAAAAGTGACAAAGTTCTGTCGTATCTTGGAACCTCAGCTTGCTATTCAACACATTCTTCCGTGTGTGAAGGTACAGATACTGTCTACTGCGAAATATATCTTGTTTTGAAAATGCAAGGCCAGTGACATATTTCTAGATGAGTGACTACCCTTTTTGCGTGCCATTTTGTTTATTACCCATCTTACAGCATGCAAATGATGAAGTGTAGGGGCAGTCTCCTCATGCTTCATCCCGCTTTTAATGTATGCGTGTTTCTTCATGAGTTTTCTTACCATAGGTTATTTTTTGGTAATTATTTGAAAGAAACGTATGAACTACTTATGGAATCTGTAATTGCATTTCGTTGGTTAATCATTGCTTTAAGTCATCAAGCTGCGGTTTCAAGTTACTTCCCTATCATCATATGCTATATTTATTCAGAGGTTGTTCATTCTGTATGACGAATCAAGATAATTCTATTCAAAAGGAAGGAAATAAAATGTGCTGTTATTTTATGAAGGCACAAATTCATGTGCTGGATCTCGCATGTGATTTTCTCCCTGTACGTTGATGTTTTTTTCATGTGCATTGTAAATTTCATGAAGCATATCTTATAAACCTGATGCTGACTAGGATTTCTGACTGTTATTCCTTCACACCTGGCCCCTGTGTGGCTTAGTTTTGTACTGTGAAACTGTGAAGCTGCTTCGTATCCTTTTTAGTGTCCAATATGGTCTATCTGCTTACACTCATGATTTGTATTTCATGTTTTTTTTTAATTTTTTGAATGTTCCCTTTTGATCTCTTTTGTATGGAACTTTTTGGCTGCAGGAATTGTCATCAGACTCTTCGCAGCATGTTCGTTCAGCCTTGGCATCAGTTATCATGGGAATGGCACCAGTTCTTGGAAAGGTATATGTATATGCTTACTTTGTGAAATGAAATTGCTTTAAAAACAAAGAAGAAAAACAGTTGAAACTTTTGCTTTGTAGTTTCTAAGGTGTTCCATGATTTACATCTGAAGTGAATGTAATACTCTTTTGTCTTTTTTTCGTTGGTCATGCATCCTAATTTGATTTTTTCCCTTAATTTTAATTTTTCTGGTTTTTCTTTATCATGTTCCATTTTTGTGAACTTCGGTGAAGGTTCTGTTGTTAGGATTATAGAATAAATGATGCTTTTAAGAGAATAAACTAATGCAATTTCTCTTGGTGTCCTTTATGTTTTATCTGGGGAATATAATCTATCTGGTTTTTTTTTGTCGTTTTCTTACTGAACCTTCTGATATGGTTGTCTGCTTTCTTGGTGTCTGCTTAAGGAAAGCAACAATCATTACTGTATCCTTAAAAGCGAAGCACTCTGGCATAACATCCATTTTATCTGGCGGTTTTTGCTGAATATAGGACATATTTTGTTGCTTTGACACAACTTAATGCAGAAAATAGTGCTTTCTCAGGCGGGAACTCATCTTCTGACTAATCTGCTTCTGTGCACATTTCCTTAGATTAAATGAACGAACATTCAATAAGTGAGATTCAACATCAAGGACAAACACAACTCACTTTTTCCTCATGTGGACCAGGTTATTATAATCTTATGAAGGTCAGCTATAAAGGGAAACCTTTTATTAGGCCAAAAAATCGCATATAAGTTAAGTGATGCTGGGCAGCCTTGATTACCACCATAGGCTTCTCGTAGTCACTCACCTAAAACTAATCTGATATGATATGTAGGGCATAAGGATTTATTTAGGGCATAAGGATTTCGGACCCAGTGCATAAACTTAATGCGACCAACTGTCCTCGGAATGATATGGAAACACATTTCACAGTGTTGTACGGTAATCTGGAAAGTGGGAAAACTAAAATCTGATTGTGGTGACTGGCTGCTACTTGCATCAACTTCCATAGAATTCTGTTAATATATTCCCTTTGGTTACCTGATCTCAGTCTATACTTGGAATTGGAAGTATCAAGTCAATCCCGCTAGAATGATTCAGACTGGGTTATGTCAACTTATATATAAAAAGAGCACAATGCTGTATACCAATTTGTGGATATATTTTCTAGTTGGGTGCTGGAAATCACTACTGGTACACAGCGGAGTCAAAAATGTCTAAATCCATTCTTGAAATGTTTTAGCTGAGTCATGTGTCTTCTGGCCATTGATACCGAAAGAGATGAGTGTGCTTCCTCTTTGTTGGTTCTATATCTTTTCATTTTCTTCAATCTCTTCTAAATACTGCTACTGCTTTCTCGTGGATTCCTCTTTGTTGATTTTTCTTGTGGATATGATTCTTATCTCAAGTATCTCTTCATCTGTAAGGCATACGGTTACAAGTCACCAGAATTGATATTCTTATTGTTTTGATTTTTTATTATCTTACAAAGTTGTTTTGTCTTCATGTGTTTACAAATTACCAAAGATTCTGTTTGTACGAAATTGGTCTCGGTCAAACTGTTCTGTCGTGTGATCATGTTTAACACATTTACCTGTCGCAGAAACTTTATTTACTAGCGAAATTAATGGTTTGCATATTATAGGATGCCACAATCGAGCAGCTTCTGCCAATCTTTCTCTCCCTTTTGAAAGATGAATTTCCTGATGTTCGATTGAATATAATTAGCAAGCTCGACCAAGTGAATCAGGTTTGAGTTTTTTTTTCTTTTGGTTTTTGCTGTTAAACAGTTTATTGCCCTTGCCCGTGCACATAATGTTTTTACTTTTCTTGATTGTTTATTTGGAGTCTTTTTCTTGATGCATTTTATCCTTGCTTTCGTTAACTGTGGCCACATCGTAAGATGAATTGATTTAATAAAGTACATTTCTCTTGGTGATGTTTTTTTTTAATCAAGTATCAAATTCTGCAGGGAAGTGAAGTGGATGTTGTGGTATCTTATATGTATTTTGTAGATCATGTAGGTGGCATTCAGATATATCTCATTGGATCTGCACTTTTGTTATGAAATGATGCCTTTAAATATATTAAAGGTGGAAGTAGTGCTATCTGGTAGTCGCTTGGATAGTTGTAGTTGCAGATAGTTCTGTGGGGACTTGTAAAGAACAGAAGACATTTGACGCCATCGATTGCCATTCTCTCACGGGTTTTTAATATCAAGTACCATCTATAAACTACTGAGAGTAATGTATTATATTTATTTTTTCTTAAGATTCTTCCCAGGAACGAGCAAGAAAACGTACAAACATACGCGGTGGATGCTAGCTTGCTTTGTGTTTTTCATAAATTTTAACGTTTTTACAGTCAAAATTATGGGAAAGCAAATCGGCAATGCTACCTTTGCTTCGTTCATTTATCCAGTAGATCCCGGAGGCAATCCTATACTCTTAAACAAAGGGGACAGAAGCATTGTTCCATGAATAAAAATGGAAAAAATGTATAGTTCAAGATAAATGTAGACGTTTTACCTGAATTTGTTGCAGACATTACTATTTCTACGATTACAGCCTGCATTGACGTTTGGATCAGTTGCACTGCAATGTGTGGACATCTGGTGCTTTGGGGAGTCAAATATTGGGATTAGCTTGCAATTCTGGGCGGATCGTTGACACCATTTCTTCTAATGAAATAGATTATTTATTTCACACGAACCCCTTGGATTACAATGCGCTTATAATGAGAGGTTTCCTAGTAAGAGCACTTTGGTTTGTGGCAATGATGGCGTCTTGATCTTCCTTTGAAGTGGAGGAAGACTAAAAAATTGACTTGTCCCAAGGTTGGCAGCAGGCTTAAGTTCTGTGCTAAGGGGAAGAGCCAGAGAAGGAGAAGGGCAGGAGGTTTCCACCTATATTCATCAATAGAAAAAGAAGAAGAAGGAGAAGAAGAAGAAGAGGGGAGGCAGGTGTGATTGTGCAAAGCATAAATGGATAATTCAAAACATTGTCTGCCTTGACATGCGGCTTTCTTTGCTGCCATCTGCTCGATATTTATATCTTCTTCCACCCCAACCTGGCAAGAAGGGCCATGTATTTGTTTGGGGAGAGGAAAGAATCAGGAGAGGTTTTTGAAGGGGGAGCTTTACTCTGGAGATCCATCCATTTTTGTGACAAGTTTTTATAACATGCCCAAAGTGTCTGATTTTCTTGTTTTCCAGTCTGTTGCCAGTGCAGATGAGGACTAAAGATGTGGACCGTGTCTATCTGGGACATTTCCTGTTCCTAATAGATAAATTAATTAGTTAGGCTTACCAAGTATAAGCCTATATTTCTGGCCCGAATTATATTTTACTCTCGAACAGTTTGAAGCAATTAATTTCTGATATCTTTTGTAGGTGATCGGTGTTGACCTATTGTCCCAGTCATTGTTGCCGGCCATTGTGGAGCTTGCAGAGGATAGACATTGGCGTGTTCGTCTTGCTATAATTGAGTACATCCCACTTTTAGCAAGCCAGCTGGGCGTAGGCTTTTTTAATGACGAGCTTGGGACACTATGTATGCACTGGTTGGAAGATAAGGTACGTGACGATCTCTTTGTTTGCAACATCAAATGTCAATATGTATGCTTCTTTAAAACCATTATTATGTCATCCTTTGGATGCACGAGTTTCATCATACCATTATTACGTCTCTGAAGACATGTGTGTTACTTACTGTGAAAAGCAGTTGTTAATCAAGTGCTTGTTTCATTTAGATTAATGAGAAAACTTTTTTCGCTTGTTAATGTCAGCAGTTGAAGTGAGATTCTCCTCTCTTTCTATCCCTCTCTATCTATCTATTTTGCTCTCTGTCTATCTCCCTTTCTCTCTTTCTCTCTTTCTCTCTCCTCTCTATCTCTCTCTTTATCTTTCTTTCTCTCTCTCTCTCTCTCTCTATCTAGTTATCTATCTTTTTTTTTCTATCTTAAAAGAGGGAGAAGCTTATACACTTGCCTACCATGGGCGGACTAATCTTCCATATTCGTTTTATTGAAATACTTTCATCTCTAATTCCTTTATCTTTTGCTCTTTTGGGAAAATTCTTATTTGCGCACTTTTTATCCCACATAAACCGGAGGCTTCTTTTCAACTCCTGTGTTGATAGATTCCAAGCTTTTTGAGAATCATCTCTAGTACCAATTAGCTGTTCTTGGAAAACTACAGGTTTACTCGATTCGCGATGCAGCTGCTAATAACTTGAAGCGTCTCGCCGAGGAATTTGGCCCAGACTGGGCTCTGCAACATATTATTCCTCAGGTGATCTTCTTACTTGTTACTTCTGCAACATATTATTTCGATTGCAGCAGAGATAACAGGTTCCCTTGTGGGCTATCAAATCTTTTTTAACTGGTTTAGATCCGAGTTGCAAGGTTTTTTTTTTTTAAATTCCTGGGACAAGCTAAGCCTCCTCCAACTTACTCTAAATAGCCCAATTCCATTGGATGCCACATGGCAATTTCCTCAGGCTGTTCATTATTGATCAAGGAACACCGAATCCATGAACTTTTTAGGAGTAAAACCCACAAGTGGTATGCTGTGCTGCAGGTGTTGCTATATTTAGATCCAATCCAGGTCCTTGGGATTAGTTTCTAGCCTTCTGAGTAGTTTTGCTGCGAGGGCTGCCTATGATATTTATTTTACCTGGTACTGAATTGTGGCGCTCCGTCTCCCTTTGCATCTCTCTCATTCATGTTGCTTTTTTTTTTTTTTTTGTGACTTGGGGGTTGACTTCCCTTTGGCCTCTCCCCTGTTTTCGGCTTCTGCATTGAGAAAAAGTCTTCTTCTCATCACAGCTCAGATGTAGACGAGATGAGAGTGTACGGTCAAAAGTATGAATGAAGTGGGCACCTAAATATTTATCTAATTCCAGTAAAAAAAATACCTGGGGACATGAAATAGGACTTAAAATGAGGGCATTCACTTGATTTTTCTGATCGAAAATGAGCATGGAACAAGGCATTTACTTGATGGGGGAAGCAAAAAGAGCATCATTACTCAGGAAGAGAGAGAGAGAGAGAGGGCATATCCGGCCAGCCTCCTCTAATCCCAACCTAGGAATCAGCCTCCCATTAAGGCATATACCGTTGTGATATTTTGCATACTTGATGAGCTAGTAGTTTGCTTACTTTAGAGCCTGCTGAGTTATTTTGATCGGGGAATGATTTTTTTATTTTTTTTATTTTTATGTTTCTTGGCGGATCTTCTGATAATAAGTTGTGCAGATTATGGAGAAGATAAACAACCCGCACTACCTCTATCGGATGACCATTTTGCACGCCATCTCCTTGCTTGCTCCCGTCATGGGCTCGGAAATCACATGCCAAAAGCTGTTGCCAGTGATCATCACCGCTTCCAAGGATAGGTTAACTCAGCAGAAAAAAAATCACACTTCTTCTTCTTCTTCTTCTTCTTTATCGTCGTCGTCTTCTTGATTCTTTCTGTTTCTGCGGAATGAGGGTCGCTCTCTCTTTCTTGCAGGGTACCTAACATTAAGTTTAACGTGGCAAAGGTCTTGCAATCTCTTATTCCCATTCTTCAACAACCTGTAAGTAAATTTCTCTCTCTCTCTCCCCCCCTCTGACTCTCTCCCTCTCCCTCCCTCTCTCTCCCTCTCTGTCTCATTATATCTTTATATATATATATATACATACATACAAAATGCGTTGTCAGTCTCGTATTTTTCTAATTTCGTGGTTCAAATGGATGTTGGAAGGTTGTGGAGCAGACTGTGAGACCAGCCCTGGTGGAACTGAGCGAGGACCCCGATGTGGACGTGAGGTACTTCGCCAGCCAGGCTCTCCACGCCTGTGACAGCGTCATGATGTCAACCTAGAAAATTATGGTCTCTCTCTCGCTACCCCCTCTGGGTTGGATTTTTGTCGGCTTCCTCTCTCTTCTCTCTTTTTTATGGGGTGGTCTGCAACTCACTGGGTCTGTTCCGAGTTAATTACCGAGTTAAGCTCATTGGGTCTGTCCCTTCTTAATGGAATGAATGAATGGAGGCTTTCTATCGGAATATAATTTCCAAAAAAATTAGAGAAAAATTATCGTGGGGGTTGTGATTATTATGTCTAGGGGAACTGGTTCATTAGAGCGGATGGGCTTGAATCTTTTTATAAGACTCTTGAGATACAGAATGTGAGGGTATAACTTTGAAGCTCCCTCTAGGGGCTTTTTTGAAAATGCTCCCTATACTTTCCAAGATTAAGAGGGATCATAATACAAATCAGGTGTGGGCCATTGGTAGTTACTAAGTAAGAGCAATAAGCAACCCTCTTACTCTTATAAAAGTGGGTTTATAATTGTAGGTAAAGGGGAGGAAAAAAGGGTAAAAGCAGAAGTGTATTTGCCATTATCCATTATTCTCTCCCTCTCTCTCTCTCTCTCTTTCTCTCTCTCTCTCTCTCTCTTGTCTCTCCTCTACTTTCCACTCCACTATTCTCTCTCTATTTACCATAGTGACAAGAGTTCTTACAGCAGGTCCAACTTTGGTGTGATGTTCTAACTCTTTTGCAGTCTAGTTCTTTTCTTTGATCATCATCCCTGATCAAATTGATGTCATTGCATAGTCTCTTAATGCAAGCAATGTGAAAATGAAACTATTCAAGGCTCAGAATTATTCTTGTCAAGAAAAATCATGACAAGACTTTGGTGAACAAACGACACCTCAGAATTATTTTTAAGATGTTGGAGGCTCTTTGATGTCACAAATGGGCCTCCAAGAAGACTGAAATCTTAGTGAATTAGTTGAGATTGGCCCACTCACAATCAAGTCGAAAAATCAAACACATTCTAACAAGCAACATCATCTCGAAATAATCACCAGTCTACCTCAAACCTTCCTTACGATGTCTATTTTTAATAGAAGGATGTGTTTTCACAACAAAATTATTATTCTCAATGTCGTAGTTCATAGAGGATGATAAGCTCATGACAGAAGATTGAGTGTGGAAAGAAAAGCTAGTGTGGTTTAAATAGGTAAGTAAACACATGAAAAATATTCCACAATTGGGTGCAATAAAGGCACCAATTATTTGAGCTCTTCACTTTCAATCAAATTGGATTACTTAGTTAGACATTCCAAGAAATTAGGTAGAACGGATTGGTTGTAGAATATTAAGAGGAATTGAATTAATAGTTGTAGTAATGGGAGATCTTCTCAAAGATATCATCAAGAATATATTTTTCAAATGATTATAAGAAGTGATTCTAATTGAGGTACTACTCTTTGAGCTAGTCAGGTTTAAGGCAATAATGAAGGCTGCTAATAAAGTATAAATGAAAAATAATACTTTAAAACATCTTGATAGTAATAATAATACCAATATTAAAAAGTCTCAAAACTTTTATACCTCATACATAGGAGGAAGGGACCAAAAATATTTCATCCATGGCTAGGGGATGATAGCAACAAGACTCCATGGGCTAATGGCTCATTTAACATTGCAAGAAAGCTCATTGCAAGACAGAACAAGAGGATCAACTTCATGTTGGCCAAGATTCAAACACAACAAGTGCATGGCCTATTTTTTTTCTATAATGAAAAATTTCCCCCTGGGCATAGACATCCCAAAGAATTACAAGTATTAGTTGTTCAAGAAGACTGACTCCTGAAGCATTAGCTAAAGTAATGGAGTGAGATTTTGTCATCAAACTTTATCTACTAGACCATTCAATCAACAGTAACCTATTTGCTTTAAAGGCTTAGTTTGAGATAATTTTCTAAAAAATTTTAAGGGCATTATTAACCTTATATCAAAATGTGAAGTAGATTATCCAAGTCCATTAGAGGACTGTAGTTGGTCCATAAACATCAAATTTTGATGTTTTTACTTTCAAAAAATTTTAAAATTGAGAAACATGTGAGACAAAGGTATGAGGTTAAAGCTATTTGTTATTTAATTGTCCCTATTCAACTCCAATTGTGCATGTAAGAAAAGAAGACATTGGATGGAAATTTTGTGTGGATTACCTCACTCCCAACTAAGACATGATGTTAGATAGGTTTCTTATTCTAGTTTTTGAGAACTAAATGATGAATTATACAAAGTAGTTTATCTTTCAAGCTAGATTGCTGCTTAAAGATATCATCAGATTTGCTTATGAAAGATGATGTTTAAAATTTATATTTTATATGAATGAAGGATATTATGAGTTTCTTGTAATGTCCTTAGGTCTTTCAAAGACACCAATTCTATTTCAAACTCTTATGAACCAAAATTTTCAGCAAAGTTCCATACACATTTATTATCCTTTTTGATATTTTTTTAATTTTTAGTGTATATTTAAGTACATTTGAGTACCTTTTAATTTCATTATTTTCATTATTTTCAATCCAATCGATTAGATGTTAACACAAAAAATGGGTCATCAAAGATCACATATTTGAGTCAAAGATTTCACTAATAGGATGATTGCTGATACCAACAAAGTAGAGGTATTACTTTATTGGCCTCCTTCAACCAACTTGAAGAATTCCATGACTTTCTCAAGTTGACTTATTACTTTAGATATTTGATAATACCTATTCTTATATGATAATCAAGTAAAAGTGATAATTAATACCATATTAATTAGTGTCAAATTTAATCAGATTATAGAAAAGATTAAATAGATTTTAGAACATATTCCATCCAAGTTATTTCATTTGAATATCATTCTTGAGAAATGTTTATTTTGTGATTTAATTTATATTAACCAGAATATTCAAGGTTAATACCTTGAGAAGTTTTAAGTGACAAGAGAAGTGTAGAGAATACTAGAAAAAGGAAAATTAGAATTTGAACAGATTTATTGAGATTTTTAGAGGAATCTCAGGCTTGATAGTGGACTGAATATATCAGACCCAATCTCAGCCCATCATGGAGAAATAGGGTCAATGGGAGCTAGGGCATGTAGTCCACCAGTTGATAGGCAGAGGGTGTGAGGTTGGTGGCAACAGCAACAATGACTTGTTGCAATGGCGATGGTGGAAATGTCATTGGTGTGAGCATGGTGGCGTGGCATTGATATGAGGACAGTGGTGATGGGGATGACATGCTCTCTTCTTGAGTGACAAATGGAGGTGAGCACAGTAGTGGCTATGGTCAACAAGGTGTGTCCCCTGTAGCTTACAGTAAACAACATGTTCCCATGAGTTGAGGATGGCAATGTGAATCAAACCCTCATCTCTAGTGGCTTAGCTCTCTCCACGTGACAGGTGGAGACAAGGTAGGAGCATAATAAGGGAACCTGTAAATAATTGTTTGAATCTTATTTCAGTTCTTATTTTACTCATGTTGGTGACATGCACATGACAACTTTGAATCTTATTTCAGCTCTAGGTTTAGTTGGTAAATATCTTTTTGAATTCCATTTATGGTACTTCTTTTCATCCTTGGGTGATACACGAACAAATCTAATTCCAATATAGTATTTTAGTTCATTTTCCTGCAACCAAAATAGTGTCAACTATTTTAATTTCCATTTCAAATGCTGATGTACATAGAAACCTTGTTAATCCATTTTCTCCTCTTTTTCCTTCTCCTTCTTTAAACATTTTGTTAGTGTTGTCTTCTTTTTAATGAAAATGTAATAGCAACAATTGAGAATTAGATACAATTATTTTCCATAGTCTTTCTTAAAATCAATCATTTTGCTCAAAAAGTATTTCATAATAGAATTTGGTAATAAGAATTTTACTATTTTCCTAGAGGATCAACTTGAACACACCAACATTTCAAAGCTAATTTATAGATTTTTAAGGGCAATATAATTATTGAATTTGACGTGTTTTATTTTAACCTAAAAATGTGAACAAGGTTTCATCAAAAACTTTGAGTTTATTGCATGGCTGCTAACCCAACTCTTCAAATGCTTATCTTCAAATAGAATCCAGAAGTAGAAACCTTCTACTTGCTAAAAAATTCTCTCATCACATGTCAATATTAGCTCTTATAGAATTTTTCTAATCTTTCAAACTCAAAGTTAGTGCTTTCAACAAAGGAGTAAGGGGCGGTGCAAATGTAAAGTAAAAAAATCATCACTTTCTTCTATTAAGTTTATGCTCCTAATGTCAAAAACAAGATTGACTATGAAAAAGAGCTGATAAAAATTGTCCTCACCACATTAAAATGATAGTATTTGCTAGAAAATAAATTTATAATAATTTTTAAAATCAATGTCCCCTTAACTTTAGGGTAGACCAATAGAAGATTCATTGACACTACCAAAAATGGCTCTGTAAAATTATTAGCTTCAAATTTGAGATCAATCACAAAGTGAGAGTTGAGAATAGGGCAGCTGATGCATTATCTTGATGATCAGATTTTCTCACTCTATAAACCATAGAATTATCATGACCTTGTTTAGTCAATTCTAAGTTGATTATGCAAGAGAATCATTTGGACCCTCTTTCAATTAATAAGCTTTAATCATTCATAATTTGGTATCCAACAAAAAATTTTAAGTTATAGCCTCAAGACTTGCCTAAGATGTTTCACTTGTGGTTTTATAATTGGACAAAATACTTGTTCAATATTAATTTTAGTTCATTAACCAAAACCACACCCTTTGAAAATCATCTACAAATAAGATACCCTAGCTCTCCTCTAACATAAACATAATTTGGCATGAGTAGGTAAAGTTGATTATTGATGTGACTTACTCGTTGTATAATAAATCACACAAATTTAAAATTTATAAAATTAAAAAATATGAATTTTTAGATATTTAGAAGTATTTCTGAACAAATATGTCAATTATAATTCAACAAAAACTTTCAAAAATAGTAATAATTTTTTCAATTGATCATAGGGATGTAATAAAATTTCAGGTAATTATTTAAAACTTTCTTCAGAGAATACTATTTTTTATAAATTTTATACTAAGAAATAAAAATAAAATATATTTAAAATTTACAAAAAAGGAAAATAAGGGTCCAGACGTTAAGATGATGTCAACACTTGGAGAATGTAAATCAGACAGAAATAGAGTTCTACTTGATAATTCTTATTTAAGTGATTATAGATAATTTAATTGATCAAATTAAAATTTATAAAAGTAAAAAAAATTGTAATTGAACAAAATATAGCTTGGTAAATTTAAATTTAAATTACTTGAAAGTAAAAAAATAGAGTTTTAGCGTCACAATGGTGATGTGTTGATGATATACCAAAATCCTAAGCGTTTGAGAGGATCGTCATGTATTGTCTACAGCCTTGAAGGCTCTCTTTGGACAAGGACAATGTGAGCAATCTCTAGATCTCCTTGCAAAGTCTAAAATCAATGAAATGGGTTGTCGAATCATCTCCAACGGCTGTTATCTGGTGGAGTGGAAAAATAGTGACTTTGTAGCTCTCCAACAGTTGTCACCCGACAGAGAAGAACTAGATGAAGGTGGGATGTGTGTTAGTGAATTTAATCCTCAAGTTTGCACAATAAGAGGAGGCTCTTCATTGCATCTGGTATACTCTCAAGAGGTAATGACTTGTCTCTCGGTAGATTGTCTTCTTCTTAATGATAACTTATTCATCGATCAATTAGAGATAATTTACTCAATGAATTTGCAATCCTATTATTACAAATCATTCAACAGTTTTAGTAACAATGTTTTGCGAATTACGTTGATAAGATTTTTACCGATGATCTTGATTTTGGAGACTTAATCCTTCATCAACAATGAAGAAAGTTGTGATAATCAGATAAAAATATGAGTTTTGACTCTAAGAGAATTAGAACCTTTGCTAGTTGTCCTCCTACATAAGAGATTGAAATAAGTACTCTGATGACTTTATCAAACGATGTCGTCATGTTATATCTCTATTATAAATAAAAGGTTTAGTCCCACATTATTTGTGTGTTGAAATTTTGAGTAAATATATAATAATATTATATTTACAAGTAAGTCTCTTTCTCCCTTGTGTATAATTACTCCTTGCCCCACAGTCAATTAGCCACCGGTGACATAGAAGGGGAGTGGCACACACATGTCCTCATCGGTCCTAACCACTCAAGCCCCTGCTCACAACTCCTCCCTGACTACGCTTCCGACCCACTTGTGAGCCCAATTGGCTGGTGGGTTTCCCTCATTTTGCTATATTTTTATTTTAATTTTATTTTCTTTATTTATCTAAAAAATAAGACTATAAAAATTATATAAATTCATAAAAAATCACATAATTAGCCAAAAATTCAGGTTAATCCATTGAAAACCACTTTCCATACTTTAACACAAATATAAGTCTATTTATCATGATTTAAGGCTAAAACTATATTATTTACTAATTATTAACTCATGATAATGAAGACATCAATTATCAATTTAGATTGAGATTTCACCTTAAAGTAATTCTAATGTCACTTAGCTCAAGCACATGCCTAGATGAAGAGCTACATGGATAAGAAATGGAAGAGTATTAAATTTGGCATCAACAATATTGTCTTCTTGCATTTATGGCCTAACATCTAGTAATCTTTCAACTATCTATTGTAGTAAAAGTTGTGCCATACTTTTGTGGCCCATACAAAATTTTAGAATATATTAGCTTGGTCAGATATTAAATTTAGTCACAACTAGCATCTAGCTATGTTTCATGTATAATAAGTCAAAGGCTGATTGAGATTGTCTCTCTAGAGAAGTCTAGTTTATTGATTCTAGATGAAAATATCTATTGATAGCCAACTTAGAGTATGCTTGCTTCTAGGCATTGCCTTCAACATTTAAAAGTCTTTACTAAATGACAAAATCTCTCAAAATCCAATGTGACGTGACTTAGTTGATGTATAGTAAATCACGTAAATTTAAAATTTATAAAACTAAAAAATACAAAATTTCAAATATTTAGAAGTATTTCTAAACAAATATATTAATTATAATTCAATAAAACTTTCAAAAATAGTGGTAATTTTTCAAGTCAATTATAGGGATGTAATATAATATTGGGTAATTTATTCAAAATTTTCCTCAAAGAATATTATTTTCTATAAATTTTATATTAGGAAATAAAAATTAAATATATTTAAAATTTATGAAAAATAGAAATAAGGGGGTGTATGTTAGGATGACGTTAGCACCTGGTGAATGTGAATTAGGCAAAAATAAAGTTTCACCTGATGATTTTTACGTAAGTGATTATTGACAATTTAATTGATTAAATTAAGATCTATAAAAGTTGAAAGAATCGTAATGGAACGAAGTATATCTTGGTAAATTTAAATCACACAAATTATCACTAAATGAAGTAGAAATTAAGTTAAAAAATAGGAAAACAAAGGTCCAACGTCATGGTGGTGATGCGTCGGCAATGTACTAGAATCTTAAGCATTCATGAGGATTGTCATGCAATATCTATGGCTTTGAAGGTTCTCTTTGGACAAGGATGACATGAGTAATCTTTAGATCTCCTTGCGAAGTCTAGAGATCAATGAAATGGGTAGTCGAATTGTCATTGACGACTGTCACTTAGTGGAGTGGAAAAAATAATGACTTTGTAGCTCTCTAGCGACTGTCACCCAATGGAGAAGAGTTGGATGGAGGTGAGGTGCATGTTAAGAAGCTTCATCTTCACGTCCACACAGCAAGAGAAGGCTCTTCATAGCATTCGGTATGCTCTCAAGAGGACAACTTGTTCTCAATCAATTAGGGATGCTTTACTCGATGGATTCACGATCCTTTTATTATGAATCGTTCAACAATTTTAGTAACAATGCTTTGTGAATTATGTTGACGAGATTTTCGCCAATGATTTAGTGATTCTGGCGGCTTAATCCTTCACTGAAGATCTGTAAGAAAGTTACGATAATCAGATAAAAAATATGAGTTTAGCTCTAGGAGGATTTGAACCTATAGTGGTTGCCCACCTATATGAGAGAGATTGACATAAGTACTCTAATGCCCTTATCAAATGACATCATCATGATATATCCTTATCATAAATAAGAGGTATTTTATGTATTCAAAATATCAAACCTTTTTTGGGGAAGGTGTGACACGAGTTTAGTCCCACATCACTTATGTGTCGAAGTTTCGGATGAATATATAGTAATATTACATTTGTAAGCAAGTCTTTTTCTCGTGTGTGTACAAATACTCATTACCCCACAATCGGTTGACCACCGGTGACATGGAAAGGGAATGGTGTACATGTGCCCCTATCGGTCCTAGCCGTCAAGCCCTTTGACACAACTTAGTTGTTGTATAGTAAATCACGTAAATTTAAAATTTATAAAACTAGAAAATATGAATTTTTAGATATTTAGAAGTATTTTTGAACAAATATATCAAGTCTAATTCAATAAAACTTTCAAAAATAATAGTACTTTTCTAGGTCGATCATAGGGATGTAATATAATATCTAGTAATTATTCAGAATTTTCCTCAAAGAATATTATTTTCTATGAATTTTATACTAAAAAATGAAAAGGAAATATATTGAAAATTCACAAAAAAAGAAAATAAGGGTGTGGACATCAAGATGACGTCAACGCCCAGTGAATACAAATCGGGTAAAAATAGGGTTCCACCTGGTGATTCTTACGTAAGCGATTATAGACGATTTAATTGATAAAATTAAGATCTGTAATTAAGATTTAAGATTTAAAATTGTATTCAATTAAGATTTAATTGAATACAAATTGTGGCGGCAATGCGTTAGTGATGCATTGGAATCTTGAGCATTCGGGAGGATCATCGTGTAGTGTCTATGGCCTCGAAAGCTCTTCTTGGACAAAGACAATGTGGGCAATCTTTAAATCTCCTTGCGAAGTCTAGAGATCAATGAAATGGGTCGTCGAATCATCTCCGACTGCTGTGACCTGGCGAAGCAGAAAAACAACGACTTTGCGGCTCTCCAACGACTGTCACTCGACGGAGAGGAGCTGGATAGAGGTGAGGCATGTGTTAGGGAGCTTCATCCTCAGGTCCGCACAGCAAGAGGAGGCTCCGCGCAGCAAGAGGTGGCCACTCATCTCCTAGCAGGTCATCTTCTTCCTAACGACGGCTTGTTTGTCGATCAATCGGAGATGCTTTACTCAATGGATTCGTGATCTTTTTATCATCAATCGTTTAACAATTTTAGTAACAATGCTCCGCGAATCACGTTGATGAGATTTTTACCGATGATTAAGCAATTATGGTTGCTTAATCCTTCATCGACAATCTGTAGGAAATCTGCGATAATCAGATAAAAAATATGAATTTTAGCTCTAAGAGGATTTAAACCCAAGCTAGTTGCCCGCCTTTTCTTTGGACAGTGATGTGGGTTTAGTCCCACATCAGTTGTGTGATGAAGTGTCTAGTGAATATATAATAATAATATATTTCTGATCAAGTCCCTTTCTCGTGCATGTACGACTACTCCTTGCCCCACAGCCGCCTGGCCACCAGTGACGTGAAAGGAGGGTGGCACACACGTGCCCCTATCGGTCTAAGCTGCTTGAGCCCCTACTTGTGGCTACTCTTTGACTGTTCTTTTGACCCGCTTGCGGGCCTAGTTGGCTGGTGGGTTCCCCCCATTTTGTTTTATTTTTATTTTTATTTATTTTTCTTTATTTATCTCAAAAGTAAGATTATAAAAATCATATAAATTCGTATTAAATCACATAATTACCTAAAAATTCACATTAATCAATTGAAAACCACTTTTCACACTTTAATATAAATCTAATTCTATTTATCATGAGTTAAGGCTAAAAGAAACTATATTATTTACTCATTATTAACTCATTATTAACTCATGATAATGAAGACTTATCACTCGTACTTGTAACTCCTCCCTGATTGTGCTTCCGACTCACTTGCAGGCCCAACTAGTTGGCGGGTCCCCCCATATTTTAGTAGATTTTTATTTTTATTTCTTTTTCCTCATTTATTTCAAAAGTAAGACTAAAAACATCATATAAATTCGTATAAAATCACATAATTACTTAAAAATTCACATTAATCAACTAAAAATCATTTTCCACACTTTAACATAAATATAAGTAAGATGGTGAACTTGGTAGAAGCCCAATTTTAGAATAATAACTACATTAAATGTTTAGTAGTTTTCGATGTTTAGGTGATGCACGAGAGAATAAAAAAATAAGTTGAGAGGGGTAGAAGTGATGACTAGGCACTATAGATGATGAAAAACTAGGGATGCAACTGGACAAGTCTCTCTTAAGGAGAAGAAAGTAGAGGAGATTTGACTAGAAGCTGTAGACTCGGGGACTCTAAGGACAATCAAGAGAGAGAGACAAACAAACAAGCGAAGGATAACACAAGCACCTTGAGTGGCCTGGCACCTTGAATTCTTTCTTCCTTCCATCCTATCCCTTCTCATATTAATATGATGTTTTTGCCCACGATGTTTTCACACCTACATTTGATTGTGTGATCTGAAGAGCAGGAGGATATGTGGTTGAAGCTCACGATATCCAACAAATTTGGTGCTGATTTGGTTGGAAGGATGAGGCATCGTAGAGCCATAAATATCAGATGTGCTCTTGTAGTGGTGGTGGCCCTTGGGGGGTGCTAGGTGAGGAAAAGTGGGCCAAAGATCAACGAATCAATCATTGCTTCCCCCTTGAAAGTGAGCTGAATAATTCTGATGAAACACATCTCTTTAATTATTTTTGATTTCTACCTTTTATATATGTGGCTACCTATATGGATCCATCTTGACAGGTTTTGTTCTTGGCTGCAAATTGATGCCGTGCTCAATGACTCTCGGAGGTGGTAAGCCTTTTGGAGGGTCAAAACCCCTATGGGTACTGATATTGAAGGAGAGAGGCAAGGTAGGACGGTGATGTTGTAGACTGTGGCTGAGTATTGAGAAGGTTGAAGAGTTCAATCATAACACCTATGTTTCAATTTAGCACGTGTTCCACAAATTGAAGTGAGACACCAAATTTAATTAGGTAAAGGTATCCTTTGAGGAGAATTTTTCATTCCCTAAGCATAAATTGCATGCCAAGGAGGCGATAATTGAACTTCACTTACCCTAAAGTATGTAACCATTGAACTCCGAGGGTGATGTCAACATTACTAAGAAAACTATCATAGATAGTGATATGTTGGAATTCTAGTTAGATTTCTTCACATATGCCTTGTCCACACAGAGAGATACTTGTGTCGATGTTGGATGAGATACAATTATGTGTAGCACCGGAATCAATAATGATTATGATGTTGTGAATGCCTAGCCAACCTTGAACCTTCAGTTACTAAAGCCCATCACAGAATTTAGAGAGTTTTACTCCTCCCATAGTGTCAGCAGGACCTATAGCTCCTCGGAAATGTGACCAGTAACATATTTTTCACCACACGAAAAACATGGCCCTTTGGCACGTCATGCATAAACCTCTAACTCCCTAAGATTAAGGTATTGGCAAGTGCAAGGTCATCGTCGGCCTATACCAAGAACATCAATGATTTTTGAATTGTAAGATCAAGGCTATGTCTCTATTTAATTACTGTGATTGTTGATTACCAAAAATGATCCTAATAATGTGTTCTACCTTGGTGGTCAAGGAATCAGTACCTTCTACACATTGGGTGATTTTCATGATTTCCTTGAGTCCTGTGGGCTCTAGAAGGTGTATTTCCACTTGGATATCCGGGTTAAGACCTTCGACAAAGATTTCATATAATACATCTTCAAAGAGGTCTTCTACGACTCTCAACATTAGCTTAAAGTTGTTATGAACTGTGCTGTTTGATATTAAAAGCTGCTCAAGTAAGGTGCCTTCTTGTGATGATCTAAATTTCTCAAGGACTTATGATTTAAAACCTTGTTGTTTGAACTCTACATATCTTCTTAAAATAGTTCATGATTTTCTATCCAGTGAAATCAAGTGAAATCATGTAAAAGTGCATTCTTCTTCAAAATTTATGCCTACTACAATAAGGTTTTTTACTTCTATTAGTTCATGTATGGAGAAATATAGCTCCGCACAATATACCCAACTATGGGGATTATGTCCTAAGAAACATTACATCTTGAGACGTCTTCCTCCAATGATCTGGTCACGAGAGCGAAGTGGCTTGCCTTCTGACCAGATTGGGGAGAGTCTATGATCTTGCCTAGAGTGGAGAGGATTTATGTTTGACCTTGCTCCTTCATGCCAACTGATGGTGAGGAATGATTCATGAGTAGGCTCACTTCTTGTTTAAGGTCCATAAGAAATCTTTGCTCTAGGGTTTGGAGGTGCTGGTCAACTCAAGTTTTCATCTTCAGTAGTTGGAGTACTTGACGTCCGATGAATGGTATGTGACCCAATACCTCCTACTCCTCACCAATATCGTTCCCAATTCCTTCAGTACAGTTCTCACCTCATTTGAGAGCCATCCGTTCACAAAATAGGGAGGTGGCTTTGGCTCTACTACCAAACTGGTAGGACCCCAGTTTTCAAACAATAGCTACAGCATTGTTGAATAGCTAGACAATATCAAGCAATATATCATCAGGTACTAATTGAGATATGTAGCATCATAGCTGGTTAATGATCAGTCCGGGCTAGGGTAACAAAATTTTCATTTCCTCAATCCCACTGAAGCCTAACTTATGGCCTGTTGCTTATTTAATCGAGCTAGTGTTTACTTAAACACCATGAGAGCTGACTGGCACGAGGGCCAATAACAGTACTACCACAGCAAACAAACCCATGACTGAGTCAGTCACAGAGAAGATTCAATAGAAAGCAATAAGAATTGTTATCATTCAAGGTACATTTTGATATCTGAAAATGACAATCTTTTGATAATGAGTCAGCTTCCTAGAAGAGTATAATTGAAGAAAAGAAATTGCCATAGTGTTAAGGAACATTTAATTGTTTGATATTGAGAAAGTCATTGGTTTAATCTAAGTGAAATCTGAAAATATTAAATGATTTAGGATGTTTCACCAGCCTCTCAAAAATTATTCTTTCAAATATTTATTATTTACCTTCTTGTTTGGCATCTCATAAGGTCTCCTTTAAGTTGACCACAGAAATCAAGCCCAGAAAATTGCAGCAAGTTGAGTAAACCAATTTAGTAGATCATGTTCGAGAACATCCTAATGATGTATAGGTATTTATACTTCTACGTACTTGATATAAATGATGATATGAAGCTATATAGTCAGCCTTCAATCCTATGAATAAATGATGCAAAAAAATTACATTTATGAGAAATCAGCTTTCTTGTCTTTTTTTTAAAATATAGAGAATAGAGTGGTCAGAAATATGACATCATGTAACTATCAAACAAAATATATTTTAATGTCAATTATTATTGTCATTCCCAACATGGACAAGAGCAAATACCAAGAGGAGTGTTGAATTAGCTCCTTAGAATATTCTTTTGTTTTTCAATATTTTAAATTATTTTTCTTTACCATGTAGTAAATGAGCTCACACATGAGTTGTTAGAAATTGAGTTTACTTTATCTAAGCTAACATTAAGTAATAAAGTGACACAAACATAATTTTGTTCATGAACATTTGTTTCTCTCTTGTGAGATTTGTTTCTCTTCGTTTTGACTCTATACTTGCTAAATCAACTCATTTAGATTGACCCAATGGTTAATCTACTAAGAAATCAAGTCAATATCTATTCTTGAAATAATTGTTCTTTCATGCTATTTTTATTTTCTTCTATTAGAAATATGTATTGACGAATTTTAAAAAAATTATCTTTCAAAACATAATTCAATATGATTAGGTGCGATCTAGAAATTTAGATCGGCCTTCAAGTATTAGTGTAACTGTGAGAAACTTATGATCAAGTATTTTGTTTGTAATTACTTTTAAAATGAAATTATGTGAAATACATGTAAAGTGAAAATGTTGGAATGTATAATGAAGTTCATTTTGGGTTTCAAAATTTCAACCTTTGGCATGCAATGAACAACATCCACAACAACAATAAAGTTATAAATCATGATTGTTGACTTGATCCTTAACAATCTCTTGAAAATGAACTAATGTAGTGAAGATGTTTAGTGTAATCTATTGGAGTATAAACTTGGTTGTAGAGAATAGTTTGGTGATTAATCAAACTTTCATATCCTTATGAATAATATTCTATTGTGGAATATGAAAATCAATGCTGAGAAGTTTATTAAGGCATAAGAGATGGACATAAATGACAACTTTATTCTTAAGCACAATGACTAAACAATATAGTATCAAAGTCTTGCATACTTAAATATTTGCATGAGTGATGGTCAATTGATTATGACCTAATATGCTATATTAAAAATATATAAAGAATATTTCACAGTGTTCACACCCTAGCATTTTTTTTGGAAGGTATTAAGTTTATCTCATCATACCTAAGAAAATGATTATCGATGATTTAGATTTAGAATATAGACATACATTCTGTATTTTAAAAAAAAGAAACATTGGGTTCATGTCGTAAGTGATCGCTGGTCCTCTATTATGTCATAAGTAAAATATAAAATATGGGTTAGAAACAATCTTCTAAATGATATATAGAAAGGTCCTAGTCCTACAAGTAGTTAGGTTTATAAATAGAAATTTTTTTATATATATCTTTTATTATTTCATTGTTCAATCATAGTCCTATGTTTACATATCAACCCAACATTGAATTCAGTTTAACCCACTTTTTATGTTTAAAAATATCTTTTGATAAGACCCTATGTTCTGTCTCAGCATACTTTCAAGGCACTTTCAAAAGTTGATATGATTTCATTTGTGTAATTCATATAGGATTATAATAGTTTATTAATATTTCCTTATAATGTCACATAAATAAAGAGCAACATATGAACCAATAAAAGCTCCTTGACACTACTGAAATGTATTTAAACATGCACACAGTCATTTCATATGATGACCAAGAAAACTTACCATGAAATCCATCTCCACTTCTTACAATATCTTGGGTTTTTGATAATCCACGATAAATTTACTTAATCTAACTTGTTTATACTGCTGCTTGTTCTTGGTTTGTGATCTTTTATGCCATTAGGTTTTAGTGTTTACATGTGTCCAATTGCTTGTTTCATAAATAATATCATGTAAGGTATTAACCATGCAATTGTGTTAATGAATGGAAAAATAATGTCCTAAAGGCCTCACAATAACATTAGCACAATTTCAACCTCCCAGAAAGCCAAGGAGATCCTTACAAGATGTGAAGTTGGACCCTTAAAACGACTCAAGATTTATTAAGTATATAGCAATCTAACGAAATTAGATGCAATTGTAGCCCTTGATTTTGTTGATTCCACAAATAGACTACTAGCCCAAATCAGTTATGATTCTCATCCATTCTCTTCTTTAAAATTTGAATCACTAATTCCTTCATTCTGTGCTATTCTATACCTAGTTAATTGGGCCTGGGTTGTTGTGGGCCTTCGCACCCTGATTACTTTATCATGAAATGTACCAAAGGAGGCCACTTAGACCAGAATTGCCATTATATTCGATAGCCTCACCACATAGGCATCAGCTCATCTCAATAAAGTAGGGCAGTAATTTTGAATTATAGTCAGGCTAAAGAGTGAGATATGCTTAATGTGGATATATGTTCCAAGAAAACCAATCCAACCATTGACATACCGACCTCTACTGCTGCAACTGAATACATGTTGGCAATAACTTCACTCCTTTCTGTCCCGTCTCATCTCTCATAGTTCTTCTTTGTCTGATCTCAGCAGTGACCCAATCAGCGAAGAAATAATAATTTACTGAAATTATTGATTATTTTACATCTAGCATAAAAGACTAAAGGGAATTCCAGCGACACTTCACATCCTTTTATTAGAAAACTTCAGTTACCAACCGCTACTGACATGGGCCTCCCGTTCAACGGGGAAGTGGACAAAGCAGCGGGAAACATTGACCTTGCAAGGTCAATACACCCACACCACGGATAACTTGCGAGATAAAAGAGAGAAAGAAACTTCTCAACGAACCATGCCAGTCCCAACCAGGGGCGGTGCAGTCACCCCTCGAGTCTGCTTCTCTACGTTTGCGTGCCATCCTGCACAAGGATTCAAGATCAAATAAAATGGATATAATTGATAGCTTGGTCTAATTTATTTAGTCTAAAATCAGTTTTATAAAAACAGTGCTTATCGTTGCAACTCCCTAATTGACGATGCAATATGTCATTCTAGGGGTTAACAGGCCGTGCGTTCCTTGGCCCTGGCTCTTTGTTGGCAAGGTCATGCCCTTCTCTAGGTATGAAAGAAAGCTAGAAATATGGGTCCTTAGTAAAATGCATCTGAGAGAGAGAGATAGAGAGAGAGAGAGAGAGAGAGAGAGAGAGAGAGAGAGAGAGAGGGGGAGAAAGAAAGACGTGATCATGCGTCAGCTGGCCTGACCCCGTAAAGGGTTTTGCCTGGCGGACTTCTTTCTTTCTACACATTGTCGATTTCAGATGATTACTATAAGGATTTCCGGTTCCAATAAGGATTGGAGTTTCTACGACCGACTGACATCGGGGTGAACAAAGAACTTGTCGAGACTTGATGACGATGCCGATTAAAACATTGCAGACAACAAGAGGGGAGGCGACTGAACGAACGGGAAGGTCATGGACTACTGACCAATGTTCATGTCGAAGCCACGATTCTTGAGCTCCCGGTACTCCTGACAGAGGGCGCACCCCTCGCAGCAACAGTGAACGATGAAGTCCGGGCACGGCGACTCCGGCAGCGAGTAGTGGCTCCTCAGCCTGCTCCGGTAGAAGCACGAGTATATGCAGGGGCACCCTGTCACGAAAGCGACCAGCGTGTACAGCGCTCCGCTTGCTCCGCAGGCTGAGGAATTGGTAAGGGATCAGAAAGGAGTAGCTGGGACTTCTCGATCAAGGTTTGGAATATGGAACATCACAACTGGAGCCCCGATCAACGATCTCGGCGACCTGGCCGAAGGTAATGCAGGGGCACCAGCAAGTGATACAGCCTGAAATAAGAACAGCTTTGAGAAAGGGGTAATGATAAGATCGTCCTCCCTACTTCTCGTCTCCTTCCCTCTTTCTCCTTCTATCATGTTACCCGCGTTAGAGGGATAAGAAGGGAAGGCGCCTACAGTTTCCAACGTCGTCGAAGCATTCACAAAGTCCGGTGGACCACTCAGCCGGCGCCGCCGCTTGGGTCTCCACATGCAGCGGCAACGGATTCACCGGGAGGCCCACTGACGGCGCCGGTGGGTAGGTCTCCGCCTTTCCCCCAGGAGCCACCATGGCCGATGAAATCACTCCGCGAACCCCCGCGGTGGCTTTGACGAACGAGTGAGCGAGGAAGATGTTAAACCATATTAGCCACTTGTAGGTCAACGAAGCCAAAAAAGAGTCAACTCTATTATCTAACGACATATAAATGGGACCTCCCACATTTGGTTCACGTCATATTATTCTCAGCGGCTTCCTGTGGCGTCACATCTCATGATGCCTTCAAGTTGCTGGTCACCTCTACAAAGATATTTCATTCGTCTACTCTTCCGAGAAAATTTCACATGTACAGAGATATTTCTAGGGCTTTCACTCCCTAGAAACTCTGTATATTAAGAAAAACGATCGTCGTTACACAAGTTCTGCTGAAACTTGAAAATCAGAAATAGCCTTGCGTTAACCACCGTTAACGTACTCCTCACCTAGTCGTACCCAACGTCGATTAGGAAATCGAAATTACTCCTTCCAATCCTTAGCCGTTTTCCAACTTGGACGACCTATCCATGACCATCACTGAAGCCCACTTTGAGGAACAGATCGAGCTATATTAGGCGCTCTTCTAAGAAAGGTTGACGGATAAAAGCTCGCCCAATGGAGCCCGTTTCATTGGTGAATCGGGCCTGGTCCAAGCCAGCTTTCTTCAAGGATTCACCCATGCGACAGCTCTGCGGAGATTTGAAGGAGTTTGCGGATTTTTTTGGATATTACTTTCTTTTTTTTAAAATCTTGACTAAGCCATTATCATTACAACGTTCCGTAGCAGATGCAAGATATTTGTTCCTGTTGATTATACCTCAGACTTCAAAACATTGGATCTTTTGAACCTATTTCTCTTCACTGCTAAATTTTGGTTACTTAAATTTAATAACATTTTTTACTAAAAATGTAGATTTTCATACTGAGAATATCGAGTTAATTTACAATTTTACTTTTACCCTCTAAAAGAATTTCTTTTTTGTACCATAAATTACATTTTCTCTTTTGTTGCTCGGCTTTCCTCACATGAGAGAAAATAATAATTTAAAATATACACTAAAGCCCCATCTCCATACCTCTAGCTCTACTAGAAGCATGCATATCGAGGGTTGGGCTGAACTAACTACACCTGGACAAGACTTGATGGGTTCTGGTCTCAAGCTCCTAACCCTTTCATACACAATAATCATCATACATACTTTGTTGCAAGATGATCCATATTGGTCCATCTTTGTCGATTGGTTCTTGGCTGAAAATATTTGGATGACGACTGTAATTGAGAGATTTCAGGGCCTATGTTATGAGCTATGCTTATGTTCAAAAATTTTATACAATTAATATCAATTTCAATATCCTGATACTTTTTTGCAAAGTTACATTTGACTCACATCCAAGGTACTTCCAACTGATTACTCAGATGCCTACTCAATGAAGTTAAATGGTTCACAAAATTACAATACTGGTACTCCTATTTATGATAAAAAATGCCTTTCTATCCATAGTCATCATCAAGACTTTTTAGCCTTGCCAAAGGGTTCATCTCCTTTCACTCTATTTAGGCTAGATGGATATTACATGTCATAAATTTCATGATTTTGCATTGGACTTTATTTTAACTAAATAGTTTTATAAATTCTCAAAACATTATTGAGTTAACCCATAACCCAACAAAAAAGCAGATACGCATCATAAGAAATTTTTGAAAATTTCTTTAGGACTTGAACTATGTAAATAAATAAAAGTCTTATATTTTGGCTACCATAAAATCAAGACACTTCCAAGCAGATTGGTCATTATTGAAAAGGAGTGATCAACAAAGAAGAAAGCAAGGCAAAGTGTTAATGCAAGGCATGTTGAGTAATCTTCTGAATAGGGAATGTTTTTTAACTTTTCATATTCCTAATGAAGTTATTTTCTAGTGCTCAATGAGGGAATTACATTCCTTTTTAACACGAAAATTCTATTTCAAGCTTTAGAATTTCTTTGTTCATTTCTTCATATTCGCCCTAAAAAAATTCAGGTCATAGACTTTACACTGTACTGTGTCAAAGTATTAGAGGTGACCAAATGGTGTAATCAAAGACCCTCTTCAATCCCTCACACATTTGGCTCCAAATCAGAGCGTACTTTCTAATTTAACCTTTTAAATGTAGGGCCCATTGGTATCCCCACTCACTTCAACTAATGATTTCCATCTTAGGGTGAAAACTTCACATAAGAATTTTCATCAAACAAAAATTATCTAGTACCAGATTATGTGCATTATCCAAGGAGAAGAAATAATTGGAGCATAGGTCATATCGGAAAAGGGACCAAACATCAAAGGTGTGGATCCCGAAATAAGCACCAACCTTTAAAAAAGATAGGATGAATAATCAAGCAGATAAACAGCAGTGAAATCGTACAGAAACGTCTATCACACCCATCCATGAGTTCTTGCTCCATGAGTGCTTGGACTAGCCATCAAACACTCAAAGATTTTAACTATATAAAATGAGACTCCAGCCCCAGTTGACATCTTATACAAACAGATGTGGTAAAAAGTCAAATCTGGGACTGACCCATCCCAAGCAACAATCATTTATTCTTTTGTTCTGATCAATTTTTGTCTCCTCAATTCCAGCAAACCCATAATATTCCTCTAATAAGTTTTAGGTGATCCCAACAGCTTAAGGTCTACACGTCTTATTTTTCTAGCTGTAGACGCATTATAGCGTCCAAAATATCTATCCATTGTTGCTTCCCAAGACATCTATCTGGACCTTCCAATGTGAGAGGTCAACGTCTATAGTTTCCTCATGATTTCTATTTTTTTGAGGATTATCTTGCTGTGAAGGATGGAATCTAGGATTTTCATTGGATTTTTGTCTCTCTAATCTTTGATTCATCATAGTCATTTGTTTCATAAGAATTTTTGCCCCTTAAGGAATTTTCTCGTCCATTTGAGGGTTGGATTGATCTTCCTCAACAATATAAGACTTCCTAGAATGGGTAGGCATAAAATTGACTTGAGTGGTGTAATCAGATGTGGATCTAACACTTTTGAAATCAAAGGCTCATGTAACTTGACAAGGTATCCTAACCTCACTCTAATACCACAAACGATGTTAGAGAAAAAAATGAGAATATGATGAAGAGTATAAAATTAAGTAGACTTACCCAAACATTAAAATGAATATGAATGGATCACAGAATTATCAAGAAACTCCCACAATTGAAAAAAAAAAGGATCTAACAGTTTAAGAAAATTGCTAATATGATACCTTGATTTTAGCACATCAGAAAAAAATCTCATCATGATCTAAGGTCAGCCAAACGATTATGATTGACTATCCCATAGTCTCTAGGGTGAGAGAGAGCAAGAGAACATATTAAATACACAAATTAAATGGACAGAGGGAAGAGATTTACTGATGGCATGGAAAGGTAAGTGATCTATTAGTGAAGGTACAAACTAGGCTGCAGGTTCATTGGTGTAGGAAGCCTAGATTTGTGTGGATCTAGAGTCAAAAGAAGAGTTGGGTTGCAAATGCGAGTCGATGAGGTATCGACAAGGATGAATGGAAAAAAGGAAATACTCCAAATCAAGAGTGATGGAGTCCTAAGTTGGGGCAACAAGATCAAAAGATCAACGATGAATAAAGCATCATAAACTTCATTGAAACAACAATTGCCTATCTTAGAGTCTCTTGCTTCTTTTAAGGGTTACATTTACTAATTATTAACTCATGATAATGAAGACTTATCACACCCCCAACTTAAATCATTGTTAGTCTCTTAGTAATAGAACTATGAAAATAAAAATTTACAAATCTCAAATATCATATTTCAATACAATTAGAAATGATGCACCTTTAGACACTTTGGATTCTTATATCAAATATTTAAGAATGATGTCAAACACTTAAATATTTAAGCAATCCTTAGAACAACAATCTAGACTTCACTTCTATTCACATCTTTATCACTTCTTCACTCATAGATATATTTACAAGATGTTCTAATTATCAATACTCATCCAAAACTAATATTGATCTTATATTTTCCTTTTTTTATGGCTTCATTTTTGAAGTTTTCACTATATTTCTTCCTTCTTCTTTTTTTTATATATATAGTGGATAAGTAGCTTTTCTTATAAACAAATTTTGACAAAAAAAATGATGTCTCACACCCTCTATGTGTACTTTTCATTTTCAGGGCTTTCACTTTATCCACTTATTTTACAGCAAGTGTTTTTTATACATAATTTTTGACAATGAGAATGATGTCTCACACCCTCCATATGTACTCTTCGTTTCTAGATTTTTCACATTGCTTTCTCTTTTTTTTTTAAAATAAGTGATTTTTCCTCACAAGTCCTCTAGATAAGGGTGAAAAATCTTTATTAAACTCAAATGATCAATCAAATTTTCAGATCAAATAAATATTATCCATCAAGATCATAAAGTGAAAATCTGTAAAATCAAAATTCATGTTATCTATCATGTATCCAAGGAGTATTTTGACATTTCATGCTACTAGATCATTCTTTTGACTTAATAATAATCTTTCTAATATCTTTTGGTATCAATCAATTTAATTGATTTAATTTTTCATGCATGCAATATGATGTAAGAAATTTGTAAATTAGATAGTTCTAACAATTCTGTTTTCTATTTTTAGTTATGTTTTGAGTAACAATAACTATCCTCTTTATAGTTGCAATTTCGAATTTCAAATAATATATGTCTAGGGGATTGAAATGTGAGAAAATGGTCTTTAGAATTTCAAATTTTGGACTATTTTTTGTCTATTGTTTTTGACAGTTTGTTGTTCTTGACAGAAAACTAGAAAATAGATATTGTAGTTTTTCTAAATTTTATTTTATTTTTATTTTTTTAGTTTCTGTTCTAAGTGAGCATGAAAAAATAAAAATAAAATGTGAACACATGTTCTTAATCATCCTACAGCATAAATTAATAATTAATATTTCATCCCCCAACTTAAAAATGATATTGTCCTCAATGATATAGAAAAATCGAAATAGAATAAGCAGAAAATATAATTTTCAAGTAAAGCATGCATATATGCAAAGTTAAGTATTAAAAATATTGTCATAAATGATAAAGCTCAAAAAGACATCACCTCAACTTCTTTTTTAATTTTCCACTTCATTTTACACTCCTCCTCCTACACTTTTTTGAAAAAACAAATATAGAAACAAGTACTACGAAATTCTAAGAAAAATAGAGCTTTAAAAAAATTAAACAGAATGAAATAAAAACCATGGGTTACCTCTCATGTAGTGCTGAAGTTAATGTCTTTAGTTAGATAGCTCTTAGATCATATAAGATGATCTACGGCCATCAAAATATATTTGTATCCCAAGGTAAATTTCATGATATTCTTTTTCAGATTTAACATAAATTTATATACTTCATATATATATCTTGACATACTTTTAACCAAAAAAAAATAAAAATTAACAAAATTGTCTCAAAAATAATATTTCCATTTTGAAAAGAATCTTTCCTCATTTCTATCTTATTTTGTAAGGCTCTCATTCATTAATAAATGCTTTCTATTAATAGACCATAAAATGTAATCAAGCCATATAATTCTCAAATTAGCTCTTACCCAATCTAGAATTTGTTATCTAAATTGATATCTCTAATTCTTTCACTCACCAATTTCTTAATGTGTTCTTTTATCTGCATAATCTTCCCCTGCTCCATTTTATCTTCCATACATATTTTTTCAATTTGCAAGGAGTAAAATATTTCAAGCTTATAAATAATTCTAATGGGCTGTGGGTTTTGAAGGATGGAAGGATGATCTTAGAGCTAATGTTTTTCTTTATTTCTGTCATTACTCCCTTCTACTAAAATTTAAATGATTTTTTTATGATTAACTAAAATTTCTTCATCTAAGGGCTCTTTCTCCTCAATATCCTCACTATATTCATTCATTAATTATGAGTAATAAATCATTTTATTCAAAGTTCCTACTACTATATTTTCAGTCTTAATATTCTCATTTACTTCTAATGGCTCATCGATTTCTTCTAATAATTAGAAATTGGGATCAGGTAAAATATTCTCACTCAATGTATTCACTGTCCTAATATTTTTATTTGTGGGTTTTTTTCTAACTTTATCCATGTAGACTCTCCTTATTGAAATTCTACTATTTGATAGTTTCTTAAATTTTCTATGGGCTAACTAGGTGATTGACCCTCTTATCTCCTATTCTCAAAAGCCTCTATAATTTGTTTTTGGTGTAACATCATTTGATTCATAGTTTGTTGTATCATTTGGCTCATTTGCTACATCATTTTCCATAGCATCAGGTTAGATTTGAGAGGGCTGATTTTTTTGAAATCTATGTTCTTATTTTAGACGAAATCCAAATTTTAAATTAGATCTAAGTGCTTCTGAATTTTGAATATTATTTAGGTTTTTCCATGAAAAATTATTTCCCCAATTAGGATTATAAGAATTAGAAAAATATTCCTTATTTTTACTAAAATCGTGAGGTACCTGTACTTGTTCTTGCCTAAGATGAAATGGTTGATCTAAATTATAATATTAAAATTTCAAATGATCATTTGCACCATACATAGGACAAGCACTATGTGTATTCAATTGAAGGTTAGGAGGCTTTCTAATATTCTTAATAAGTAAATCAAGTTTTTCTAATCTTTGATTAATCTGGTTAACCTCATTTCTTAAATTAGAATCATCATCATGATGTAACTCATAAATTCCTCTCTTTTTATCCCTATCATATAATTCAAAAGAAGCATGATCTTTAGAATTTTCACTTAAATTCTCATAAAGACTGTAAATCTCATTAGGAGTTTTCTCCATAAAAACTCCTCCACATATAGAATCAACCATATTTCTATATTGTTCTAATGATCTATCATAAAAAATTCTATTGAGCTGCCACTTGGATATAGTATGATGAGGACACTTTCTAAGTAAATCTTTAAATTTTTTTCATGTCTCATGTAAAGTTTCTCCTGGTTTTTGAGAAAAACTCCCTTCCTTCAGTATGCTTCAATCCTTGCCTTACTTCTCTTGATTTCTTTTTTTAAAAAAAACAAAATTCAGTAAGAAGAAAATAAAATAAGAGTTAATTTTTTTTGTGTCCTCTAAGAGAAAAACAGAAAAATACTAAGTATTATGTAATAAATCCCCAGCAACGACATCAAAATTTGGCATGACTTAGTCGTTGTATAGTAAATCAACAAATTTGAAATTTATAAAACTAGAAAAGATGAATTTTTAAATATTTAGAAATATTTTTAAATAAATATATCAACTATAATTCAATAAAACTTTCTAAAATAATAGTAATTTAATAGGTCAATCACAAGAATGTAATATAATATCAAGTAATTATTCAGCATTTTCCTCAAAGAATACTATTTTCTATAAATTTTATACGAGAAAATAAAAATTAAATATATTTAAAATTCACAAAAAATAAAAATAAGGGTATGAATGTGAGGATAATGTCAGTGCCTAGCAAACATAAATCAAGTAGAAATAGAGTTCTACTTGACGATTCTTACGTAAGCAATTACAGATAATTTAATTGATCAAATTAAGATTTGTAAAAGGTAGAAAAATTATAATAAAATAAAATATATCTTAGTAAATTTAAATCACATAAATTATCACTAAATGAAGCAGAAATTAAGTTGAAACTAGGAAAACAAAATTTCGGTATCATAGCGGCAATGCATCAGTAATGCACTAGAATCCTAGATGTTCAAGAGGATCATTGTGTAGTGTCCACGGCCTCGAAGGCTCTCTTTGGACAAGGATGAGATTGGTAATCTCTAGATCTCCTTGCAAAGTCTAGAGATCAATAAAATGGGTCATCAAATCATCTCT